AGATTATTGACAGTATGAACTGTAACCGATGGAATTCCACAGGATACAGTCCTAGGACCCATATTTTTCCTTATATACATAAATCAACTACTTACTATTGATGTTTCCGGAAAAATCATCTCTTTTGCTGATGATACAGTTTTGTTTGTTGAAGGTAACAATTGGGACGAAGTCGAGAACCGCGTTAGTCATACTGACTTGACAATAACTTACTAACCACCAACTTAGGTAAAACACAATACTTGCCCTTTCAAATTATATTGATCTACTACCTACAAACAATTAACTTACTATGAAACTATTGTTTAGAAACAGTAGGAATTCATATTGACTCAAATCTAAAGTGGAACTTCCATATCGAACAGTTAGCGAAAAGGTTACGATCCTTAATATATTTATTCCGGCAACTTACTAAAATATCTGAAAAGCAATAAATTCTTTCTAGTTATTTTTCACTATATCTTATGGGATAATTGGTTGGGCTGCTGCCTATCAGAAAATTATTCAGCCCTTTTACGTAAATATTATGTTTTTTTTTCATATTATACATAGTTAAATTAATCTGCGTTAAGTTCAAGGATGGCTGTTACAATAAACAAAACAATAAACAAATATTATTATTATTATTATTATCATTATTGTTAGTAAAAATAAACATGGTAATTTATTAATATAAGTTTACATTCAATTTTTTTTATTCTTTTCTTTTATTCTTTTCTTTTCTTGGTAGCGCCCTTTAATACGGTTTGTGGTATTTTATTAAAAACTTTAATGCTCCTGCATATTGACGATTCCTTTCGAAAGTATTGGCGTTCCTCACAAAATTCGAGATCTCCCCCTAGGGGAGATCTTGTTTTGTCTGTTCTCCGTTTCTCTGTTACCGGAGTTTTTTGACGACAACTTCCGAACGGTATAAGCTACACGCTTCAAATCTTTCCCCTTTTTAACCGTCCACGGTGTGCATAAGATATATAAAAATGGCCGCGTTCGAGCTTCGGCGTCCATTTTTTTACATTTTCAACTGTTTTTTGAACGTTGCTATGAAACACGATAAGTGTGCGAAATTTGAAGCTATCGACTTCAAATTTGGCAAGCAAATAGCGTTTCGTCCCCTCACGGAACTTGTTGAAATGGGGTTGGGCTGAGGGGGTCGGGAAGTATTTTTAAAAAATTAAAAATCGCGTTTGCCAGAGTTCAATAAAAAAAAATAATTCTCGAAAATTGTTTACGTAATAGAAAAAATTCTTGAACGAGAAGATCAGCGAGATTGAATGCTATAAATCTTTATTCTTCATAATTTTCAGAAATATGCAGGGTGTGATCTCCTTATAATGGTAATTGACGATAACTATAAGGCTGTGCAGCAGTTCTCAGTTTCTTTCACATTTTCATGCAGTACGTATGGATAGCTAAAACTTTTGTATTTAAGATTTTCACTTATTGGACAGGATGATCAATAAATTCCAAGAAATTTGCGACGTCAAGTTTGGAAGAAATGTGAAAGTCGACACCCGCATTTAAACCCTTGGGTGCCGTCATATATCGGGATATATTTTTTAAAAAAGTTTTTTTGGATTATTTTGTTTCCTAGAAAAAAATATTTTCTCAAAACTGTAATTTTTATTTTAGTCATTTTTTCGATTATATACGGGGTTTTTCAATTGTAAAGTAAACTATTAATCGTAAATCAAAATTCAATCAAAAATCTTTATTAACGTTGATGCTGCTATTGAAACAGATGAATGATGGTGAACTTTGAACTTCCTAATACAGAACCCTGTGGAACTCTATTTTTCAAATGCAATAATCCAGAAGTTTGGTATCTATAATTTACAGCTTGGTAGCTTGCTGGTCCTCTTTAGCTTGAGCTTGTTCTCACTTTGAAAGGCCCCTATTTCTACTATCTGTCCCACGAGTCCTCCTAAATATCTGGGAAGAGGCACCTGTCGTGCAACATTTTTCTTTTCCACCGACCAGGCGTCTAGCGTGGTCTGTGAAGTTCTCAAAGCCTGCTTTATTCATCTACAAAGTTTCTGCAATTATTATGCTGATCCCGCTGGTCTTGGCCAATAGATGTAAAAAAGAAGAAGAAGATATTTATTTTTTCGTGTTCTGCCATCAGTAGCTGTTCGGTCGAATTCGTATCATGCGTCAGTTGTTCGGTGACTCACCCGGATTCTAGATTCGAAACGGATGAAAAATGTGGCAATGATCGTAATGGCAACAGGAAAAAAATATCATATAAATCGACGGCCGGTTGCTTGTGTCTTCCGCTTGCGTTACGACGAGTTGGCAAACGCGTTTTGGGGTGCCCCGGAGATCTCTATCTCGCGGTGAGTCACGCTGCGACCGGCGCGGGGGGATTTTTTCCGAAAATCCCGCGGATATTTCCCAAAACGCCGGACTGGCGCGCTCGCGCCGGGTTATTTTTCGTGAATCAAGTCCAATTACGGCCTGATGGGTTCCTGAGCGGTTTTTGATTAGCGTCGGAAACTGAACACGCGAAATCTACGGGCTATGAGTTTGAAAAAGCGGGTGTTCCCCGACCAAAAGAGGACGCGGCGACGTCACAAGACAGTAAACAATATCGGGCGGCAGATGAAGGCACACTTGGGTACGGTCTGTTCGTAGATATAAGAAAGTGACCAATCGCTTTTGAATGGGATTATCCATTAACATTAATGTAGAAAACACTATTCTGTTGAGACTAAGGAAGTTATAAACAATGTTTATTTGACTCTCATTGATCGTGGTGCCAGCAAGCAAGCAATCTTTAGAAGAAACGGCCACATTGACGAAAATTCCAACATCAACTGTATGGAAAATTGTGAATCAAAAAGAGGTAAAAGAATAACTATTTTGCATGCTGGCTCTAAAGATGGTTGGATTCCAAATGGACTTGCTCTGTCTGCGAAAAATATTAAAGATTCTTCTCTGGATTACCATGAAGACCCCACCGCTTAAGTAATTTAAGTAGGTAATAAAAATAATAAATAAATAAAATAAAAATAATTTGTAATTTCATTTTAGATTTGAACATAAATACATACAGAAATAAATAAATATTAAATATTTATTATAAATAAATAAATACGCAAATTACCTGTTCGGTCATATTTCATTCTTACAGCTTGCCCGGGTGTTTCCTTAATTCGTATCAGTTGGTCACTTTCTTATATCTATGAACAGACTTTACAAATGTACCCCAACAACTCAATTTTTCTTATATCTTTCTGAAAACTTTACACAGGGGTTCCGCAATTTTATTTATTATCATTTAGTATTTACAGATTCATTTTCTGTATATTTTAGTTATGACGTGCACCAAAAAAGTCAACAAAAAATCATTTTTAGTGTGTGGTACACTGGTACCCCGTGTGGTATGCCAAGATAAGTATTTTGATTAGTCACGGTCATGCGCGATACAGTAAATATCAGCCGATAACCGATCTAGAATGAAAACAATTACTGAATGACGATCTCGATAATGCTGACATAGTGAAGAAGATAGTGACGATGTTCCGGGAATGATAGATTCTGAAAATGATATAATAGCAAGAATAAATGGTGAAGAAAATGACAGTAGTGCTGACTGACGACAGTGAAGAAAACTTAGAACAAGGTAGATTATTTCATCGAACCAAAGATAACACAAAATTGGTATAAAATGCCACTTAGACAAAAACGACGAACAGTTGCAAATATAAGTAGGAAAAATCGTGGACTAAATCAACACAGTGTCAATACGGCTTCAAAACTTGATTTATTTAGATTTTTTCTGACAGACAAAGTTATGTAAATAATTGTCCGGCATATAGAGTTATCGAATTATATATAATACCTATCCCTATCTAATTTTTCAGACTTTCAAACTTTGGAATGAAAAACACCCAAATCAAACAGAACCTCTACAACGCATATGGAAACCAACAGATACTGTTGAAATAAAGGTATATATTGGCTTCATTTTAGGTGCCCTTCAAACTTCAAAAGAACCGATACTAATGTTGTGGTGTGCCAAGAGAGGTTACACTAGACCCGCATTCCTGCAACTATAAAGGCGATGTAGACATTACGGATAAAATGGTAAAACAATATTCAGCTCGTCGAATTAGTTTTATGGAATTAAATTTATAGCCGAAATGCACGCGGTGACGTCACAAGACAGTAAACGGTACCGGGCGAGTCTTTTTCCGACTTTCTCTTTCCAGCTCGTTTAGCCGCAAACTCACTTTTCCGCAGCTAACCGGCGTACGTCCTTTTGTTATCGCTGCGACGACATTTTAAAACCGTCTAATTGCATGAGCTCGTTTTTTCACTATCGCCTGCGACGCTAAAATATTGGCTCCGTTTGGGGTCTTTTGTTTAATTCGCTGTCTTGTGACGTCACCCAAGCAAAATCGCCCCTCGAAATGAAAAATTGCGACGATCCATATTCAGTGCCGATCTGACCGGCGGGTTTTACCACCGCGGTTATTATTCACCTGCATCGGTGCGAGTGTCTTTTTTTTCTCGGGGAGTTCCAGCTACCGAGTGCGTGCGTGTCCCCCACCGTCGCGCAGGTAAAAACCAGCTGGCGTACGCGTTCTCCGAAGAATGGCAAAGAGCTGCCGCTACCGAAGCGGACGCGGGCCCGCTATGGGCGACGCCGGCCGGAAGCCGCGAGCCGAGGGAGCCGTCCCACCCGGAACGAGTGGGATATGCGATACCCAACCGAACCCTCGACACGGAGATTATTTATCTGGTCAGTTTAAACCCTCGAGCGAGGAGGTGGGGGGCGATTTGCTACGTCGGCGGATGCCGGCCGCGCGGCCGCGATAGCGGGCCGACCAATCGCGGACCCATCAAACGTACCACTCTCCCACACTTCTTCCTCCGACAGCATCCCTGTGGCGGCACGCAGGTCCGTACCGACGTTGCGACGCCAGGGGAAGAGGGGCGACGCCGGGGGGGGCCCCCCAATAAAAGACTCCGTTGCCCGCCGACCACTTACATTCGCTTCACGGCCACTTTGCGCTTTGCGACAGACTGTGGTGGACACCATCACCGTGGTCGAGCGACAACCAGCTGTTTTTCCTTTCGATCTTTGAGTGTGCGCGCGTTTTACCCGAGGGGTTCGTCGATTAGCGTCGCCGTCGTCGTCGTCAAAGAGCACCAGGTGCCGTAGTTATGGCCGCCGTCGCAGCAGCGCAGAAAAACAGGGAGATGTTCGCCATCAAGAAGTCGTACAGCATCGAGGTGAGTCGTTTTGTGCTGTCACTTTTACTCCCCCGGAAAATGCTGGAAAATAAAATTGGAACATTCAAAACCGGCGATTTTCCACACATTTACGCTTTGGAGTCTTCTGATATTGCCTCTCTGACATCCCTGACTGCGAATTTAGAAGATAATTTTATCCGTACGTACGTACTAAATACCTCTGTGATACTCTCTCATTTTCATTATGCAAGCTGTCTTTCAGCGGTCGGGGCAATATGGCTTTCAAAAAGTGCAGATGTCGTTTGATTTTTAGCCTAAACAAATAGGAACATATTACACATAAAATTAATGTACTTCAGTGGTATTTTATATATGGACTTATCATTTCAGTTGGTTTGTACATGGAATAGCAAACTTTTTTATATATACTTCATATATATAAATTCACAGCCCTTTTCAAAATTCGTTTATTTAACAAGAAGATAGGCGCATTGTTTTTCTTTCGTGGTTCTGCGGGCCACTATGGAACTTTCGCAAAATTTATATAATTTTATTGTTCATACACCCCGTATAAAGTGTCTTTCACGTCTCGTCCAAGTTCAAAGTTACGGCAAACTTTGATAAATATTAAAATTTGTACAAATAATAGCGATTTCCAACGATATTTTTTCAAATATCTCGCGCACCCTGTATGATGGAGGAAACCTGAAGCTCTCTCTCGGCACAATTTACGATACTGTTTAATCCAAATTATCCCATGTAGAGTTTTTTGGTCATAATCGACACACCCTGTACATAATCCAAAAAACACCCGAAGTAAAAGTTATAGCCCTATATCTCCCACTTTTCCCGGTATACGATTTTTTTCAAAATACAAGTTTTCTGTAACCCGTAGTTTTCGAGAAAATTATTTTTTTCCAGAAGCAAGCATCTGGGGTCGATAGCTGCACATTTAAGACACCGACTATATTTTATATTATAGCACGAAATATCCCTGAACAATATATGGAAAAGTTAGATAACAATTTTTTTGCTGTCTGTACGGCGGGTATAGCGATGTCAAAGAAGCTGACAACTGAAACACAGCCTTCTAATTATAGGCAAAGAAGAATCCGTTTTTTAGTTTTTTGCAATTTCATGTAAAAAATATTATTTCCATGTATTTTTTGATCCGGATCTCGTGCCATTTTTTTTTTTTTCGATGTTTGTCATCGTGTTTGAGAAATGATTTTTTTCCGACCTCCCCCCCTCCCAGCCCCCAGTTGCAATAGATTTCGTCAAGAACCAACCTTGAACTCGATAGTTTTAAATTTCGGACACTTATCGGGTGTCATAGCGATGTATTAAAAACAGTGTAAAATCGGGGAAAAAAGATGGACGCCAAGATCCGATCGGGGTCATTTTCTATAGACTTATGTGCGCCGTGGGCTACTTAAAGGGAGCCAAATTTCAGCGTACTAGCTTAAACTGTTAGCAAGTTATTCACGTTCTTAAGAAACGTCGACAGAGAACAGAGATCAAGGAACAGAGAACAGACAAAAAAATGAAAACGTCTTGTGGCTTTATGCACGCGTACTAGTAACTCTAGAGGCACATATATTTTTTATTTATTTATTGGTTTCTGGTACTAGCCTCAAATTTGTTATTATATTTTTTTCATTGGGAATAGTAGTTATATTTACTTTATTTTCATAAGATATATCTATATATTTGATTATTATGAATAAAGTCGATTATTATAATCATACAGGGTCGTTAATTTGTTGATAACAAAGAAAATTGGGGCCAAAAAAAAATTTATACTTGTTAAAAGCAAAAGCAACTATTTAATGCGACCTGCGAGCCGTGGCGACGATAACGATTAACGATAGCGCGGGTCGTCGAGGAACGCCTGGTATATAAAAACTCGCGACAATTTATGGAGGGAAGCGAAAAAAAAAAGGCGCGCTGCCGTAAAATTTTAATTGGCCTCCGCGCTAATTAGGCCGATTTCAAAATGTTAATTGCGCAAAAGCGGCACGCGGAAAACCCGCGGGAACGTTCGCCAAGGCCGAAATGTCTTTGCCGCGTCTCGGGTGCCGGAACCCCGGCAATTTCCTTTCGGTAACGAGCTTCCTTCTCTTGGCCGTCTCGAGCAGACGTTATTTCGATCGCCTTTGTTTTCGCAGAACGGTTACCCGGCGAGGCGTAGATCACTGGTTGATGACGCCCGTTTCGAAACGTTGGTCGTGAAGCAGACCAAGCAGACCGTACTCGACGAGGCACGTCTCAGGGCAAACGGTGAGTCCGCGTTATCTTTTCTCTCAGCGTATCGATTTGGGTTTCTCAATGTACACTTCGTTTTTCTCAGTGTATGTTTTTGTCGAACGCGTACAGTTTATTTCTAAATGCGAAATGTTTTTCGCTTTTTTAGCATAACAAAAAATGCATGCAGTTTGCCTTGCTCTGTTAAACAATTTTTGTTATCTGTGAGTCGTTAGTTTTTTCAACATACTTCTTAATGTACGTTTTTGTAAAACCCATACAAATCAATTTTCTCAACGAACAATTCCATGTTTCTAAACAGTTTTTGTTATTTGCGTATCGTTAGTTATTTCGAAAATATTTCTCAATGTACGTCCTTGTCAAACGCGTACAATTCAGTTTCCTCAAGCAGCAATTTCCGGATTTTCTTTTCAGTGTACAAATTTATTGTTCAACTAAAAATGCGTTTTCTCTAAAGCGCGATTTGCCTTTGTCTGTTAAACAGTTTTTGTTATTTATTATTGTGTTATTAGCTTTTCCCAATGTACGTTTTTGTCAAACCCACACATTTCAGTTTTCTCAACGTTAAATGTTCCTTCCGGATTACGAACGAATTTTCTTCTCAATGTACAAATTCATTACTCAACGAAAAAATGGTTAGCTTATCGGTATACCGTTAGTTTTTTCAAAATATTTCTCAATGTACGTTTTTTTTTTTTTGGTATACGTGTTTGTCGAACCTGTACAATTTTTTGCTGCATTAAAACGAATTTTCTTCTCAATGTAAAGCGCGGTTTTTCAAAGTGTTTCTCAATCCACGTTCATTTTTCATGGTGTGCGCTTTTGTGCGTTTCGAACGGTAAAATTTTTTTTTTCGCAGTACAAATAGAATTTTTTCTCAATGTACACATTTGTTGCTCAAAGAAAAATGTGTTTTCCCCAAATCGCGATGTACCCTTCTCTGCAAAGAAAAATTGTTGTGTGTGGCGCACCTTTCGTTTTTTCAATAAACTTCTCAATGTACGTTTTTATCGAACTCGTACAATTCAGTATTTTCAACGCGGAATTTTCTTTTTTAAACGGAAAATGTGTGCACCGTCAGTATTTTGAAAATGTTTCTCAATGTACGTTCTTGTCAAAGTCGTTCAATGCGTACAAATACATTTCCCTAAAGCGCGCTTTACCCTTCTCTGTTAAACCGTTTTTACTCAATGTACGTTTTCGTCGCATCCGTGCAATTCAGTTTTCTCAACACGCAAATGTCATTATTAAAGATAAAATGCGGTGCAACTTTAGTTTTCCCAATACATTCCTCAATGTACGTTTTCCTTTTTTTTTTTTACTTTGTAAACGTAACATGAACGGATTTTCAAATTAATTTCTCAGTGTAGTTACATTTTCTTTATTTATTTATAATTATTTATTTATGTACGTTTGTTTTGCCTGCTGCACTGTTTGCATTTTTTTCCGTTTTGATTTTTGCACGTTTTTTCTTTTTTTTTTTTTGGTAGACTCTAGCGAGGTAGACCGCGAAGAAGAGAAGGGGACAGACCAAAACGCAGGCGATGGTAAGTTTTGGTTAGTTTAGTTAGTCTACATTTCCGTTCTTGGACCCTATACGCCCGAAGGCGGGACCAAATACGCCGGCCGCATTTTCGAAAAATCGTAACGCCGAGCAATCCCCGCCCCCGCGTCCTGCCATCCTGCCGATCCATCACCCGCTTCATCCGAGCGTGTAAAAGCTTAACCGGTTTAAATTATTGCCGGCAAGGAGAAAAATCGTATTGTGCTCTCTACCCGTCATAATCGCGGGTCGCCTCCCGCCTCTCTAAAAAGCCGCCCCCGCGCGAACGCTCTTAAAAGCGTGTAAAAGCCTTTTCACTTCGCCTTGCTCGCCAGAAGGTTAATATTTTTCGGATCCGGTCTGATAATTTCGCCCGATTGCGGGGTCGAGACGCGTGTCATTGAATCGCTGATTCAAGATTAGACGAACCTTGCGACTCGCCCGGTTTTCGGCCCGGATAACGCGCTCGACCGTTAATCATTTAACGATGCAGGTTGCGACACGCGCGGTTCAAAACGACCCATATTAACGACTATTCCCATTCTAATGTAATCGGGCCTTGAAACGCTGCGAAAACATCGTAAAACGCGAGCCCATTTACTTTAAAACGTCGACCGGCGAACGTAAACGTTATTAACGGTTCCGGGTGGCGATTTCCTGCACCCCGATACGTCACAAGCCCCATTTCGCTCCGCCGTAACTCTCAACTTTTCCATATTTCCCCTTCCCTCGACATTTACACTCTAAATTCCCGTTTCCTGCCAATCAGAGTCACAAAAACAAACGTTTTACTTACTTGTTTTTCAATATTACCTTTCGTTTAACAATTCCTTGCAAAATTCCCATTTTCTTGCCACCCAGTTTTAGAAAAATAAACCTTTTTACCCCTCTTACTTTTAATTTTTTCATATTTCCGTTCGTTCAACAATTCCCTGCAAAATTCCCATTTCCTGTCGCCCAGCATCACAAAAACAAACATTTTTGTGATTACCCTGTTACCGGTTTCCTGCACCTAGGCACCCCACAAACTCCACTTCGCTCGTCCCTAAAGCCCCACTTTTCCATATTTCCTTTCATTTAACAAATCCGTGAGAAATTTCCATCTCCTGCCATCCAGTATTAAAAAAGAAACTTTTTAACCACCCCATTGTCAATTTCCCGCGCCCGACTCCCCCCTACTTCGCTCCACCCTAACTGTTAATTTTTTCTCATTTCCGCTCGTCCAACGCTATATTTTCTTTTGTTCAACAATTCCCTGAGAAATTCCCATTTCCTGCCACCCAGTATTAGAAAAATAAACTATTTAACCGCTTTGTTGCTAATTTCCTCCGCCTCTGCCGGTACCCCATAACCTCCACATTTGTAACCCATGTCTTCTCAATTTTCCCACATTTCCCCACTATTTACAACACACCATATACGATATTAAATTCCTGTGCTTTGTACCCGATCCCGACATTAATGCTGAAATCTTCCGTATTTCCCTTATTCCTCAATTCCCCCGGTTTCGATACCCAGCACAGCAGTACTCTTTGCCCCAAATAAACTTTAGAAAGTAAGGAATTTTTGTTTAGACACCGGCCTCACCGAAGAAGAGGTGGTGCTGGCCAACGCCATCTCGGAAGACCCGGAGGCGGAGAAGACGGTACAACGCGCGGCGCTGGTGCTGCGCCTGCGCGAAGGCATGAACTCGCTGTCGCGGGTGCTGAAGAGCATCGAGAAGTACCAGGGGGTCGTGGTCCATTTGGAAACGCGGCCCAATCAGAAGGACGGTGGCCAGCTGGACGCGCTGGTCAAGATCGACATGTCGAGAGTGAACCTGCTGCAGCTGTTGAAGAACCTCAGACAGTCGATGACCTTGGATCACGCCACGCTGATCGGCGAGGACAACATATCGGCCAAGAACCCGTGGTTCCCTAGACACGCGAGCGAACTGGACGACTGCAACCACCTGATGACCAAGTACGAGCCCGATTTAGACATGAACCACCCAGGCTTCGCCGACAAAGAGTACCGGGCTAGGAGGAAGACCATCGCTGAGATCGCGTTCGCCTACAAATAGTAAGCCCCTCAGTTGTCCATAGTCGGAGGCGACCTTTAACCCCCGGGTTCTTTGCAGCGGAGATCCCGTCCCCTTCATCGAGTACACGGAGACCGAGAACAAGACCTGGAAGTCGGTGTTCACCACGGTGCTCGACCTGATGCCGAAGCACGCGTGCGTCGAGTACCGCCGCGTCTTCAAGCAGCTCCAAGAGGAAGGCCTCTTCGTCGCCGACAAGATCCCCCAGCTCGAAGACATGTCCAAGTTCATGCAGAGGAACACCGGGTTCACCCTCAGACCTGCCGCCGGCCTCCTCACCGCCAGAGATTTCCTCGCTTCTCTGGCGTTCCGCATCTTCCAGAGCACCCAGTACATCAGGCACGTCAACTCGCCGTTCCACACCCCCGAGCCGTAAGTACTGGGAGAAAAAAAGTGCGTCCGAATTGGGCTGTGTGGGGTGTCTAACGAAAGGGCTCGGCGAGGGGGTCGCGGAAACGCGACGCCGCTTCCCGGGGGGGCGGCCGCCCGCAACCGGGACGCCGTTTTCCCTCGGGAGCGGCGTCGACGTCTCGCGTCAAAGAGGACCGGGTTAATTCGATTGCGAGTCCATTATCCTCGTAGATGGCGTCGTTAATTGCCGTTCCAGGGACGGCGGGGTGGGCTTGGGGGGGGGGGGGGGGTTAGGGGGGTCAAAAGTATTATACGACGGCAGGTAATAGGATTTGGGCTTTTTAATTTTCCAGCGATGCGATCCACGAGATATTGGGGCACATGCCGCTGCTGGCCGATCCGAGCTTCGCCCAATTTTCGCAGGAAATCGGCTTAGCCTCTTTGGGAGCCTCCGACGAGGAGATAGAGAAACTGTCGACGGTGAGTGAATTTTTCCTCTCCGACAGGGTTTTATCGGCAGAAATTTCTGCCGTATACGTGAAAGCAACGACCCTATACGATAAAGAATATTTATAAAATGTAAAGTGTGTTCCGATGCTTTACAAGAAACTTTATATATACAGGATGTCCAAATAGTGTAGTAGTATTATATCTGTTTTATTTTGTCTTTTAGAAAAAAACGTTGAATACGAAAGTTATAGAAAAAATATACAGGGTGGTTCGTAAGTATGTGGGAAGCCATATCAATATTTTATAATCACCCAATGTATGGTGAAAATACCGAGTGTTTTCGGATTTATAGCCATTCTTTCGTCCCGTGTTTAGCATTCTATATTTTTGACGCCGTTCGCGACAGCTGCAATCTTAATACGCCAACAATTTTATAAACTGATTTATTTATCCAATACTTGTCTTGAAGTTATCTCGAATCGTTTATTACTATTACTAATCTTTGGTATCTTGACAATATAAATTTTTAAAAAATAAAAGAGCAGTACCTTTTTTCCCGAAGAATTTCAGTTGATGATCCAAGGTGTCGAACGCTTTGCTATAGTCCAAGAGTATGAGACAAGATTTTAATTTAGAATCCGCTGCTCTCAATAAATCATCGGTAACATGGAGCACGTCAGAAGTAGTGCTGTGAAGAGGTCGAAAACCAGATTGAGTGTCTGTGAGGATTTTGTTATCGTGTAAGAACTGACGAAGTTGTTCTGGCTGCAATTTTATACTACCGTTAGTTATTCATATTAATGCTATTGCAATTTTATTAAGCATTCCCTATACTATAACTTATTAAAATCCCCACAAGCCAACAAAAATAAAAATAAATATGTAAATTTTTAAATTTGTAAAAAAGAAGTTTCCTTTCCTTCCATTAATTTAGATATTTTGCTTTTGTTTTTTGTCAAAGTCAAAGTAACAGAAGAAAATGTTAAAATCAAAAGTGATAGAGGAGACTAAAAGAAAACAATTTAAAATTTTCAAATACACAGGGTGATTCATGAACTTATATTTTTTAATCAATCACCAATCACCCAGTATAAGGTTGTTATCGTCTATACTGAGTGTTTTTAAAATTTATTATTTTCCGTTTATTTTTGTTTAAATCTTGGAATTAATAAATTTTGTGTTAACATGTAATTCTACTTAATTCGATGTTTCACTTTAGGTTAATATTTATGTTGTTGTGGTTTAAAAGTTTTGAGTATTTTCTTCTAACAAATACCAAGTAAATTGCAAAATCATTAATAATAGTAATTATTATTTTTTTATACAATAAATACAATACAATTAAAATCGTTAACCCCAGTGGCGTCCCAACGTCGACCGATATTTTCGAGAGAAAAAAAAGCGTGCGCCGCTGAGTTTCGTATTTTTTCGCGTTAAAAGGCAAGAAAATGGCAATTTTTCGACCCTGGGAATCGAGATAGAAGCCAGGGGGGGAGTTAGGCGCGTCGCCAGATGCGCCTTTTGCATAACCCACGCCATCACGGTCAAGAATGGACACGCTCGAGCGGCCGCGCTAAATCGGCCATAGAATGCGTACATGGCCGCGCGGTCCACGTCATCGCGAATCTAGGTCTCCCGATTGGCGTCGTCAAAACTTGAAGCCTCGCTGCTTTTTTCTAAGCGATCGGATCTCTCGTCGTTCTAATCGTCGTGGTAGACGACCACCCATACACCGTCTCACCGAGTCCTTTAAACTCGATTTGCCTTTGCTCCCAATTATAACCTTAAACATCATCAAACCGGCAGATATAAATCTATAACCTCACTTTCTGCTTCGAAAGTTGACCCTTTAAACGCGATTTGCCTTTGTTCCTAGTTATAATCGGTTTCCTTTCACTTAAACCGGCAGATATCAACTTAAAACCTTTTTGCTTCGAACGGTGCCTTTTTTTAGTCGACTTCGGTCGCATTCCAGTCAAAATCGGTTTTTCCGCCACTTATCAACTACATACCTTACCTTCCGGCTAAATGCAACCAGGAATACAACAACAAAAGTCGCGACTGACCTCTATATATGTATACTATGCACGAACGTGCCACAAATAGACGTAAATAGATGGTCACGTGCAAAGGAAACAAATAGCAGCTACTGTGCCGCCAACGTGATTGCTGCGTGAACTAAATTCGACTCTTAAAATATGAATTTGCGAGAATTCTCATAGAAGTAACTTTTGCGCATGATGATTGCGTACGTGTGATAAAATATATAGCAAATTATTATTAAACGTTAATATTAACCATTAACCATTCGACTTATAATGACACAGATAATGAAATAAGCATCGCAAAATATTATTTTAAATAATTAAAATAACAATTTACACAGTATGTAGATTTAAAACGAAATCATTGAAAACTGTAAATTGTAAGGAAAATCTTTTTTTTTCTGTTAGCGCTATTTTTAGAGTCGAAAGTATTATGCGGTATCAATGTAACAGGTTTTCCTATAAAATGCAATGTTTTAATTTTAATTAAACTAACCAAAAGCCGTTCAATCTTAAATACCTTGGTTCATTGGTGCCAAAGGGGACATTCATATTTATTTTATTGTAAAAAGTTTACCAGTCTTGTTTTACAAAAGGGAATAGAGAAATATCACATCATCAATATCTTTTTTTTGTCTATGGGCGTCGCATAACCTCGCTGTTATCTGTGCCGCAGGTGTACTGGTTCACCGTCGAGTTCGGCTTGTGCAAGGAGGAGGGCGAGACCAAAGTGTACGGCGCTGGACTCCTGTCCGCCTACGGCGAGATGCTCCACGCGCTGTCCGACAAGCCTGAGCACCGTCCGTTCGATCCCGTGTCCACCGCCGTCCAACCTTACCAAGACCAAGAATATCAACCGGTGTACTACGTGGCGGAGAGCTTCGAGGACATGAAGGACAAGTTCAGGAGGTGGGTGAGCGCGATGTCGAGGCCCTTCGAGGTGCGATTCAACCCTCACACCGGCCGGGTGGAGGTGCTGGACTCTGTCGACAAGCTGCAATCGCTCATCCAGCAGATGAAGACGGAGGTGCTGCACCTGACCAACGCGGTGCACAAGATGAAGACGCCCGGCCTCCAGTAGACCTCTGTCGCCGTCGCCGTCAAAGTTTTAGGTTGTGTTATCGCGAAATCATTTGTTAGTTTGTTGTATAATATATTCTGAATTATTTATGTAAAATTAGGCGTCCCGGAGTCTCTATGTAGTAGTCGTAGTTTTCGGTAGGTGATTCAAAAGTATTAGCCGTCGAGGTTATCGCGGTCGACGTCGTAAAAGACAGCGGAGCGCGGGCCCCACCTCCCCTCCCAGCCTCCAAAGGCTACCGCTGCCGCCCAAGTGTTGTACATAGATGTTAACTGTTAAAAATATATATATGTATACGAAATGGATATGTACTTATGTGACAATAAATGTGCAATATTGAAACAAACGTGTTGTTTTTCCCACCCCAAACCCCCAAGGGGTGCGTAGGGGTCGATATTATTGTCCCACACTAAGTTAGGTCTTCTCCTAAGTCTCTTTTTTCTTTCGTACCATTGCGTTACTCTCGTCGTCCATCTATTATCCGTTATTCTCGCCAAGTGTCCTGTCCATTGTCATTTGAGGGTTTGAGGATTCTTTTACGGTCTCTCTTGGTTACTCTACTATCTCTAGTGGTGTATTGTTTATTTGTATTTCTTGTGTAACTATCAGTTCATTATACGAGGTTAGCGCCAAAATTTCCCGGCCTGTCGAGTGTGCGCGGTCTTTTTTGGAACTCTGTGGGTCGGAGATGAAATTATGGTTCTCTATTATGACCCTCTATCGAAAAAAGAATCAATGGAGTGGCGTCGTCAGGGTGAAGCACCTCCAAGAAAATTCAGAGTCTACCAGTCAACAAAAAAGATGATGGCCACGGTCTTTTGGGATTGATACATTTAAAGAAACTAATACCACTGTCAATGGTCAATATTACGCAATATTATTACATAAATTACGAGACTGCATAGGTGTAAAACGTCGAGGAAAGCTGACCAGAGGCGTGCGTCTTTTGCACAAGCTGCCATTTTAGAGTGTGGGTTCCAACAGATAGATCATCGTCCCTATAGTCCAGATATGGCCCCCACCGTCTATTATTTGCTTGGATATTTGAAAAAGGACTTACGTGGACGGCGGTTTAACGACGAAGTTGAGTTAAAAGAGGCTGTTTTATCTCATTTTTCAGACAAACCAAAAGAATATTTTTTAAATGGACTGAGTTGTTAATAAAGAGATGTAATAAATGTATTATATGGAAAAATAATATAAAAATGTTACTATACTTTGTTTCTTTCATATCCAGGCCGGGAAATTTTGGCGCTGCCCTCGTACATTATTATCGTCTTTCTTATGTTCATTTTGCCATGCCATGTTTAGCTCGTTAATCTGTAGTTGTAGTTCTTCTGGAGTATATATTGCAGAGTTCAGTACACTCTATTCTCTGAATATTGTTGAACATCGTCTGGTATTGATTTGAGTTTTCTCTCAACTACTCCTGTTATCTTCGATTTTCTCACTAGCTTTACTCTTTCCAGTTTTATATTGACGAGGATTTTAGCTCTGATTCGGAAGGTCGTAGGATTAGGCTTGCTACCCAATTTGAGATACTTGTCGCATTAATGATTCGGTCTGTCCATGGTAGTAGAGGACGTTGACAGATTCCAATGGTTCCTCTCCATTTCGTCTGACCTTCTGCTTCTTTTTCCAGTTCTATTATTTTGGTCTGGTTTGAAAGTGTTAGGCAGTTATAACTAGCTACGAATAACGGATTCTTATCACCCTCTTCCCTTCTGGCTAGCTCCTAGGATCTACCCCTCACAGGACCATTAGGGTCTACAGCATTATCCTTGTTTCTCATGCTGGAGTTGTGAGATCTACCTTACCACGCTGACTCAATGCGGGTTGGTAAGGAGGTAGGGATGCCGTCAGTCAGCTTTCATCATTTACTGCCGGAGCTTGTACCCCCGAATTTTCTGAACATATTTATATAAAAGAAGTCCTATGTTTTAACCGAGATTCATTTCATTTAAATTCAGAAAAGCACAACTTTGACGATAATAAAAAGCAAAAAAACTAAATTTGTTGGAAGCTATGGAGATTAACAAAATCAGATATTCGAATTTATTACTTAATGACCTGTTGGATTTAAAGGCGTCGCCGTTGTTAAGTTTAAATTTATATTTTGTATTTGATAAAGGCTCGGTGTTGCCGAAACAGCTGTCATAAAATATTAAAAACTGTAAAAAACTGAACATTTTTGTTCTAATTTAATTTGTATTAAATGCAGAGCATGATGCAAGGTCTTTGCACGAGCCCTTGCGTTTCTTTCTTGTAGTTTACAAATCGCTCTATATCTGACGAATACTTTGTGTATATATTGTTTATAGGCGCTTTAAAATGTTTTGCAACTGCTACAAAATAAAACGAAAACTACGAATTATTTTGAAATTTAAAAAAAAATCAATTAAAATGAAAAAATTCTTGATTTAAAAAAATCAATGATTTTTGATTTTTTTCATAAAAGTCAAAGTTCGACTGACAAATATGCTGAATTGTGGATTGCCAACATATGCCCTACAAATACTGTATTTTGATTGGTTTATGACGGTCATGTGACCCAAAGATAACGTATTAGGCACATCTCGAAGTTAACTAAGCATCTCCAACAATCTAAAACTACGAGAATATGCTAAATACAAAAGTGTTAAGATGGAAAATTTAATTTGTTTTTATGAAATACCATATTTTTTGATTTTGTTCAATATAAAATTCTCCAACTTTTTTATTAATACATAACTAACCCTAATACCAGGGCCGAGTTAAACTAGTCTTTTGGCCATTGGCATAGTCGGTGAATGACTAGGTTTAGATTTTCACCAAGGAGTTTCACACCACACCTCTGCTGGAATGACTTCTTTGCCCCATAGATTTGTTGTTATTTTATTTTGTGGAAAATGTCCTTTGGTTAGTTTGTGTTGACGATTCAATGCCCACATTCTCTCTGCACATCTCCGCTTAGAGGGCTTAGGCAATTTTTTCTTATAAGAAAAACCGTAATGCGATCGTATACGTTTATTTGCGACAAGGGCGGGAAGAAAATGGTCAGTCAAGGATGCAAGAGCCGCAAGGATCGCATCCTGCAAGAACAATAACCGAATAAAAAAGAAACCCGCCTCTAGGTACTACGAAGGGCTAAAAAAGAGGAGCTACGCGGAAACGCGATGGTAGCACATGGTCGAAAATCCCCAACGGCGTTCGGGTTCGGCCGGTGGCTTGTTTGTAACAGCCGATCCACCCACAGCTGAGAAGTTTATTTTTTTCTATTAAACAACCAGCTCGCCGTCTTTACTTAGACGGCTACCCAGGTTATTCCATGCACATATCAACGAGTAAATTAGGCAATTTTTGGCAGTTGTTAAAATCGGAAAAACACAATGCTCCCGGTGGGAATCGAACCCACAACCTCCAGCGAGTCGAGTTGGCAGGTCTAACGCCTTACCAACTGAGATATCCTCGGACCCCGCTGAGGCGCAACGAATACGTGATCGAGTGACGGAATGTTTAGGTTAGAACCAGCGATTTTTATAGGGATATCAAATTTGAAACTTATTTTCAATGATTTATCTTACTTTTTTAAACAGGAGTTCAGTTAATTGTGGTAAATTCATAAGGTTTCAAATGCAGAACAGAAGCAGAACCCCTTAAATAGTTTTTCACGACGACTTTATGTATGTAAAATTGATTTAATATTTTAAAGTAGCTCACAAAAAAGGCGTTTTGTATATTTAGTGCAGAAACGTCGTATTTTATAACATTGTTCAACCCTTTAGAGGTTAATAAATATATGAATCTTTAAGTTATTGCAAAAAGATATCTCAAATGCACAAAAACAAAATATCAAGCATCAGGAAAGGTTGAAGAGAATGTTGTATTCATCTTAAGGAAGGGACAACATAATCATAATCAAAATATTTGTAGAAATGTGTAGTACGACTGAAACTATATAAGTATTAATAAATTTCAACTATGTTAACATAATTTTAGAAATGCTGAAGGTGCCTTACTTCCTTCAACTCAATGTGTACCTCTATGCAGAGGGAGGCAATCGAATGTACCTGTAGAACTGAAAGACTTGACTAGAGTTATGGCAGCAAGCGAGTTTGGTTATACAGTTATTAATCTGTAATCCTATAAATTGAATGTTATAAAATACGACGTTTTTGCACCAAAAATGCAAAAGGCCTTTTTTGTGAGCTACCAAGAAATATTAAATCAGCTGTACCTCGTTCCGTTGCACCTTCTGAGTGAAAAACTATTTAAGGGGTTCCGTTCCTGTTTTGCATTTTAAACCCACAATTAACTGAATTCCTGTTTAAAAAAGTAATAAAATGTGAAACTAGTAAGATAAATCATTTTAAATAAGTCTCAAACTTGATATCCCGAGAAAAATAGCTGGTTCTAACCTAAACATTCTGTCACTCGATCACGTATACGTCACGTCTCAGCTGTTGGCCGATCGGCCGTTACAAACCACCCGAACCCGAACGCCGTTCGGGATTTTCGGCCATTCGAACATTCGTTCATTTGTTACCATCTCGGGATTTTCGACAATTCGAACATTCGGCCGCGGTAACTCCTTCCTTTTGGACTTCCGCACCGCTCCGCGCCTTACTGGGTTCATCCCCGAGCACTCCCGAAGGGGCAGTCGATGAAGCGAGGCTCCTGAAACCGTCGGGGGAGGGATAGACTCCAGACTGGTCCCTCCCCCGCATGAAATCCTGGTACACCGCGAGCCGCATCATGCACGAGGCATTATTGGGTGCCCTCCTGATGGGCGACGGTGAGTCCCCGTAAGTCCGAAAGTCTCTGGGCATCCTGGGACTACGGGGCGGACTACCCACGAACCGTCTGTCGAAGGCCGAGCTGGGGTCTTGGTAGAACTGACCGTGTGGGCTCGCGCTTTGGTACCCCCCGATGCTCCTGGGCGGGGTCGTCGAATACTCCACGCCACCTGTGAAAATAACGATCAGTTTGATTGGGCTATTTGGGCTGGGGGCTTCGAAGTGTCCGTACGCCTCGTGGCAAACGTCGACGGCGGCCAAATGGTGGACACCTGGGGCGTGCCCGGAGACCCAGGTTCGCAGACGCAGTCTTCGACGCCCACGTCATCATCGACCGGTGAAGATCGACGCACCTTCAACCGAGCCAATATCACACCTCCCAACTAACAAATGGCCTATCAACATTTGCGGAACCATTTTTTATAAAATAACAATGCCCATTAATTTGTTTTATTGTATACTTCGATCAGAAATATAGTGCTTTTACAACTTATCCCGTGATTCACTTTGCCTACTGTTTATTACTCAAACCCCTTATAGAAACCCCTACCCGTAACATTCCAGGAATGTATTTACCTACACTAACAAGTGGGATATAAGTATGTTGTTAATCTTTTTCGCAGAGCAATTCTTGAAACATTTACATAAGAAAAATTAGTACAAAGTAGCAATTTATTACGTTCACTTAAAAATCGGCACTATCGCTACTGTCGTCGCCTAGTTCACTAATCGTTCTGGATGAATATTTTCTTCTTTTATCCCATTCAAAAGCAATTGGTCACTTTCTTATATCTATGAACAGACCATACCTCCGAGCCTTTCATGATCTGCCGGTACAAGATGGCGGTGTCCGGCCCGCTCCTCCTGCCCTGCTGCAGCCGCACCATCTCCCGCTGGAGCAGGTCGATCTCGCGCTGGGCACGCTCCAGCTTCCCCGCCATGTCCCGGAGCAGGTCTTCGGTTGGACACGCGCACGGTTGCTGTTCCGCCACTTCCGAATCACCTGGAGCTTTTCAAAAGTGATAACTCTACCGGGAGAAGGACGGGGCTCACCTCCAGCTGCGGGGGCCTCCATAGACCTAATGGCAGCGCAGATTTCTTCGGATGCACTTTCGGGAGACGCCGCCCCGTCCGGAGGGGCCTCTTCGGGCGCCGCGGGCGTAGCCGCCGACAGGAGGGCGGCGCCCGCCTTGCATTGGGGCTCGCACTTGCCCTCCGCTCTCATCTTCCGGTTGATGGTGTCCATGAGGTGCGTGGAGGCTTTGATGAAGGTCACCATCGTCTCCATCATGTGGTTCCACGCCTGGATCTCGTCGGGGCTCGAGTTCGACGGCGGGGCCTGCGCGGCGTCCATGTTTCCGGGGGCGAATTTTGACGGGATTTCGTGACGTTGACAAAGTTGTCAAATTGATGCGGCCGTCCAAATTCTAGTAGAAACCATGTCGAAACAAGGCACCCACGCCGCCCCCAAGCCCTCGGACACGCGCCCTCGGACCGACCACTCGAACCACGAGCAGTTCCTCAAAGCGCTGGCCGACCTCATGGACCAGTCTTGGGCGGCGGTGTCGCAGCTGCGCGAAAAGTCCGGATTGCCGGCCGCATGTGAGACCATGGGCGCACTCTAGCACTCCCGGAAAGCTAAACGGTAGTTTTCCAGATCAACCGGACCGCGCGGGTATCCAGAAGAGGCTCCGGGAGCTTTCCAAGGAGCTGGACGAGAAGTACCGCCAGGTCCGGGACCTGGAGGAGGAGAAAAGTCGCCTGATCGCGGTGAGCGCGGGCGGTACGGTAGGTTTCGAGTAAACTTACACCATCGGAGATGATTTCAGCGGCAGCAAGCAACGACGGCACCAGGTCCCTCCCGCGTGAGGACGTACGCGGAGGAGCAGTGCGAGGAGGACTGCTAACAGGTATAATACGACCAAAAATATAGTGCATTTACTACTAGTATTTCGCAGTACCTTAAACGTAGACCCTCACGGGACCGTGGTAAGACCCATCCCAACAGAGATTTATAGTGCATTAAGTAGGTTTTGCGTGAGATGGGCCGTTCAATCTTGATAGTGAATTTTATACCAGTATGTAATGAGTTAAAGTAATTAAAAAAAATGAGACATTCAAATGTATTGCTTAACGATCAATTAGATTTAAATACCTCTCCTTTATTGAACTTGGAGCAAAGTTAATCACGTAAAAGCACTATATTTCTGGTGCAACTATACTTTCTCGCGTGGCCGCTACATTTCGTGCGTTGCAGGAATGTAGTTACTAAGCGACCACCAGTCGTCCGTCACTTCGCGTCACCGTCCGTCGAAATTCCCGTGCGAAACATGTCGGCGTCGCGCGTAACCGACGGCGCCGACGTCCACGCGTCCCTCGCCAACTCCGAAGAGTTTATGGACGCCCTAGTCGAGTTCATGAACCAGGCGTACGTGGCGGTCGCGCAGTCGCGCGAAAAGCACGGCATGGCGTCTTCGTGCGGCGCACCAGGTACGTAGACCTCGTCGGAGAAAGCGACCGTTGCCTAAACGTGTGGCCGTTGCAGTGCAAATGTCCGAGGACGAGAGACGATCGAAGCTGGACGCTATAGTGCGAGTGCTGGAGGCGAAATTCACGGAAACGGCGTCGGCGGAGAAAGACGCCGGACAAATGAGCGGCGACACTCCGCCGAAGGTATGGTCTGTTCATAGATATAAGAAAGGGACCAGTTGCTTTTGAATGGGATTATCCAAGGGTGGTTATTAACATACAATGCAACAAGATTATTACCTAAAGTTTCGGAATTTAAATTCAGGTAAAATTGTGGTCCATAATAGAAAATAATTTTATACCTACCTGTGTTTAATATTCTTTGGTTTGGTATACTACTTAGTTCAAGTTTATTAGTAATCATTCTTATTTCGTGTGTAATACAGCGTGTGTTGAATCGTGTGCGAACTACGCAAAATATGTGCGAGTCTAGTGTATCTCAGGAGATGCTCCCGCCCAAATGTAGAAAACACTATTTTATTGCGACTAAGGAAGTTATAAGAAGAATGTTTATTTGACTCTCATTGAACGTGGTGTCGGCAAGCAATCATCTTTAGAAGAAACGGCCACATTGACGAAAATTCCAACATCAACTGTATAGAAAATTGTGAATAATCCCATTTCAGCGACGAAAAAAAGAAGCGATGCTGACTTTTTCTCGAGTGTAGATGAAAGTGATCAAGATATAATACGGCGTAAAATTTACCAGTTATACGAGGAACAAAGCGAGCCTACATTAGATATCTTAATTAGGAGGCTTGAAAAAGATGAAACCGGTGTTAAATGTGGCAGAACTACCTTACGGAAGTGTATTCAACGCATGGGTTTTAGATTTTTAAAAAATTCTTTTGCGTCTTATGGTTCAACAATTTTTTTGGTCTCGTAAACGGTTTTTGAAAAATGATGTTTTTGTAGATTCTTGCACAAGCGATTTTTATATTTTTTTAGAATACTTCCCGACCCCCAGCCCACCCATTTTCAATAGGTTCCTTCACGGGGCAAAGCTGCATATATATGCCAAGTATGAAGTCGATTGCTTCAAATTTCAGACACTTATAGTGTTTCATAGCAATGTTCAAAAAACAATCGAAAATCGCTATTTCTTATAATCTTATGTGCCTCGTGGAGGGTTAAAAAGTAGACAAATTTCAATTTTGTAGCTCCAATGGTTCAAAAGTTATTCAGGAAAAACCAAAAGACGATAACGGAGAACGGACAAACAGAAAAAAAAATTTTTTCGATAGTGATCATTTCTGTACCAACAGCGATCCCATAGGAGCTCAAGCGAAAGTCTACGCAAGAGACCTATCTTTTTTCTAATTAATTTTTTTACACATATAATCTACATGTTGTGAGAAATTTAACTGAGAATCTAGAACTACTCCCTTATGCTTCATTTGTGAAACATTACAAAATACATACATACATAAAAATACATTACAATTTTTTTTACTTCCAAATACCATATATGTTGTTTTACTTAAATTTAACATGAGTTTATTTACGCACAACCAGTCACTAAGACACGCCACTGGCGCGGCCTACGTGCGAGACCTCGCTTTCAAATTGCCAATTATCCAATTATTTGTTAGGATCTTAGACCGGAGACGCCAGCGCAGCGGCACGGCTACCCGCCGACGCCGCTGCCCACGCCCAAGACGCTCGCATTTCCACAACCCTCCCGGTACGCCCGGACGACGAGAACGACGCCGTGGACGCCGGTCGCGACGCCCGGCGTCGGCCGTTTCTCCAGCGCGACGCCGGTCGGTCACGGACGCACCTTCGCCGTCGCGTACGACAGGTCCAGGTCCCCGATGCCGCCGGAACTCTTCGGTTGCCATCCGGAGTGCGACCAAGTCGCCAGACGTGTAAGTTAAATGCGACCGCAGCGCCATCTCCGAGTGACAGTTGAAACCGTCAACTAAACTAGTTAGGCGAGACGCCGCCCGATGGCGCGGAAAATGTTACAAAATCCGCGTGAATACAAGAAAAACAATTTTCTGTGACAAGCTTCAAAGCAAAACTCGCGGCTTCAGACTTGTACTTTGGGTCCCTTGGATTTGTGCCGTTATTTAAAGATATTTTTTGAATTCGTAAAATCCACGCTATTGGACGGTCGTCTAACCAGACATGAGAGCTCATCGTCAAGAAGAAGAATCCACGCCTTTTTAATTATTTATTACTCCATCTGGGATTTGGAGTTAATAGAAACTTATTATATTATATTGGCAAATATCAACACACTTTTTATTGCAAAAACTATCTGTAAGAAATTACTACAGCGTGTTCATGCGAAAACGCATATTGGCCTTTTTTGTTAATTTAAGATCAACAAAAAGATACACTATGTCATTTTTTGGGCGCCTTGTATTTTTTTGTTGTTTTGTTATTGGTAGTCTCTGAGGATGCCCCAACTTTTGTATTCAATATTACTGAGAAAAAATATATACATTTGGGCCTCGCATTACCAAGTAATAAAATGACACGTGGGCAGACATAATAATAATTTATTTATTCAAACTCCAAAATACAAATAAGCATAAAAGAGGTAAACAAAGAACTTTAAAAATAAAAATATCGGATCCCGGGATTTAGGTATTTACTTACTAATATCACAGTTAGATATTACTTTTAGGAAATAATTAGCAGTTCATTTGCTATTAAAATTGCCTCTTCCGGCTTAGGCTTTAACTTTTAACTTAACTTTAGGCCTTTATGAGTTCCGATAGATTCATTGCATATTTTTATCAACAGCTTGGATTCGGATTGGGGTTAGATTTATTTATAACACTCACTAATTTGTACTTTTGTGTAATTCGGTAACGACTAGTCTCGTCTATAATTAATGCATACGCTTTATCTGAAAAAAAAAACAAAATGAGAATTACATTATTTTAGAAAAGTATACTCACCATTACCCGTCAACAGAGCAATTAACCATAAAAAACAGAAGTACTAGATATGCAATACATTTAACATATCTTGCAAATTTAATCTCACACCAATTGCGTCGAGTTTATCTGAAATTGAAGGAACAAAGACAGTCCATTCAAATAGAAAACCATTGAAGTTAAATATTTACCTGAAAGAAATTTTCTTAAATAAGCTCTCAAGTTAGACAAACAAGACGACCTTTCAAACTGAAGCCGCGAGTAAAAGTAAAACGTTCCTCAACTTGTTTTCTTTATGTTTCAGATCGCCCCCAGGCCAGGATACAGCCGAAGACTGTTCTAGCTCACGTCAAAACATTAAAAGTAAATAAATTCACACTTCGTTGTTTAATTACGCGCCGCGCCATCTATGAGGAATAGTTAGAAGCGCCATGTAGGCAGGTTTCGCGACGCCACGCGATGGCGCCACCCGTTAAATTTTTTTACGCCCTCACCCGGTAACTCAAAGCCAAAAACGTTGAAAATAATGTCGTCATGATGCTTTATTGCCTCCGCTGTTTATTTTTTGCACCCCTCCGGAGCTGCGCCCTCAGGTTTCGAACGCTTCGCGTGTATCCCGCTGTAGCCGAGACTCTGTGGCTTCTTGAAGGGCGCGGAGGTGACGCCCTCGCCCACCGACCTCTCGGGAAGCGTGCCTGGAACCGAAAAAACCTCGTTACCGATCCCTTTTCAAAAGAACCGCCTCCCCTAAGACCTTTGGTCTGCGTTATGCCGTCGTCGGCGCGTACGGTTTGCTTCGGATGCCTCTGCAGACGTTTCGTCCTTTTACTCTCGCCGTCTTCAGCGCGACTCGGCACGTCCACGCGCAGACATTCCTTGTAAAACTCCATCCGGATCTTGTCGTCCTCCAGCTTTCTAATTTCCTCCTCTTTGGCAGCCTCGTGATCCTTCACGCGCCCACGGAGGATCTCGAGCATGGTTCTCGACGCGGCTATAAACTCCACCACGCTGTCCACCATTTCTTTCCATTGGGGGCGGCCCGCGGCCGCGGGCGCCGGGTCCGGCAGCTCCAGTTTCTGCGACATCGCGAATTTTGACGTGCGACTGCATCACACGTCACGCTCGCGTCTAAATCGCCCTGCAAGGTTCCGCAACGTTGCCAGATCGCGCGGGTTTTCGTCGTAGGGAAAGAAATCGCTACCGTACCAAAACGGACAACGTCGTCGATAAGGCGTCGCCCCCCGGTCGTACCTTGACCTTTCCACTTGCGTTTGCGTGGATCGCTGATACTCGACGTTTATTGCGGTTCGGAAATGAATGTTTTTCTTATCAGTCGATAAGTACGAGAGACCCAGCTGCGTCTTAAAAGGATCGCGGTTTTTCGGTCGAATTTTTTTCTCTCTCGTGGTCAGAACCAGTGCGTTTTACCATGGCCAAGGTCAGCGTCGACTTGCCCGACATCGAGGTGAGTCACCAACGGTACCTCATACTGCCAAGGCTTGCCGCAGAACCGCGGCGCACACAAAAGTACACCTTTCGAGGTCATTGCAGTTTTTTTCATTTTTTTCCTTATTATTATTACATAATAGTAATAGTAGCACAAGTAATGACGACTGTTCATTAACGAGCTTTCAAAAATCGAAAATATTAAAAATGACGCGGCGCCTCCATGGTTTTCGAGTTTTCCAGAACCTGCTGTCCCTGAACCCGAGGGTGCGCTGCCACGCCACGCTCGTACCGTCCGCCGACACCAAAACCAACAAGCGCCATTGGAAACGCAACGCGACCAAGAAATGCCAAGTGCGTATACTTCCACCAGAAATATAGTGCGTTTACAACCGACCCCGTGATTGACTTTGCTCCAAACCTTATAGAACACCCCGCCGAGCAGACCCTTCCCCGTAACCATTCCAGGACCGTCCTAGAAATTTATCTACCTACACTAACAAGCGTTTCGCCGAGCAATTCTTGAAACGTGATATTTTAGCTACCTCTTGCCGAATTACGTCGCTATTTGCGACGAACTTGCCCCGCTCACCGACGATTTTCCGAAAGCAGTCTCGTTTTCACTGCTGCTCCTACTTCCCCTTCCGAATTTCTTATAAAATTGTAAACATTCAATTTGTTTAGCTTCCGAGGACAAACGGATCGGTTTTTTTAGTTGCTGAAGTAGTTCGTCTTCTGAATTCTCATTAGGTTCGACTACACGTTACACTTCTTCTTCAAATTCTGCGTTGTTTTCTATGTCTTCTTCTAGCAGGGGAATATCTGTTTCAATCCACATTTTAAAGTGTTAAAAAATAGGAACCTTCAAAAAATGTATAATTGTAAGATTCTAATCCTATTTATCTCTATTCTTATGACGTACTTTTATCTACTGCGACTGTTGTTGTTTGCAAATTGAAGAACTGTGTAGAAGACACAAAAGTACAAGAAGAAGAATGTTGTTAATCGACAGGCACACAAGACAAAAATGATGAGCCTTTGAACTATCTGGTGAAAACAGTCTCGCAGGGTCAAAGCTCGAGGATCGGGTACTTAAATACGTACTTGCTGGAAGGATTACAGTGAAATACCATTTTCCAACTACCGATTACTAATTTTCCATACCCCAGCAGCATCAACGCTTAATCAAATTTAAAACGGTCCATTTACGTTTTGAATAAAAATTTCAAGTTTCTACAAATATTCGTTATGGTCCATCTTAAGGTGCTGTAAAATACTTATAACGTTCAAGCAGTGATTGCACTATATTTTTGGTCGTATTATACAACGATTTGATTTCAAGGGTTCCGATTCGTTGGAAAACGACTTCTCCGACGTCAAACCGACCACCTTGTCGGAGAGGGGAGCCCTGCGCGAGGCCTCCAGGTGTCTGAAGTGCGCGGACGCGCCCTGCCAGAAATCCTGCCCCACACAACTCGACGTGAAGGTAAAGTCTGTTCATAGATATAAGAAAGTGACTAACTGATACGAATTAAGGAAAGACCCTGGCAAGCTGTAAGAATGAAATATGGCCGAACAGGTCCGTACTTTGCTTAGAATTTATTTGGTGTCTTCATAGTAATCCGGAGAAGAATCTTTAAGATTTTTCGCAGACAGAGAAAGTCCATTTGGAATCCAACCATCTTTAGAGCCAGCATGAAAAATAGTTATTCTTTTACCTTTTTTTGATGGCGCGTTTGTTTTACACTTCTCAGTTGAGTCAACCGAACCCTTTTCCGGGGTATCATAAGTGTCGACCCAGGTTTCATCCAAGTAAATAATTGGCCTTTGTTGTTCTCTGTAAATCCTATTTTTTTCTAGATATTCCAGTCGCCATTTCCGAATTCTAAAAGATGCTATTAAAACTTGCCTTTCGTTAATTTTTTTTAAATCTAAAAGCCATGTGTTGAATACACTTCCATTCTTCACATTTAACACCGGTTTCATCTTTTTCAAGCCTCCTAATTAAGATATCTAATGTAGGCACATTTTGTTCCTCGTATAGCTGGTTAATTTTACGCCGTATTATATCTTGATCACTTTCATCTACACTCGAGAAAATGTCAGCATCGCTTCTTTTTTTCCTCGCTGAAATGGGATTATTCACAATTTTCCATACAATTGATGTTGGAGTTTTCGTCAATATGGCCGTTTCTTCTAAAGATGTTTGCTTGCTGGCACGACGTTTAATGAGAGTCAAATAAACATTGTTTATAAATTCCTTAGTCTCAATAGAATAGTGTTTTCTCCTGACATACACTAGACTTGCACATATTTTGCATAATTCGCACACGATTCAAAACACGCTGTACTACACACGAAATAAGAATGATTACTAATAAACTTAAACTAAGTAGTATACCAAACCAAAGAATATTAAACACAGGTAGGTATTAAATTATTTTCTATTAAGGACCACAATTTTACGTGAATGTAAATTCCGAAACTTTAGGTAATGATCTTGTTGCATTGTATGTTAATGACCACCCTTGGATAATCCCATTCAAAAACAATTGGTCACTTTCTTATATCTATGAACAGACCATACCTCTCCCCCTCCAGGTCGACGTAGCGCCGCCATTGCACTCCCCACCTTTCAGGCTTTCATCACTAGCATCGCGAACAAGAATTACTACGGTGCCGCGCGCGCCATCTTCACCGACAACCCGTTGGGTATCACGTGCGGCATGGTGTGCCCTACGAGCGACCTCTGCGTCGGAGGTTGCAACCTGCAGGCCGTCGAGGAAGGCCCGATCAACATCGGTGGCCTCCAGCAATTCGCCACAGAGGTTTTCAGTCAGATGGGGCTGACGCAGACCAGAGACCCGACGTTGGAGCTCCCCAGGAAGCCGGACGCGGAGATCGTCCTCGTAGGGGGCGGACCGGCCTCCCTGTCGTGCGCAACTTTCCTCGCCCGTCTGGGTTACAGGAACCTCACCATCTACGAGAAGGAACTGGCACTGGGTGGTCTAAGGTACCGTAAAACTAAAGTTATAAAACGACTGTTTGGTGTGGTCCACACATTTTAACGTTCCTTCTTCTTCTTCTTGCGTGAGCTTCTGCTTTAGAAGTTGCTGACCATCACCGCTACATTCACTTTTGATACTGCTGATCTGAATAATTCAATTGAGGATAGACCAAACCATTCTCGAAGATCGCGTCTTCATTAATTATGGTGCCAAGGTATTTGTCGTGTCTTACTTGTTCAATTGTTTTCCCGTCTACGATGAGCTGACCTGTTGCTTGCTTCCTTTTTGTTATCACCGTCATTTTAGTCTTGTTGATGTTCATGTTGAGACCGTAATAATAATAATGTTTATTTCCATTGACTTTTAAGAAAAGTATCGGATAATGCCAACAAGTAAAAAAAAAACATTAGAACGCACCCTCGACTGACCTCGAGACTTCCCCAACATTGTTCGAACAATACGTTTTTGTTGGACAAAAACTTCACTATCGGGTCATACCACTTACTGCCCCAATGGCCAAGAACGTGAGATCTTCCAGACTCCTAGATGACACTGCCACAGCAGTATCATTTGCATATAAGAAAACATAATATAAATAATAAACAATATTATAAATAATAACGGTCCCAGTATGGTGAGTTCTTTAGATGAGGATCTAATCACTTCTAGGCACAACTCTTTGGTCACGACCCTTCAAAATCTTTGCTACTTTGTTTAATAGTCTTTGTACAACCTCACACAAAACAGTGTCGTCAGCGTACCTCTTCGGAAAGAGCGTTATCTATTCTGACCTTAGCGGCTTGGCTCCAATACAGCTTTGATATAATCTGCATGTTGTGATATTCGATGTTCAGTTTTCCTAGGATTTCCATTAGTTTTTCATGCCTGACATTATCAAACGCCTTACTATAATCGACAAAGCACACATAGAGATCCTGATTGACGTCTAGGCATCTCTGGGCAAGAACGTTAAAGGCGAAAATGGCTTCCCGAGTTCCAAGCCCATCGCGGAATCCAAATTGCGTGTCAGAGGTTTCAGTTTCGCATATGTTCTGTATCCTGGCGTGCACGAGTCGGTGGTCGTCACGTTTAGATGGTCGAGGTTTTTTGGGATTGGACAAAAGTAGACAGAAGCCATATACCAGTCTTGTACACGTCCTTGAACAGATCTAAGAATGTTCGTCAAGCAATTTCAAAAGCTCACAATGCACATCGTCTGGTCCTACTGCTTTGTTATTGGAAGTGGGTTCTCGGTTGTTGTTAGCTCGTAGTCAGTTGTCCGTTGGTCATATATAAGTTTTCCAGATCTCCAGCTTATTCTCGATGGTCAAAATTATTGAATTTAGTTCATTACTTAAAATACCTTCTTCCTCTATCTTTTTGTGCATGTTAAAGCTATCGCATTTGCGTTCCAGGTCCTCTATTCTTCTGCATCTGTCCTTCATCCAGTTCTCCTTCGCTTCGTGGATCTTGTTACGAATAGTGTTTTTGATGGACCTGCAATTTGCTTCATGAAATTTTTAGTGGTAGCCTTTCATATAGTTGGTTCTTTTAACTGAATGTATGATATGTATATGTTCTGTTTTGCTATTTTGTTTGACTATCTGGTCAAACCGAGAACTTTTTTTTATGAAAAATAAAATATCTACCTAAAACGAAATATTTAGTTTCCTTCGGGAAAAAATATTGAACTGGGGTGCGATAAACCACATTTTAAGACAAAAGATTTATTTGTCAAATACTCGTTATCTCTAGAATATTTATTTTTCGAAACTTTTCTTTATGTGATATATATTTATTTTCAATTTTAGAAAGAATAAGAATAGGGTATATAAATATATTTATATATACAGTTTCTTATTTATCTTATTTAATTTTAGGTGATTATAATTATTATAGCTTATGTGCAATTCAAGAAGTAAATAATCTAATAATAAAAAGATTTGGATTATTAATTTTCATTATTAAAAGTCCAGACAATTTAAATCTGGATACCTAGGGGGCCATGGTAGAGGCCCACCGGTTATTTAATGTGCAATTTAAATATTCTCTAACTCTATAGCAGTCGTGCATGGACCACATTCCGTTCGTAATTAAATATGGTATTTCTTCTAGCAATATTTGGAACATTTAGAATTATGGCCATAAAAAATTTCCAACAATTCCAGCCCAAACATTTACCGAAAATTGTTCTGGACGTTTAAATTATACAACTGCAGCAAATATTAAATATATATATATATATATATATATATATATATATATATATATATATATATATATATATGTATATATATATATATATATATATATATATATATATATATATATATATATATATATATATATATATATATATATATATATATATATATATATATATATATATATATATATATATATATATATATATATATATATATATATATATATATATATATATATATATATATATATATATATATATATATATATATATATATATATATATATATATATATATATATATATATATATATGATGACACTATATTCCGGGATATCATCCGTTCGCTCGTTGAACTCCGACTGGAATCCTGCAAATCCTGCATCCGACTGGAATCCTGCAGACGTTTCGCCAAAATCTCACTTGGCATCTTCAATGCTCGCGCTCCCAGTGTTCGAAGTGTTTTCGGAGCGCGAGCATTGAAGATGCCAAGTGAGATTTTTGGCGAAACGTCTGCATCACATTTTTCCATCCGTGAATCAATACGTGAGAATATATATATATATATATATATATATATATATATATATATATATATATATATATATATATATATATATATATATATATTAAAAATAAAATACAAATTGCCTTTACTGTAGTATATTGTCATATACAAATATACAGAAGAGAAGAGGCGAAGTCTAGCAAAAACTACTAAATATGGTAATAAATATGGTATAATAGATAAATGTAATAGTAATACGGAACAATAGAAAGTTATTAAAAATAAAAATAAAAACATTCAAAATTAAATTATTTAATAATAATAATAATAATAATAATAATATACTTTATTTCCATACGAGTTACATTGTAAGTATAGTATACACAGCATTTTTAAAATAACAAATAGAGTTATAAAAAACAAACACAAGTTGAAATGGACAAACGTTGGTTAAAACACGAATTAAAAAGTGCACTGCAGCTACTCCTGTACAGAATAAAATGCCTTCTGGATAAGCAATCGTTTCACCTCAGCCTTAAACTGACTGCAGCCCGAAATCCGTCTCATCCCAGGCGGTAATTTATTAAAAAGTTTTTGCTATGTTTTGAGCTATTTGCTGCCGAACTTAATTTATGTTTTGGAATATCTAGGCTATAATTCTGTCTGAAACTATCATGCTCATTGGTTGCACGCGTACATACGAGGGCAGTAGAGTAACAATTTTTTTTTATTTACAATATAATCCCCCTTAACTTCAATACACTTTTTACATCTCTTTATTAACAACTCAATTCCTTTAAAAATATATTCTTTTGGTTTGTCTGCAAAATGGTCCTTTTATAACTCATGTTCTTCGTTAAACCGCTGTCCACGTAAGTCCTTTTTCAAATATCCAAATAAATAATAGTCGCTGGGGGGGGGGGGGGCATATCTGGACTATAGAGAGGTAGATCTATCGGTTCGAACCCACACTCTAAAATGGCAGCTTGTGCAACACCAGCAGTATGGTGCATTATCGTGCAAAAGACGCACGCCTCTGGTCAGTTTTCCTCGACGTTTTAAACGTATGCACTCTCACAATTTATGTAATAATGCTGCGTAATATTTACCATTGACAGTGGTATTAGTTTCTTTAAAATCTATCAAAAGAATTCTTTCACAATCCCAAAAGAGTGTGGCCATCACCTTTTTTGTTGACTGGCAGACTCTGCATTTTCTTGGAGGTGCTTCACGCTTACGACGCCACTCCATTGATTCTTTTTTCGATAGATGGTCATAATAGAGAACCATACGCACACTCGACACGGCGTTGTTTTTGAAGAGCCGAAAGGTTTTAAGGAACCCATCTTGCACTAACCTTATGCATACCTAAATGATCATGCAGGATTGGACGAACATTTGTATCTGAGATTTCCTTGACCTTTAAACGTCGATCACTCAGTACCACCTCTTCCACAATCGCAACAATATCTTCCGTTATGACCTCCTCTGTCTGGTCGACCAGTTCTTGAATCATCTTTAAGGGACTCCTGCCCCATTCGATTAGACGAAGGCCTGAGAACTGGCTGGCATTGTTATTTTTTGATAATGGGGTGATCAAAGCAAACTTCCAAATACTAGGGAAATAGCTCACTTCCAAACAGCAATTAATAATATGTGTAACGTATGGGGCCGCAATATGGAGGGTCAGCGACCATACCAAAAAGCGAATTTGAGTGCTTCAAAAATCAATAATATTTTTCTATTTACGTAGTCTATTGGTCTTCTGTAGTCAACTGATCTTCGGCGTTTTTCTAGCACTCAGTTTAATTAGCAAACAAAAAAATGTGTTTTGTTGAATGGCAGTTTTCCTTGCAGCACTTCTGAGATACCGCAGTACCGTCTTCCCCAACGCACGGTGGACTTCGAAATCGACCTGGTGCGTCAGCTGGGAGTGAAATTCGAGCTCGGCAGGCGCCTGTCCACGAGGGACCTCACCGTCGCCGACCTGGTGAAAAAGGCGGACGCTGTTTTCTTAGGAATCGGCCTGCCCCAGCCCAAGGCCCCAGCCCAAGGTTTAAAAAAAAACGCGCCGCACGCCACTGTTTAATTTCCTTTAATTGAGGTCGATCCGATATTCGCCGGACTCGACGCCTCCCACGGCTTCTACACCTCCAAGAGTTTCCTCCCTCTCGTCGCCAAAGCGTCCAAGGGCTGCGGGGGCGGCTGCGCCCCCCTGCCTCGACTCGGGGGCACCGTCCTGGTACTCGGCGCCGGCGACACCGCTTTCGACTGTGCCACGTCCGCGCTCAGGTGCGGCGCGAGGAAGGTTTACGTGGTATTCCGAAGGTATTCTTTCGCGCGACGACGGCAGCGCCAAAATTTCCTGGCCTGAATATGAAAGAAACGAAGTAGAATAACAATTTTTTATTATTTTTCAATATAATCACCCTTAACTTCAATACACTTATTACATCTCTTTATTAACAACTCCATTCCTTTAAAAATATATTCTTTTGGTTTTTCTTCAAAATTAGCTAAAACAGCCTTCGTCGTTAAATCGCCGTCCACGTAAGTCCTTTTTCAAATATTCAAACAAACAATAGTCGCTGGGGGCCATATCTGGACTATAGGGAGGACGATCTATCTGTTGGAACCCACATTCTAAAATGGCAGCTTGTACAACACCAGCATTATCGTGCAAAAGACTCACGCCTCTGGTCAGTTTTCCTCGACGTTTTACACGTATGCAGTATCGCAATTTATATAATAGTCTTGCGTAATATTTACCATTGACAGTGGTATCAGTTTCTTTAAAATCTATCAAAAGAATTCCTTCACAATCCCAAAAGATCGTGGCCATCACCTTTTTTGTTGACTGGCAGACTCTGGATTTTCTTGGAGGTGCTTCACCCTTACGACGCCACTCCATTGATTCTTTTTTTGATAGAGGGTCATAATAGAGAACCATAGTTTCATCTCCAGTCACACTCGTTTCTATCACAGGCTTCGGTTCCGACCCACAGAGTTCTAAAAAAGACCGCGCACACTCGACACGGCGTTGTTTTTGAATAGCTGAAATGTTTTTAGGAACCCTCTTCCACTAACCTTATGTATACCTATTATGATCATGCAGGATTCGACGAACACTTGTATCAGAAAGCTTAGTTATTTCTTAGATTTCCTTGACCTTTGAACGTCGATCACCCAATACTACCTCTTCCACAATAGCAATAATATCTTCTCCTGCCTCATTCGAAAACGTTGTGCCCATTCTTTCACTACAGAATACGGAGGAGAACTTTGGCCGTACACACCATCCAGCCTTTATTAATTTTAGGTGCTAACCCTTCTTTTGTCAAAAACTTTATGACTGCTCTATACTCAATTTGCGTTATGTGCTACATTTTTTCGGACACGTCTTGTTTAAAATGCTGTCAATAAAAAACTACTTGACATAAGACTTCATTTTTTTTTCGCAGCCTACTAAGATATATATTTAAAAGAAGACAAAGTTTTATCGTGATACTGGAGCTGCATCCAGGTCAGGCCGGGAAATTTTGGCGCTAACCTCATATATCCGTAGGATATTTGTTAGGACGTTATATAGATATACCAGTAGACATCACTATGTGTACTATATACTGTGTGCCATTTGGGTAGCTAGAGATTTTGTGCATGTCGCTTTGCAGGGGGTTCCAAAACATCAGGGCGGTGCCCGAGGAAGTATCCGTCGCTGTCAAAGAGCGCTGCGAGCTGATGGGCTTCCTGATCCCACGCAACGTTAACCTGAGGAACGGTAGGATCACCTCGGTGACCTTCACCAGGTACCAAGAGGAAGAGGACGGGCGCTGGGTGCAAGATTTGGACCAGCTCACCATCCTGAAGGCGGATTTCGTGATATCGGCGTTCGGGTCGCACCTGGAGGGCTCGGATGGTGAGCGTGACAGTAGCTGAGGTGTGTCTAGGTGATCCGAGTGGTTATTTCGCTCGCAGTGGTCGACGCGTTGAAACCCATCGAGTTGGACGACGACAATCTACCCATTATTAACAGGAAAACGATGCGGTCGTCTCACCCGAAGGTATTCTGCGGCGGCGACGTCGCCGGCGTCGCCGAAACCACCGTCGAGTCCGTCAACGACGGCAAAGTGGCCGCCTGGTACATCCATTCCGCTTTGGAGGTGATTTTTGCCCAGAAATTCAAAGTAGATTGAAACTGGAGCGCCTTTCCTCAGGGTTTGCCCGAAGATACGCCGTCCAGGTTGCCCGCGTTCCACACCGACGTCGACGAGGTCGACCTGTCCGTCGAGATCTGCGGCGTCAAGTTCGAGAACCCCTTCGGGCTGGCTTCCGCGCCCCCCGTCACCAGTACCGCGATGATCCGGAGGAGTTTCGAGCAGGGATGGGGTTTCGTCGTCACCAAGACTTTCTGTTTGGACAAGGTCGGTGCCTCAAGGTACCCGGAGGTTCCCGAAGTGATTGGGTCCCGTGTTTCAGGACCAGGTGACGAACGTGTCGCCCAGGATCGTCCGCGGTACCACCTCTGGACACATCTACGGGCCCCAACAAGGTTCCTTCCTCAACATTGAGCTCATCTCCGAGAAGTACTGCGAGTACTGGCTGCGCGGCATCGCGGAGCTAAAACGCGACTTTCCCGCCAAGGTAAGGACGCGGTACGGTACCACCCCGCGCAGCACTCTATTTGGTGCCGCAGGTGGTGATCGCGTCCATCATGTGCGCTTACGTCGAGGAAGATTGGAGGGAGCTGTCGAAACGGGCGGAAGACAGCGGGGCCGACATGCTGGAGCTGAACCTGAGCTGCCCCCACGGCATGGGCGAGTCCGGAATGGGTCTGGCCTGCGGGCAGAAAGAGGAACTGGTGCGGGAGATCTCCCGTTGGGTTCGAATGACCGTTCAGATACCGTTTTTCGTAAAACTCACCCCCAACATCACGGACATCGTCGCCATAGCCAAGGCGGCGAAGGAAGGCGGCGCGTGGGGCGTCACGGCGATCAACACGATCTCCGGCTTGATGGACGTCAGAACCGACGGTACCGCTTGGCCCGCCGTCGGTCCCCAGAAACGTACGACCTACGGAGGCGTCAGCGGCAACGCGACAAGACCCGTAGGTCTGAGGGCGGTCTCCGCCGTAGCCCAGGCGCTTCCTGGGTTCCCCATCTTGGGTGCCGGAGGTGTGGACTCGGCGGACTCGGCATGGCAGTTCCTGCAGTGCGGCGCGTCGGCGGTGCAAGTCTGCAGCGCCGTCCAGAACCAAGACTTCACCCTGATCGAAGACTACCGCTCGGGGTTGAAGGCGCTGCTGTTCCTGGACGGTAAACTACCAGGCTGGGAAGGTCAGAGTCCGCCCACCGTCAAGCACCAGCTGGGGAAACCGGTGGTACCTCTCTACGACGGGCAGGGCAAGGTCTGCGGGTACAGTCGCGGTGGCGGACATGACGTGGGAGACTTTTGCAGAAATTGCCGCACTTCGGGGAGTACGGAGACCAGCGGCGCGCCCAGATGGCCGAGCGGTACCACAAGGGGGCACACGCGGGAGACCCGGTACCACATCACGGCGGTCTTGCTTTGGGGTACGCGAAGAACGGAGGGAAGCTGAGTCGGGAGGGGCCGCTGAGAGTGAGCGACGTGATCGGAAGGGCCTTGCCCTACATAGGAGCGTATAAGAAGCTGGACAACAGCGCGCAAGTGGTGGCGCTAGTGGATGACGTAAGTGGCAGTGCTGTAAGTTTCAATAGGCCGCAAAATGTCGTTGCGCAGGACATGTGCATCAACTGCGGCAAGTGCTACATGGCCTGTAACGACTCCGGATACCAGGCGATCGAGTTCGACCCCGACACCCACATCCCCAAAGTCAACGACGACTGTACCGGCTGTACCATATGCATGTCCGTGTGTCCCATCGTCGATTGCATCACGTGAGTGTCTTTTCGATCGTCGGCGGCCATTTATTTTTATCGATTATGTCGCAGGATGGTGCCCAAGATGATACCCCACGTGGTCAAGAGAGGCCACGCCCAGTACATCCGCCCCGTCCACCCGCTAGGAGTAGACTGTATATAGATGGTGTTCGAATAAATATAAGAGTATTTATTGCGTTTTAACTCCCCCCCCTCAAAAAAAACTCCAATCCGGTTACTACGTTTATTGGAGCTACGCTACGAAATAAATACACTTAAACGGATATAAGGTCAATAAATATGGCGGGGCTGGGTCAAGGGAGGGGCCACGGGAGGCCGGAGAAGTCGACGGGGCCGCCGAGCCCCGCGTCCGCCTCCAGCAGGCTCATGATGACGGCCATCGCGGCCTCGTCGTTGCCGTCGCCAGAGGGCGCAGCCGACTCCCGCACCGCGTCCTCCATGATCCTGATGATGCCGTTAGGGTCGGGACCGGAGTCGCCTGCAACCGAATGGAGGCGCTGCAATACGTTCCGACGGGCGCACATACGACAAAACGACACAGCCAGTAAAATTCTATTGGTATGGTCTGTTTATAGATATAAAAATATTTATTTGACTCTCGTTGAACGTGGTGCCAGCGAGCAAGCATCTTTAGAAGAAACGGCCACATTGATGAAAATTCCAACATCAACTGTATGGAAAATTGTGAATAATCCCGTTTCAGCGAGGAAAAAAAGAAGCGATGCTGACATGTTCTCGAGTGTAGATGGAAGTGATCTAGATATAATACGGCGTAAAATTTACCAGTTATACGAGGAACAAAGCGTGCCTACATTAGATATCTTAATTAGGCGGCTTGAAAAAGGTGAAACCGGTGTTAAATGTGGCAGAAGGACCTTATGGAAGTGTATTCAACACACGGGTTTTATATTTAAAAAAATTGACAAAAGGCAAGTTTTAATGGAATATTTTAGAACTCGGAAAGGGCGACTGGAATATCTAGAAAAAATTAGGATTTACAGAGAAAAACAAAGGCCAATTATTTCCTTGGTTGATACCCGGTTCGAGACTTATGATACCCCGGAAAAGGGTTGGGTTGATTCAACTGATAAGTGTAAAACAAACGAGCCATCAAAAAGAGGTAAAAGAATAACTATTTTGCATGCTGGCTCTAAAGATGGTTGGATTCCAAATGGACTTTCTCTGTTTGCGAAAAATATTAAAGATTCTTCTCTGGATTACCATGAAGACACCACCGCTGATTTATTTGAAAGTTGGTTTAAAGACAAACTAGTTCCAAACATTCCTCCTAATAGCGTCATTGTAATGGACAATCATCACAGTAGACCGTTGACTAAAACCCCTTCCTCATATGACACAAAAGCAACAATCCAAAATTACTTGTATAATAACAACATTTATTTTTACGAAGATTATACCAAAAAGCAATTAATTGAGGTTCTACAAAGCTACAAAAGGAGATGAGATAATTATGCAAAAAATCTAAGGCATACAGTTTTAAGGCTTCCACCTTACCACTGTATATTTAATCCCATTGAACATGTTTGGCACCAACTGAAATCTGCCATTCGTCGTAACAATGTTTTTCCCCGTGTTAACTCCAATGTCCTCAAACTTATAGAAACCGAAGTTTTTAACATCCCTCCAAAAAGTTGGGCAAATTCTGTTACACATATAGAAAAAGCAGAACACTCGTATATCCATATTGCAAATAATATAGAACAAATAATAATTAGAACAGGCGATGATAGCGATAGTGATACTGATATATTACGTAATTAATTTTGAGTAATTTAAGTAGGTAATAAAAATAATTTGAAACTTCATTTCAGATTTAAACATAAATACAAAGATAAATAAATAAATATTGTTTAGTATCTTTCCTAACAAGACCCCAAATAATTAAATTCTAAGCAAAGTACGGACCTGTTCGGCCATATTTTATTCTTACAGCTTGCCCGGGTCTTTCCTTAATTCGTATCAGTTAGACACTTTCTTATATCTATGAACAGACTTTAACTTTCCACTATACGGAGGTACGAAGATTAAAAACACGATAATTTTGTTGATACAAGGTGTCCCCCCGACACCAACTTTGTTATTATAAATGGAACACCCTCTATATTTCGACATTTTTGGAATCCTTGGTTAGTTCGTTAATTCGGTCCATAAAGTTTAGTTAAAACTGTTCCTCTTTAAATGCTCGTTTCATCTGGCATCAAAACAACAAAGAAATATAAAAATATTTACCTATGTAGTTGGCCATGACATCGCAGAAAGCTGGTTTTACGTCGATATCTAATGGTTTATTACGGTTCTAGTTACTATAAAGCCCGAAGACACCGATTGAAAGATATTAACACGAAAAGGTAAGTGTTTATATCAAAAAATGATATTTGCAGTTTTGATACGGTTTTAGGTACGATATGTGTTGGAAAAGCCGATTTCGACTGGAATCTGTTTGAAATGAGGAAGGAAAACCTGCTGTCAATCCAAGAAAGTGGGTTTTTAAGTAGTCATCTGCAGTTTTGAGAAACAATAGAGTCATATTTGTTGGGAGCTTATAGTTTTTTATTACAAATCCCCAAAATGTAAAAGGTAGCTCTCGTACACGAATGGTTTGCACGTAAACTCCTAATCGAGGATGTAAGGAGGGGAGGATTTCGGGAAAAAACTTACCGGCGTCAGGCGAAACCAATGAGGGGGCGGCGCTGCTGTCGCTGCTGGTGCCGCCGTACGTTTGCTGGTACCCGAACTGGGGCTGCTGCCTGAGGAAGGAATCGCGAGGCTCGGCCGAAACGTCGAACGACGAGACGGCGTCCGGACTGCTGGCCACGCCCCTCTGCGAGTCCAGGACCTGCTCGGCGATCTCCCGTCCTATCTTGCTAGCCTCCACGTGGGTGTTGATTATCCGGTGGATGTCTTTGCCGCCGCCTGAAACGAACGCGTGTCTCGCAAGTGGGCGGGGGACAAACGCGACCAAATGCCAACCTCACCTACACGAGCTACAATTGTAATTGTACGGTACAACCTGTCTACTAACTAACGAATATATGGCGACCGAATGACTACCGGGATAAGTAGTCCCCCACCTAATGGTCAACCGGGTGAAGGAACCATGGAGAAATTGACCTCAAATGCTGAAGAATCACTGTAAAGATCAACGGCATTGAGATGTGGAAGGCGAGGAGAAACCACTGCACACACAACCTAGTTATAGTAAACACACTCTATAAATTACCACCAAGAGATAACGGACGGATAAAGGACGTCATCATAAGAAATCAGATCGATTACATCCTGGTAAATCACAGACACAGAAATAGTTTTACCAGTGTGAACACATATCCGGGCGCCGATATACAAACCGATCACAACCCAGTAATAGAAGACCACAGAACTAAACTAAGTGCACCCAGGTAAAGGAAGTTTTTAACGATCCGAATAAAAAAAAAGAACTACTCAATAACGACAATGACAACAGAAAATCTTGGATAACAGAAAAAGACATGAAAGACCAGAAAACACAAGAACGACATTACAAAATAACAACAACTCAGCAGACTAACACAAAGATAACTATATAGTCACAATCTGTAGAAATACTAACGAACATTTTTAACGATATCCGTAACACAGGAAACATCCGAAGAGATGTTGACGTATATGCTTTATCGATTATGTGAAAGCGTTTTATAAGGTACAGTGTGCAGATCTCATGGGTGAACATGGTATCAAATGAGTCAGTGCTGGGGAGAAAGAACAAGGAGACGGAGGAGAAGAAAACTTGAGCACCTAGGCCATATAATGCGAAAAGACAGCAAATACCACCTTCTCAAAGAAATACTCCAAGGCAAAGTTTACGGTAAAGGAGGACCTTGAAGACGAAGAATATCATGGTTGAAGAATTTAAGATCACGGTTTTCCAAAACAACCTCTGAATTATTCAGATGAGCCAGAATGATCGCTAATATTCGAAACGAATAGGCACTTGAATAAGAAGAAGACTCACCGCTAGCGAAGAAGTCGTCGTTTTCTTGCGGACACGCCTTCTCGAGGCTCGTGTGCGGAGCGAACGAGTCGTTCCTGCAAAAAAAAACACACACTTTTACTCCGTGAGCAAGAGAAGAAGGAGACACGCTCACATGACTAGGCTGTTCTTCGAGATGAGGTACTCGAACTCCTTGGTCCACGGGTTCTTGAACGCCCTCCATTCGCTCTGCAGCCTGACGAAGGCGCCATCTTTCGTCCGGAACCGGTACGGACCGGTGACCAAGTGTGCGGTCGCTTGCAGCGCCATCTTATGGCGGGAAGCCATCGCGTCCATGTCGTCGTGGTGGTAATACTCGTACATGCTGGTGCCGAGCAGCTCCTGGGGCAGGAAACCGAGCACCAAGGTCGCCCTCTGGTCGACGAACAAAAACTTGCCGTCGAGGGTGTGACGCGACACGAACTGAATCGGCCTGACGTTCGTCGCGCCGCCTCGAAGCGGCACGGCCGGCGGCGGCAGCACCCTGCCGATGGCCACCAAACACGACAGACTGCTGGAGTCAGTCTCGGACTCCTCGCGATCGTCGAGGCCCATCTTCGTCGTCGCCCACGACTTCAGGTAGCCGGTACACTGGATCACGGTGTACTTCTTATCTGGAAACATGCGGCGTTCTGGACGCATCCGGCTCGAAGGACCAAATTGCTAATACCGTACCGGAGTTGAGTTTGGACTTTTTTCGGTGATATCCGGTCGTCGTATCGGCTTCCTCCTTGATGTGCGACGCGATTTTGCACTTCATCCGGCAAAAGAACGACCTCCGCGCGCCAGGAGACAGTCTCGACGCGCCCTGAGGAAGATCGGTCTTCACCGGGAGCATTGCTGCGAGGTTATGCGGGATAAAATAAAGTCACCGGTATTTTGCGCGATTTAACTCACTCTTGGCGTCGATCAGACGTTCCCTGGGGCTCATATCGGACGCGGAGAGTTGTTCCTTGACCTTGGCCACGTCTTTCGGATGCAACACGTCGAAGAGGCTCTGACCGAGCAGCTCGCCTTGCGTGTAGCTGAGCACTTTCGACACCGACTCGGACACGTAGAGCAGCCTGCCCCTGTCGCACCCGACGACGAACAAAAACCCGTCAGCCACCTGGAAAATCGAGAACGTCTTCTCCGAAGAGCAGCGGAATCGAGACAAGCGCACCTGCAGGATCAGGTGCTTCAGCTCCTGGTCGGAAAGGAAGGACGGCTTGTAATGGCCCTCGGTGTACGAATGGACCGCCCCCCTTATAGTTTTGAGGTGCTGCACGGCCATCCTGAGCACGGTGAGCTTGTCCAGCTTCCTGGACATCGCGTGGCACATGGGGATCATCGCTGACAGCTCGGTGATGTAGGTGTTCATTTTGTCCCGTCTGCGTTTCTCGATCTCGCTGTGGTTTTGCCTAGAACGACCCCGTATAATTTGTCTGCCGGTCGGCCTCTAAAGCGACGCGGATTTTTTCGACCCAGTTGCACGCGTAAGCGGCGGGCGATATTTATTAATGACAAGAAAAATTATTATAAATAAACATCGTCGATAAGTCGATGGTATTTAGAAAGCGCACCAAGGGTTCGGCCGTGAACGCTGGGATAGAGTTGTCAAAACTGTATGGTTGGACCCCAAGAGTCTTTATGTTATCAAGAGCATAATAATCTGGCGTCATTGTGACCTACAAACTACATTTGGTGCCCAGTGTGATTTCTGTATACTGATGGCTTCGTCTATTGACATGGGATAGGAAAGTTCAAGCCCCCCTTCGTCGTGGTTCCAGATAATGAAGGTATCGTCATATCGAATATTTTCTTCTTCAAACCAGTTCACGAAAGTGTTGTTAACTTATGGACAGTAAATCACCACGAGTTCTTTGCTTGTTTTGTCTTGATGTATGAGCTGCTGGTATTCTGCATTCCGCGTGATATCGGAAGAAGCTACTGTACTAGATTGTAAGTCGGAGGCACAAAAAATGTTTGCTTCCTATTCTAATTTGTTTCGTGTAATGTTTTTTCGCACTTCTGATGGTTCCCTACGTTATTTAATAATAAAAACAATATTGAAAATTTTTACAATTTTTAATTTCTATTTTAAAAATATTCTCTTAAATCAATCTGTTTGGTTTAAAACTATTTCGCACTTCTGATAGTTCCCCATAATCCGACCATAATATAACAACCGTTTCTTAATGAAATTTTATTCCTTTTTTCAATCAACACTTTTTTCATCTCTTTACTGTTATTATTACGCGAACATGTAACGCTGGTGGGAAATCTAATGGTGACTGGTTCTTCGCCTTGCGCCGATGCAAATCGGGGCTCCGTTAGAGGAGCTTTTATTTATAATATTTACATATTTGCGAGAAGGTTGCTGCTGCCACACCAAAGACCACGCCCAGACAGTTACCGTTAAGCCTTATACGGGACGTCCAGTGAAGTAACAACAGGTGAAATTAGACACAATTCGTTGGCGAGTACAAAAGCGCCATCTAGATTATTAATTTCTTAGTTTTTGGGAGACTCGTAGCCAGTGACATTGGACCGTCCTGAAAAGATTTTCAGCGATGTTGCCGGTTCTTCGAAAAAGTAGCATCAACTTTGATATATTCAACCCGTATATTATTGGATTATTAATTGTTTCCGTTAAGTTTTTTTCAAAACGTGACTTCCATTAAATGTTTATGACGGCAGAGGGCTGCAGTTTACGAATTTCTCGGTGCAGGAGTTTTGTGTTCGATTTTACCGGTGCAAAGGAAAATAACGGAAATGTCACTTTTTTAAATGGCACGCCGTGTATTTATCAACTATTCTGGAAAATGTGAACAAGATTCAAGCGAACGACGAATCTGGTTTCGCGATGGACTAGGAACTAGAGAAGCCTCGTTTGCACTGTCAGTGCTTCTGCAGAAGTGTAGAGACCAGAGGAACGAAGCGTACATGTGTCTACACTACACTCCCAAGATTTTAAAATTATCCAGGGTGCGAGATGCTTCACTTTACCACGTCAGCTTCGTTTCCGACGGATCCGAGCCACTTCGGACATTTCCGGGATTTTACCGCACCGGTTTGGGAGCGATCGGATGTTTTCGGATATTTTACCGCACGGTGACTCCAAAAAAATGTGGCAACATGTAAATAGTAAACTAGATCGTAGCATGAAAAACAGGCAAATAAATGAAATATTAATAAGTAAAAAACCGAATGGCAATGATCTTGAAAAGGCAAACTATTTATGTAAACTGAATGAAAGTGTGACTCCTCCAATAATACACCATCAAATACCAGATATACCATATAACCCGAATACAATGTTTCTAGCACCAACAAATGAGACAGAAGTTTATCATAATTAAGTCAGCTGCTCCGTTCATAACCCCCATAATAAATAATACCATGGCGGAAGGTACTTGTCCATATCAATTCAAGACAGCTGTAATTGGTCCAGTTTATAAGCAAGGTCAGAGAAATTCGGTGAACAACTATCATCCGATTGTGTTAATTCCAAATCTGGCTAGGATTTTTTAAAAAAAATATTTTTGTCAGATTATACAACTTCCTTAATAAGCACAACATATTAAGTTTAAGGCAATTTGGTTTCCTCAAGAAGAAAGGCACAGATAATGCTACCAGCATTTGTGACAAAGGCTTTTGATGATCACGTTATACTAGTGTCCAAATTGCAGAATATGGGAATAAGGGGTGTAAATTGATAGCAATCTGAAAGATAGACGCCAAGTTGTAAGGGTAAATGGTACTAAAAGTCAGCAAGTTAAAACAAATGTTGGAGTGCCTCAGGGCTCAATACTTGGACCAATATTGTTCATCTTATATATAAATGATGATACTGCAGCACCAATGAAAGCCAAATCATGGCCCGAACTTTCAACAACTCTGGATATTATATACTCCTGGCTCTATCAAAATAAATTGGTACTCAACACAGACCAGTCTGTTTTTGTCTCTAATGATGATTAATTGTAATGATCAATTGTAAAAGTTAAGTAAACAACATAAGATTTTAAAATTGTGTTAATTCCGTTGTGCGTACACAGTTAAACAGAGACAAGAATAGCAAAACCGGCAAAATGGCAACTACTAAATATTTTGTTTGAATGGTACGAAATTTAGTAATCTGATAACCTATTATTATTTTTAATTTGTTAAATTGTGATTAAATGGCGATAATGTTCTTGGTTGAAGAACATAAGAGACTGGACTGGTTTGGACTCACACGCATGAAGGAGAGCACAAAATAGAGAGGAATTCGCCATAATTGTTGCCGATTCTCATTGAATGAAGAAGATTCTGGAAGACCGTTAAAAACCCTTTCAAACAACTTCATATTAATGGTGCCGAAAGTTTTTGTATAAAAATCACGTCTTACCGAATAGATAGATGGATGGATATTTATTAACTTCACATACAGTTAAATAATACAATTAAAAAAAAAACATCCGGTCGTGTACAATATGGTTTTTTAACAAAGTACTGCTTAAGTGATAATTAAGTCTTAGGAGGGCTGCCTTTACATTTCGGCATTTTCTTAAACAACATTTTCATAGGCAAGTTTGACATTTGAGGTTAGATTTACTCAGTTAAATTTTGGCGAAAGAGATATGTTGACAGGTGAAGAATCATGGATATGGGCCTAAAAGTAAGCAGCAGTCGACTGCGTGGGTCTTTCAGAATGAGACAAAGCCCACAAAAGTTGATCCACGACGATCAGTGCAAACGAAGAACTTTTCGAGCATTAAAAACGTTGGTATGATGAGCCATCCACCATATAGTCCTGATTTAGCACCTAATGACTTCTTTTTATTCCCTTACATTAAGAATAAATTACGTGAGCAATGATTCTTGCCAACAGAAAAAGCGATTGATGCGTTTTGAGAGTACCCGACTCGATGTGGAAAAAGTGCTTTCGATGATTGGTTTCACCGAATGCAAATCATGTGGGTGAATATTAATAATAATAAAGTCATTTTTGTTGGTAGCTTATAGTTTTTTATTACAAATACCGAAATATATAAGGTGGCCTTCGTATTATATTCAATCTCGCAAAGCTGGGTACAATCGATACGATTCAATTTCATTTTTTGAGTTTGATATGGTCTGTTCATAGATATAAGAAAGTGACCAATTGTTTTTGAACGGGATTATCCAAAGGTGGTCATTAACATACAATGCAACAAGATCATTACCTAAAGTTTCGGAATTTACATTCACGTAAAATTGTGGTCCTTAATAGAAAATAATTTAATACCTACCTGTGTTTAATATTCTTTGGTTTGGTATACTACTTAGTTTAAGTTTATTAGTAATCATTCTTATTTCGTGTGTAATACAGCGTGTGTTGAATCGAGATACTCCCGCCCAAATGTAGAAAACACTATTCTATTGAGACTAAGGAAGTTATAAGCAATGTTTATTTGACTCTCATTAAACGTGGTGCCAGCAAGCAAGGATCTTTAGAAGAAACGGCCATATTGACGAAAACTCCAACATCAATTGTATGGAAAATTGTGAATAATCCCATTTCAACGAGGAAAAAAAGAAGCGATGCTGACATTTTCTCGAGTGTAGATGAAAGTGATCAAGATATAATACGGCGTTAAATTTACCAGTTATACGAGGAACAAATAGTGTCTACATTAGATATCTTAATTAGGAGGCTTGAAAAAAATGAAACCGGTGTTAAATGTAGCAGAACTACCTTATGGAAGTGTATTCAACACATGGGTTTTAGATTTAAAAAAATTGACAAAGGCAAGTTTTAATGGAATGTTTTAGAATTCGGAAATGGCGACTGGAATATCTAGAAAAAATTAAGATTTACAGAGAACAACAAAGGAAAATTATTTACTTGGATGAAACCTGGTTGAGACAACTGGGTTGACTCAACTGATAAGTGTAAAACAAACGCGCCATCAAAAAGAGGTAAAAGAATAACTATTTTGCATGCTGGCTGGCTGGATGGTTGGATTCCAAATGGACTTTCTCTGTCTGCGAAAAATATTAAAGATTCTTCTCTATATTACCACGAAGACACCACCGCTGATTTATTTGAAAGTTGGTTTAAAAACAAACTAGTTCCAAACATTCCTCCTAATAGCGTCATTGTAATGGACAATGCAAGTTATCACAGTTGACTAAAACCCTTTCCTCATGTGACACAAAAGCAACAATCCAAAACTACATGTATAATAACGACATTTATTTTCACGAAGATTATACCCAAAAGCAATTAATTGAAATTCTACAAAGCTTGAACCTACAAAAGGAATACGTCTGTGATTATGCAAAAAATCTAGGGCATACAGTTTTTAAGCTTCCGGCTCACCACTGTATATTTAATCCCATTGAACATGTTTGGCACCAACTGAAATCTGCCATTCGTCGTAACAATGTTTTTCCCCGTGTTAACTCCAATGTCCTCAAACCTATAGAAACCGAAGTTTTTAACATCCCTCCACAAAGTTAGGCAAATTCTGTTAAATATATAGAAAAAGCAGAACAAACGTATATCCATATTGCAAATAATATAAAACAAATAATAATTAGAACAGGCGATGACAGCGATAGTGATATATTATGTGAATAATTTTAAGTAATTTAATTAGGTAATAAAAATAATTTGTAATTTTATTTTAGATTTAAACATAAATACATAGAAAAATTAATAAATATTGTTTAGTATCTTTCCTATCAAAACCCCAAATAATTAAATTCTAAGCAAAGTACGGACCTGTTCGGCCATATTTCATTCTTACAGCTTGCCAGGGTCTTTCCTTAATTCGTACAAGTTAGTCACTTTCTTATATCTATGAACAGACCAACAAAAGCGACGAAAACGTGGCAGCCATTCTCAGGTTAACAATTTAAAAATAAAAACTACAACGCACGCTCGTGAATGAACATCAATATCATAAAATGGATTTAAAAGCGATCAAAAAGACGTCGGGATTGTATTACACACAACGGCACTAACAACAATTACTCAAAACAGTCCGACTTAAAAAAGAAAAACAAATTATGCCGACATCTTAAAATAGAAAACCACAGTTTAAATGACCAGCAACCATTGGTTAGCATTACGGCTGTCCGAGCTACGGAACCAGAGAATCACCACAGGCTTTACATACCAAAGAATAAATTATGAAGGAAAGAATCGACTACAGGGAAAATACGGTGGAACTTAGGGCACAGTTAACAAAACATAGTGGTTACAATACGAATGAGAATTTTAAAAAGATTATGAAAGTGAATGGCAAAAAACAACATTACAGGGCCACTATCCTGAAATTATCAGGGGTGATGGTTTTTTTTATATTTTTGATGCAATAAATAAGTATAAATACTACTAAGATCGTCCACATCTTTGCTATGATTGATGCAATTATCACAGAGATTAATGTAACACATCTCCAGGGGTTTCCTTTTAAAGGTGTTCTTTTCGGTTACAAAAACAACTCGATCGTTAGATACAATTTAATGGTTAGTACCATTGACGTGTGAACTAAGGCTGGTTTGGTTTTGGGCTTATGTTTGTTGTCACTTTTGTGTACTATTATTCTTTTTTTTTTATTTTTCCGCCGTCTGCCCTATATATAGTACATCACATTCACATTTCAGACCATATATCACGTTCCTTGTTTGTTGCATGGCGGTTGTATCCTTCAGGCAAGAGTAGAATATCTTCCGCTATGACCTCCACTGGTCGACCAATCGACTCCTGCCCCATCTAACTAACCAACCAGCCTTTCTTTAATAATTTTAGGTGCTAACTAATACGAGATTAGCGAAAACATTTCCCGGCCTGACATAGATGCAGCTCCAGTATCACGATAAAACTTCGTCTTCTTTTAAATATATATCTTAGTAGGCTGCGAAAAAAAAATTGAAGTCTCGCGTCAAATCGTTTTTTATTGACAGCATTTTAAACAAGCCGTGTCATTTTGGTATATATAAGGTTAGTGCAAGATGGGTTCCTAAAAACCTTTCGTCTATTCAAAAACAACGCCGTGTCGAGTGTGCGCGGTCTTTTTTGGAACTCTGTGGGTCGGAACCGAAGCTTGTGATAGAAACTATTGTGACGGGAGATGAAACTATGGTTCTCTATTATGACTCTTTATCGAAAAAATAATCAATGGAGTGGCGTCGTAAGGATGAAGCACCTCCAAGAAAATTCAGAGTCTGCCAATCAACTAAAAAGGTGATGGCCACGATCTTTTGGGATTGCGAAGGAATTCTTTTGATAGATTTTAAAGAAACTAATACCACTGTCAATTGTAAATATTACGCAACATTATTACATAAATTGCAAGACTGCATACGTGTAAAACGTCAAGGAAAACTAAGCAGAGGCGTGCGTCTTTCCCATATGGGTTTCAACAGATAAATCATCCTCCCTATAGTCCAGATATGGCCCCCAGCGACTAATATTTGTTTGGATATTAGGACTTACGTGGACGGCGGTTTAACGACGAAGGTGAGTTAAAAGAGGCTGTTTAAGCTCATTTCGCAGACAAACCAAAAGAGTATTTTTTAAAGGGATTTAGTTGTTAATAAAGAGATGTAATACTTAACTTTGTTCCTTTCATATTCAGGCCGGGAAATTTTGGCGCTGCCTTCGTATATATATATCAAATACTAAAAAAATGTCCTGTGGTGTATTGCTGGATAGTTCGTGCAGGGGAGTTTAAAATACTGCCTTTAGAGTGTATATACATAATAGAAGTTTGTTTATTGGCATATAAAAATAAAAATACCTTACAAAGAAACGGAGATTTCCACGACTATGATACACGTAACAAAGATTGTTTCTCCATAAAAAAAAATAGACACGAAATTTTAAGAAATATTTTGCGAACATCGATATTAGAGTCTACAATAGACTGTCCCCACAGCTAAAGAGCAGTAGTAATGTAAACACTTTTAAATCCAAACTAAAGCTTTCCTGTTAGAATACTCTTTTTATAATTTAAACGATTATTTTACCTTTTAATGTTTGTCATCACAGTATTGTTGTGCTTTGTCATATATTTCTATTATATAATTTTTTTATGTAATTTTCTGCCTCATTTGCATGATCTATATTTACCTACTTGACGATGTGCGATAATAACGATATTATTATTATTATACTTACTTCTTGTTCTCGTCGGTCTTCGTCGACTTCGCGTCGTCGTCGTCGAGGTCGCTGGCGCTGAAAAACACCCCCACGTTATACATCCCCGGCTCGAATCCCATTTAAGTTTGAGGAGGTGGAGGAGCGGGAGGAGGCGCCCTCGCGGGATTCCCACCTTTGAGGCAACTTTGCCGTCAAATAGGACCCAATTAAACCCGTTCAAGACGGATGTGTTTCCTTGCCCGTAACTTGCCGATTGTCTCGCCTGATGTTACCATAGGGATGAAGAGCGAAACGTTTTCGCGAAGCCCCGCGAACGCGCGCGTGTGTTCGCCGCCGCCGCCCGCGATAATTACGCGACGAAACAAAAACGCGCGCTGCCACAATGGCGGCGAAACAATTGCCGCCAAATTGGCTGCCGCGCGCTGATCGTTTATCGTCGAATAAACGTTTTTCTTATTCTCCAGACAGAGCGCGGAAACGCGACGGAAAATCCGGGCTTGGAGACGTCACGTTGACGTCGTAAAATTTCCCTACGAAAAACTTCGTGTTCGGGTGATAACGTTGACGTTTGGCCTGTCTACGTCGCGAACGCGTCGCCTCGAAGTAGTTCGCGTCGCAAGATTCGCATTTAAATCACCAAACGCGCGATAACATCAAATTGAAGTCTATGACTAAATTGACCTACGTACGGGGCGTTCAAGTTATAAATCTTACGTTTCGACCGCCCACGTCGCATTGGCGTCGTAACATTCACGTCGCAGCTATCACGTCGCAATCGCGTCGCCTGGAAGTCGTTCGCGTCGCAAGGTTCCCATTTAAATAACTTACGTCGCGTTCAAGTCAAAAAGCTGACGTTTCGATCCCTTACGTCGCGTTTACGTCGTAAAATTTACCTTTCAGCTATCTACGTCGCAAGATACGAATTTAAATCGTCAAACTCGTGATAATTGCTCGTTTGAGCAATATTTCAGTGATCTACTAGTATGACCTATTGTTCAAGTCAAAAAACAGACGTTTCGATCGCCTACGTCGTATTAAGGTCACAAAATTCACCTTTTCCGCTTTTAAATCATAACGTGCTCCTTGGAGCTATATTTCATTCATCTATGATAAGAATGATATGCCTACGCGGTATTCAAGACATAAAAATGACGTTCCGATCGCCTATGTCGCATTTACGTAATAAAATTCACCTTTGATGAGCTTAAACTCATGTTTCAATTGTGGAAGCTAGATTAAAAGTGTAACCTACGATAAGATTGATATTCTTACACAGTATTCAAGGCACAGAACTGACGTTTCGATCGCTTGCGTCGCGTTCACGTCGAAAAATTGACGTAGACGCGACGCGTGGCGATTAACGGAAAATGATGGATTTTTCGCGAAGTAAAAGTAGTAACATTGGTATTATACGGTACTCCGCATAACATAACGGTACCGTTATGTGCTGCATAACATTGATTGTACCGTAAACACGGCGTCATTCGACGACAATCTCCGGCGAGAGCCTCCGCGACGTAGTGCATATACAGGTTGTTTTCCAATTGAATGTAATTAATTAAGTGGATGACTTTTGGGTTCATTTTAAAAAGGAAACTTCATACGAGCATATGTCACATATGTCAACATTTTAATTGGCTGTAACTTTTTTGTTTTTAGAGATATCGACGTAAACAAAAACAACACAGTTTTCTGACATATAAGCCTACATAATATTTTTTTAAATAGAACACCCCGCACATTATGTATGCGTTTAATAGAATATCTTATTCCGATTACGCACGTTTTTGAAAAATAATTTCAAAGAGTGCCTTGACTGACAAATGAAAACATAGTTTATGTTTGACATATTAGCAAACAACGTTGATGGGTGAATAATCCTAGACAAATACACGAAATAAAAACCAAAAGGTATGGTCTGTTCACAGATATAAGGAAGTGACCAATTGCTTTTGAATGGGATTATCCAATGGTTGAATATTCTTTGGTTTAGTTAGTCCACAGAGTTGGGCAAATTCTGTTAAACATATAGAAAAGGCAGAACAATCGCATATCCATATTGCAAATAATTAAATAATAATAATAAATAAATATAGAACAAATAATAATTAGAACAGGTGATGATAGCGATAGTGATACTGATATATTATGTGAATAATTTTAAGTAATTTAAGTAGGTAATAAAAATAATTTGGAATTTTATTTTAGATTTAAACATAAATACAAACATAAATAAATAAATATTGTTTACTATCTTTCCTAACAAAACCCCAAATAATTAAATTCTAAGCAAAGTACGGACCTGTTCGGCCATATTTCATTCTTACAGCTTGCCCCGGTCTTTCCTTAATTCGTATCAGTTAGTCACATTCTTATATCTATGAACAGACTTTACCAATCAATTAATGTATGGTGTGGTATCATATTTTGGGTTCGATATTTATAAATCAAAATTTAACTGGAAATCATTATTTGCAACTCCTAGAGCACCGAATAGAACAATATATAAAAGATTTACCCCCAAATATATCTGCGCTGATTATATGGCAGCAAGACGATGCCCCTCCTCAAATGTGGTGCAGGTTAAAAATTTTCTTAACATGGAGATAGATATCCCCGTAAGAAACAGTCCAAACTACTAAATCTGGAGACCTAGGGGGCCATGGTTGACTGTTCTGTAAAAATCAAAACCAGAATAGCGAACAACGCTTATGGAAAGGCTATGTGTTCTCAAGGCGGTATTATGGTGAAGAAATTGGACATGAGAAAACCAATGGGATTCGAGATATGGATATACCGTAGAATGCTAAGGGTAAAATGGACCGATAGAGTGGCGAACAAGGAGATCATGAGAAGAATAAGAAAAGAGAAAGAGGTTGCTATTACAATAGAAAAAAAAACGGATACCTAGGGGAGAGGGGAGAGAAATACCATCTAATTCAATTGATACTCCAAGGAGTGCAGCTATGGCGTCCAATTAAGAAGTAATTTCCAACAATTCCACGCCAAACAACAACAACAAAAAATCGAGAAATGAAATTTCTTTAGAAATATTTGGAGGTTGTGAGAATATATTTTAAAAATTGTACTGAAGTGGCTTTTACTTGATGAAAATCCATTTAAAATAGTTAAATAAGAACAAACGTTGTTCAGATTTTCACATAAATATATTTAAATAACAGCTGTTTCGGAAACACCGTGTCTTTATCAAAATATTTTGCACGGTGTTACCGAAACAGCTGTCATTTAAATATATTTATGTGAAAATCTGAACAACGTTTGTTCTTATTTAACTAGAATAATTTTTATTTCAAGGGAAATCAGTGGCGTACCATCAGTATCTGCCAAAATAGGAGAAGTTTAAAAAGAATGTGGTATACTAAGTTGATGATACAAATTTCATTGAAATATGATATTAAAAAAATGTATTTAATTTTTGAACATTTTAAGACGTTTAGGACAAACGTTCATGTGAAGTTTTCTCCTTAAACGCGAAGAAAATTCCCTGCAGGTTTCAAACGAAACATCCTGTATTATATACGGGATTGGTAAAAAGTACCGGAACATTCAAATCTGCCAAAGCTGAAACGATCAGGTCCAATACGCGGGGGTTCTTGACCGTGCGGAATTCAAAAATGCCAACGGCGACGTTGTCAGATTTATTAATTTTACTTTACACGTCGTAATTACGTTTATTTTCAATGGAACGCCCCATTTATTTTTGTAGCAATGAAAAACTACGAGTTCAAATATAATAATATAAATGAAGTATAATAATATATAATATATAAGTGTGCCGGTAAATGGCTAAGAGAATTATCGCCAAATCTGACAACATTGCTGGCAGCTTTGGTTAGTTAGCAGTTTTGAGCGTTTATCGAAAGTGTTATTTTTCGTATCATTCTATGGATTTAGACTAAAACTTTCATAAATACTAATAAAATCTTTTTTTAATCGATATAAAAATAGTTACTAATCAGTAAGGTTTTTTTTTAATAAATAATTATAATTATTGTATATAACATTATAAATAGGGGATATTGGGCCATGATGGTCAGAAGCTTCGCCAAAATTTGGGTAAATTTAGTTAAATGTTGGTCAAAAATAAATCGACTTGACGGTTAAAAGGCACAAAAAACAATAAAAAACCTTAAGTGATCTTAGGTCAATCAGCAGCCTATTACCTGTGCTTAATAATAAATAATAATAAAAAATTTAGATTAAAATATTTCAACGATACTGGCCTTACTGACTTTTCAAAGGCATTCAAACTAAAGCACTTAGGTCTCACGGATTGATCTGTATCTTTTTCCTAGTCGTATTTAAATAATAGGCAGCGGTTCGTTAGGACTAATATCCGTATATCAGTTACTTCGGGAGTGCCACAGGGATCAATTCTTGGACCTCTATTGTACACATTCGATATGCCTAAGGAAGTCAAACTTTCTCAAATTCTCGTGAGTCAAATGCACTTGTTGCATAACATACTATTACAGACAGAAATTTAATGTCCACTTATTGGAATTACGAAAGTGTCTGTCCTAAAGAAATTAGTATTGTACTAATTATGCATTTTTAGACTCTTATTATTATTATAGCTTGTTGGTTCATTATTATTGTAATGTGGGGTTAACGTTGAGTAGCTGAGATCGGGATCTTAGGCTAGACTTCGCCATTTGGGGTGTGCAACCGTATTAGATTAGAATAATAATTATTATTATTATTTGCATTTATTATTGTATATTGTTATATACAAATATACAGTAGAGAAGAGACGATAAATTAAATATAGTATAATAGATAAATGTAATAGTAATATGGAACAATAGTTATTAAAAGTAAAAATAAAAAGAATAACATTGAATATGAAATATTTTTGAAAGAATTTAATCGAATGTGATTTTACTGAATCGGATATACTATTAAAAATTACGACTACGTTATAAGAAAATGATCTCCGGAACAAAGATAAACGATATCGTGGCAGTGAGAGTCCGCAGGGGTGCCTTAAAGCCACCGACTGAAAATTACGACACTGTGATTTAGCTCGTAAATAAGACTGATTGCAAAACCATAGACGCCAAAAAGTAAAGACCAGTATTATTATTTACGAGACACCCTGTATACGTGTGAAAACTTCTTCGGCGCTACGGGAAATTTGGGGTGGGTGGGGAGCGCGGAGATGCGACTTACTGAGACGACAGCTTCCGCTTCCTCCTGGGGTGGTTGAACGTGCTGTCGACCACGGGCACCTCCATCGTCGAGGTGCACGGGGACGCCGCGACGGAGACGACGCCCGGACAGCACATGTTCGACGAAGACGGGTTCCTGCAACAGACGCGTCGTTTCAAGGGCCGAAAAAAGACGGCGGCCGCCGCGACGCGCGGATTAGATCGATTCCGGAAGACCCCGCGTATAATCCGCGCTCTATAAATAAACCGGGTCTCGGGGGTGGTGTGGGGTGGACACTTACTCCGCGACGGTGGTGAGCTCGTAATAAGTGGGTTGGTACTCTTGGTGGTGGTGGTGCGCGGACGGCTTCAGCTCCTCGAGCGTGATGAACTCGTCGCCGTCGCCGTCGGGAGGCACCTGGAGGAGCCGCGCGTACGGCACCTCCGCGGCGTGGTTCCTCGCTACGATCATGTCGGTGGGGCGCGATCGCGGCGCGGCGCCGTGCGACGTTCGAATGTTCGGCCGCGCGGCCGCCCGCCACCTTTTAAACCGCCGATCGAAGGCGGCGTCGATACGCCGCCGCCGCCGCGATGTTTTTCCCCGCGCGCGGGGACGAAACGCGCGAGGCGGCAACGCCGCGCGCGCGCGTTCGACGGTCAATCAGCGCGCGTCCCCCCGACCCCGCCGCGAAACCGTTACATAACCGTATCCAAGGCGGCCGGGCGTCATCCGACACCCTTAATAATCGAAATCGCCAGCCCCCGGGACGGTTTGGCGCGAGATTAAAGCAACCCGATCGCGACACCTGCGTCTTGCGAGAGAAAAAAAAACCGGTTGCATCAGATGTCCCCCGACTAACAAGACGTTGCCGTTGACGACCGGCCATCGGCCGCCTCCGATTTGTTGCTAATTAATTTTTTCGCGTCAGACGACGGCTTATCAATTAAAATTGCGCTGCGCCGGACGGCGGCATATAATTGACTCCCCGTCCCGCGTTTTTGTTCGGCTGCAAATGCCGGATTAAGCGTGGCGGAAACGAAACGTGTTTACCTGTCGACGACAGCGATTGTTCGGGACGCGTTCTCGTCCCCCCCACACACCCCCGCGGCCTTGCGTAACAATCGCGAAACAACCTTTCGTCGACGGGTGCGATTGACGGGCCGTTTTCGTGGTCCGTGGTCGCGGGCGACGCGGCAACGCGGCCCGCGCGCCCCTAATCGGTTTAAAAAAAATAACGACCGTCCGCTAACGAGCCCGTGGACGAGGGGTGCGACTTACGGCGTGGATGCGGCGCTGCTTGAGGACGTGTCGCTCATCGTGCACTCGTCGTGACGGGTTTAAAGTTCATCCGTTTTCGATTGTTTACGATAAATCGGCGGCGTTGCCGTGCGGCCGTCGCGGGCGCCCGCGATCTTTGCCTTGCCTAGCTGTTGCTGATATATTGTTTGAGGAGGACGGAGCCAAATGAGGGGCATAAACATCGTCTCGGATGACTGAGTCGAGGTTAAGATTATTAGGTTGCTTATAGATTTCTGTAGACTCTCGGATTTTTCGCTGGTAGAAGAATTGATTACGTGCAAGAATTTTAGTTTTATCGGACAAAATGTTAGTTCTGATTTTCTGTTGATAAGAATATCTAAGAATGGTAAGCTATTATTAATTTCTAATTCAATGGCAAATCGTACGTTAAGGTGTATAGAGTTTAAATGCCCAAAAAATTTATTCTTGACCATTGACCGTGACCTTGACCTTCACCTCAACTGAGGCAGGAAGAATCCAGAAGTTTTCTTTGAATACTCTAGCCCGAAGTCAATCATGTCAAACATGATCAGTCAACACAAAAGTGGAAACTAAACAAGAGCTGATTTCTTTAGGGAATCTAAAAGGCAGGCGCGGCTTTGCTAACGCCGCTCGTTTAGAAGATGCGAGTTACATAAATCTCGGATATAGAGAATTCCTTCCTAGACTAAAGAATCACGTTTGGATTGCATGCCAGCAGCGTTGTCTAGATCAAGCTTTGAACAATGTCCTCACTTCGAAAGTCCCCCCAAAGAAAAAAACGGGTTTTACAATATTAATCTTAGTCGAAGGGAAATCACAACACTTTGTCGAATGAGAAACGACAGATGTAGCTCTCCGAATCATCTAGGTACATTATCTGCAACTCAGTGCTATCAACGACATAGTTCAAACCCAAGCCTTCAACCATGGCGACATTTGTTCGTTTTTCTTTTGTTCTGGGAGTTTGCAAATTCTGTTTTCCGTTTAATTTTAATTTCATTTTCTTGTTTACTTTTAAAAAGTTCGATATCAATGTTGTAAATACTGCTTTCGTTTTTATGTTACAGTCAAATTGCTGCTATAAGTTATACTGTTTTTAGCATTGTCATAGACCATAGAGTTGTAATTTTCCCGCCATACTCTTCGCTTCGGTATTGGGCGAATGATTATAGCAGCTTTGTCTAACCGGTTGCGGAACGTCGAAAAAAAAGGAAACCTATTACGTTTTTTGTCGTTGGGCGAGTAATCTTCGCAGTGTTGCCCAACGGGATACGTGAAGAGAAAAAGAAGAAGTTTTCTGTGGTTCCGGATGGCCGTTTTTTCAAACGCGAGGATTCGATTCGTAGGATGTGCGAGGACTCGAAGCTGCCGTTGGTCATCAACGCGAGGATCAATTCGATCAGGATCGCGAAACCAATCGATCGAACGCCTGCGAAGAGCGGCGGCGTCGTGTACATATACCGGGCGATACACGAGCTGTTTAATTACCACGAAAACGGAATACCGAGCAACAGCAACACGCAGATCGTCGGCGTGTACGGTTACTGCCCCGAGACGAACCGACATTACGTCAAGAGCCACGACAGGACGTGCTGCGCGCGGAAAGACAAGCAAGTGAAACTGAACGTGTCCATCATGCCGAAATGGCCTTGTCCCGGCGACAGGGTCACGGTTTACGGGAGCCTGCATTTCGAAGACTCGGAGCCGGTGTTGGTCGGTCGATTTTACCAGAGAAACGAATGCGATTTCTACCGTTGGGCTAACACGATGTTGCTAGTCAGAACTCTCGCGCCCCGGGAGCTCTTAGACAAGGTGGACGTTCGGGAAGACAGGTTCGACGTTTCACGAGGCATAGAAGACTGAGACTTTCATTTTATTTACGGTTAAAAAATATAATTGTTTACAATACTCGTTGGGTTTCGTTGCGATCACACGTGGTAGTCGCCGCCCTCGAATTTTTCGTCGGATACGACCGACATGAGCCACCTGGCGTTCTCGTCGCTGATCCAGAGCAAGCCGAGCAACCCCCCCTCGATTAATCCCAGGCCGTAGCCCCCTATCACGTCGAGAATGTAGTGGCGCTCCATCAGTACCCGGCTCATGCCCAAGGCAACGACCCATGCCATTATCGAAGGGTAAAACAGAAACGAAAGGGGCCACAGGCGCGTGAAAACGTACGCGACGAGCACCGCGCGGCTCGCGTGCCCCGATGGAAAACTAAACTGGTCGGACCCGAGCTGCACAAACGCGTCGTCTCTGTTACCCGCGGGCCTTCGTCGCCGGAAGTATGCTTTCGTTAACGCTACGACGATTATATCCAACACCAGGCCGAACAGCATGTTGACCTGTAGCTCGATGAGGTGCGGGTTATTAAACAGCCACGTAAAAGCCGTCCAAAAGGCTAGCCACGGTATCCCATGGCAGGTTATCTAAAACACAGCCGGTCTACACTAGGTTAATAGCCGGAAAAGACGTTCTACCTCCAACGCTTTGCAGTGGACGCGCAGCGAGTGCAACGGCGACACCCCGTTGCCCCACTGGACGAATCTTTTCGTCACGGCCGCGTCCAAGTCTAAAACGCGCCGGACCCAACCGGGTGGCCGCCTTTTTTCCGCCTGAAACAACGCGCATCAGAGATGTTCTGGGGCCCCGTTTTCGTTACCTCGCCCATCGTTTCTGTTTGTTCTCTATCACGTAACGGAGTAATGTAAGGTTAGTGTCGCACTACATCACTGTAGTTCTTCTCTTCTTTTACTTGTATTGGCCACGTTTGCTAGGATCATTCGGCCAATCGCTACATGGTAACGCGCAAAACGAATGACACCGTACCGACGACGTCACCCCGCTACCCAGTCGCGGTTCGAACGCTTTTTGCTGCTAAGAAAAAACGGGAAAGCAGTGGAAGCAAATAAATCACATTTTACGTAAACATTTTTTTTAATTTCTCCTTGTCCTGCAGGTCTTTCGCCCTGCGGAGCTCATCGAGGGCGGCCAGTTCGCGTCTCGCGAGGGGCACGAGAGCGGGGTCCAGCTCCATGACCTTTTCAAGGTCGCGCCTCGCTTCGAGCGGGTTCCACGCGCTCACGTGGGCCTTCGCCCTCCTGAAGTACGCCTTAACGTTTCCTGAAACAAATCGCTTATTTTTCCACCTCAAAGGCACCCGAACCACGAGGTACCGTCATCGTGCTTCAAAACTTCTGAGCAGTGCTCGATGGCGGCGTAGTAGTCGCCTTCGTGCAGCTTGCACTGCGCGTAGTTCAACAGCAAAGGCAACTTTTGCCGGTTCAGCTTGTCCCAGTCGACGTCGTGGGGCTTCTCCCTGTAAGAAACCCACCTTTAACCCCGTCAAACCCTGGAGAGGGACGTGCTTCAGCATGAGCTGCTCCAGGATACCGATAGCTTTGGCATAAAGATCCGCCGCGTTATGGTACTCCTTTCTTCCATATTCCTCGTTGCCCTGTTGCTTGAGCTTGGGCACGAGATCGATCTTTTCCCTCTCGTCCATCTGCCAAGTCTCCTTCTCGTACTGCTCGGGCTGTTGCACTTCGACGATCTCTGGAAAACGACAAAGCGGTGGAGGCCAGAACGAGTTTCGAACGCGGGACTCACCCATCGTAAACTCGAGGTCCGAGGGCCGCTTCAGAAGGGAGTTTAGGTCGTCGTAACCGACCCCCTCGCCTTGCAGAGACATCGCGCAACAGTGGGTCTGTTTTTTGTCTTGACGGTGCATGTCGCGTAGCGTCTTCGAGACGAACGGGTACTGCGCGACTAGCTGAAACGGGGCGACAAAATCACCAAACGCGGAACCACGAGGACCGCGAATAGGCCTACGCTTTTGTCGACGGTAAAGCGGGCGACTTCCCTAAGGGCCATCTTTTGCAGGATTGCCTCCCACACCTCGAGCTTGAACTGCTTGCCGAGGATTATATGGAGGGGCTCGCCCGCGCCCATCAGGCGCGAGTCGTCGAGCACGGTGCCCGCGGGGTCGCTCAGTTCCGTCCGGAAATGGAAAAATATCTGGAACGTGAGGGGTTTCAAAGGGCCGACGTCTAACACCCGGAACGTACTTTGGTGCCGGCACGGAAAGCGACGGGCGCCACCCCCGCGTGCAACACCTTCTTCACGATCAACTCTTCGTCCTGCGACATCGCCTGCGATGTTTTCTCGATAATAGCCGCGAATTTGACAGTGGGGCACGCAAAAAGTTAAAGTGCGCCATCTGTGGTTGGAGCCTGCAGTCCGGAAATCGGGTTCGGCTACCGATCGGCACATAGCGCGGTAAGAGAAAGTTCGAATTTCGGTCGGTAGATGGCACTCAGACTAATTTCAAGCTTAATCGTGTCAACGGCAAAAGCGCATAATATTGACATTTCGGTGTGTTAAACAATATTAATATTCTTATAATTATAATTACAAATATCTGAATCAAACAATTTTGATGCCTTTTTGAGATAATGCACAAATACAGGAAACAAAATTAGGATTCGATTTGCTTGTCTCCATATAAAATAACACTTGGCAATTACGTAGTATAAAACGCACGTGAAATCGAGGTTAACACTTAAACATTCTTTGTCGCGTTGCCACAATAAAAAAGAAGCTTTTTTTAATAACTGTATCGGTATATTATTATTCATCTTATCGTTATGGTGTGGTGTTGTGTCGATCGTTCATGTTACGAGAACCGATTCAATCAGTGAACGAATTCCTAAAGGTTCGAATCTTTTCAATCAATCGTTCATTTCAAAAATTTTTTTTGCCAACTGTAAGGTATAAACCATAAGCGGCAATCCGAATCCGAACAGTCCGCACAACTGATTGTAAGGATCATCAAAAATAAAACCACGTAATGAAGCAGAATCGAGTTTAATCCTCTCCGTTCGACAACTACGTCTTCACTAACTCATCGTAAACCCCCAAAAACATCGCATAATAATACCCTAATTATCTCCTCACCGCAGCTTGCCCACCCTGTCCTTTTTGCCTGAGACGCCGATACATTTTACGATCGGCAAAAAAAACAAGGCGGCGCCTCTTTGTTACGGGGTCTTGTCGGATATGACGTAATAATATAAATATTCCAACACTCGGCCATCCTGACTATTGGTCTGTCCTCAGACCTAATGGTGAAATTTAAACGTAACTTAAATCTTTCAAAACTACAATAATTTGACTATTCTAGCTTGGTTCCTAGTCTTACGTAATAAAAAAAACATAATCAATTAGTAGGGTATCTTAAACATAAGCGATATTCCTTTATAAACAATAAAATAAGCAACATTTGCTTATAGGCAACGTTTGCCAAACTACAAAACACGAGCGACGTTCGCTCATAGGCACGTTTGCCAAAATACAAAACACGAGCGACGTTCGCTCATAGGCACGTTTGCCAAAATACAAAGCACGAGCGACGTTCGCTCATAGGCACGTTTGCCAAAATACAAAACACGAGCGACGTTCGCTCATAGGCACGTTTGCCAAAATACAAAACACGAGCGACGTTCGCTCATAGGCACGTTTGCCAAAATACAAAACACGAGCGACGTTCGCTCATAGGCACGTTTGCCAAAATACAAAACACGAGCGACGTTCGCTCATAGGCACGTTTGCCAAAATACAAAACACGAGCGACGTTCGCTCATAGGCACGTTTGCCAAAATACAAAACACGAGCGACGTTCGCTCATAGGCACGTTTGCCAAAATACAAAACACGAGCGACGTTCGCTCATAGGCACGTTTGCCAAAATACAAAACACGAGCGACGTTCGCTCATAGGCACGTTTGCCATTAATCCTCTTCGTTTTGTATACTAATCCACTTTTTAACATGGTCTGCGGCTACAACAGTTCGTCTACGTTTGAACCCCTCTCGTAAGTCTTCAACTTCGTATCTGTCATTAAATAGTACTTTTGTGATGCGAAAAGGGCCTTTGTATTTCGGATGAAGCTTATGACTGGCACCCGTAGTAGGTATACTCGTTATTAATACTCTAACTAGGTCACCGTCGTTGTACCTTTTGGCATCTCGTCGTGTTTTATCATAGCGTTCTTTTTGTTTTTTCTGGTCCCTCGATATGTGATCCGAAATTTTACACCTAAGCTCTTCCAGGTCTAGCCTATCGATTTCGTCTTGGATTTCATTCAGAATTATTGCCTCTGCCGCATGTTTTGAATTATAGCCAATAAGCGCCTTCATGGGGGTCGAATTAATACCCTTATTAAAACTTGTATTAAGTGCGCTTTGCACTTGTTTTATATATTTGTCCCAATCTCTTTCATCCTTGCCTGCAGCTGTTGTTGATAGCGCACTCACAATGGTTTTGTTATATCGCTCACATTGGCCATTACTTCTGGGCGAGGCAACGGCATTTAAAACGTGCTTAATCCCATAAGTATTACAAAATGTTCTAAAAGTTCGAGATGTAAAAGCTGTCCCTCTATCGCTTATAATTCTGCTAGGTACTCCAAATAGATATATTAGGTCGGTTAAAACCCTAATAACGTATTTACTTTTTTGATTATGTACTGGTTCGATTACAGTGAATTTAGTAAATGCGTCAACAATTACAAAAATATACTTATTCTTCTTTTTGCTTGTCATAAACGGCCCAACATGATCTACATGTAATGTATGAAAAGGAATCGGATGTTTCTCAATAGGGTTCAATTTACATTCTCGTTTAGAAAACGACTGTTTGTAATACATACAACTTAGACATGCGTTAACATATTTCGTTACGAATTTCCTCATTTTTGCGAACCAATAGTTTTCACAAATTCTTTGTAACACTTTTTCTACACCAAGATGCCCAGAATCATCGTGACACAAACGACAAATTTGCATACGTGCTGCTCGTGGAACAACCCATGCTTTGGTTCCATTTCCTAATTTTTTGTATAATTTGTTATTCCTTAACTCATACTGCTCAAAGTAAAACTTTGTATCGCTATTTTTTATTTTATCGGCTAAAATGTTTCGGATTCTACAAATCTGTTCATCTTGCATTTGTGCGGCGGTAATCCAGTCAGCTTCTGTCAAGTCTATATGAAAAACTTCAACTTTAAAATTATTGTTCGATATAGGGTTTCTGCTAAGAGCGTCAACATGCGTCATCTTTTTGCCGGCCCTGTACTCAATTTCGAAGGTATATTCTTGAATTTCCAGCCACCATCTTCCAATGCGCGGGATCAAATCCTTCTTTGATAAGGTCGTTCGCAAGGCATTACAATCCGTAACCACTTTAAAGTTTATCCCCAATAAATAAACCCGAAAATATTTTAAGGCATAAACTACAGCCATAGTCTCGAGTTCGTATGAGTGGTACTGCCTTTGGTCGCTTGTTGTTTTTTTGCTAAAATAAGAGACAACATGTGTATTACCCTCAGCATCATATTGAAGCAATATTGCCCCGACACCGATGGAACATGCGTCTGTGTGAAGTTCGGTTTCTAATTTAGGGTTATATATTGCAAGAATTGGACAAGATATAAGCTTTTGTTGAATTTGGTGAAATGCTTCTTTTTGTGGTGCGCTCCATATCCAATTCGCACTTTTGCGAGTTAATTTTGTTAGAGGCTCGACAATCATGGAGAAGTTCTTGACAAATTTTCGAAAATAACTTGCTAATCCAAGAAATTGACGCACTTGCTTAACGTTGGAAGGATAATTCATATCCAATACCGCTTGAATTTTCTTCTTACCTGGCCTCACTCCTTCTGCACTGATTTCTCTCCCAAGATATTCTATAGTAGTTGCAAGAAATACGCACTTACTGATTTTTAAAGTAAGGTTATGTGCACGAAGTTGGATTAACACCTTTTTTAAGCGTTCTAGTCCCTCCGCAACCGTCAATGAAGGAATTATAATGTCATCTATATAGGGGAAGGCAAATTCATCTTTTAACGGTCCCAGAACCTTGTTTATTAATGATTGAAAAACTGAAGGCGCATTTGCTAACCCAAAGGGCATCCTTAAAAATTCGTAATGGCCATCGGGTGTTACAAATGCAGTCTTTTCAATGGAATTAGCAGCCATGCGAACTTGATAAAAACCGGATGCTAAATCTAAACTGGTGAAATACTTAAATCCTCCTAATTTGTCGATTTGGTCTTCGATATGTGGCAATACACCACGGTTTTTAATGGTTACTGCATTGAGATGTCTAAAATCAACGCACATTCTATAGCCTCCATCCTTTTTTTTAACAAGTGTAATCGGGCTGGAGTACGGAGAATTGGATTCGCGGATGACTTCATTATCCAAAAGTTCTTGAATCATATTTCGGAGAATACCCCTTTCAACCTCAGGCATACGATAAGGATAACGTACAACCGGTGTGTCGACTATACATTTTATCTCCATCTCTACCGTATTCGTATTTCCTAAATTTTCCATGGAAGATGAAATGCAATCCGAAAAACTATGCAATAAGGAAATACATTTTACTTTATCAGCCTCTGAAATAGGGCCCAAATTTACACTATTTAAATCCATAGTGTCATAAACCTCAACCAAACTCACAGACACACTTGTAATGGGGAATAAGCTGTATAAAACTAATCGATCGTCACGTTTAATCATGATTACATGTTCTTGGTTAATAAAATCCCGACCAACTAATAAATCATATTTAAGGTATTTGTCCGGAAGAATTATGGCACTTACTTGTGCCGAAACCCCTTGTATAGTAGCGGTTATTTTACAAAGGGACCTACTATCTAAAGAAGTGCCCATAAAACTACACAAAGTCATACTCTCCGAATCAATACGTTGCAATCCAAATCTCTTAACGAGGGACTCCTTTATTAGCGTATTTGAACTGCCCGAATCTATTAAACATTTTATTTTTTTGCCAAAAATTCGGGCGGGCTGTAAGAATATATTAGGAAACTTTTCCTTTGCTAACAGATTAACGTGCTGTATTTCCTTTTGTAAAAAGGGACACTTTTCTTTAGTGTGACCTAGTTTTTTGCAATTATTACATTCAAGACGTGGTTTTTTGCAGTTAACTGAAATGTGACCCGGAATACCACAATTGTAACACGTTGGGCGGGACTCAGATTTTCTAGAAAATTCTTTATTATTCGAATTTCCTCGATTGAAGCCAGTCCAAGGCAGACGTTTGAATTTAGTATTATTCTGACGAAAACTACAAATTTCCGTAGGCATGTTACCCACGGTGTTTAGATACGCATAAAGTGCATTGGCATTCTCATGCTGTGCGGCTCTAACAGTTCGCGATATATTATCGTCTTTAATACCGCCGATTACTGCGTCAATCAAATAAACGTCAGGTATATTTATGTTAAGTGCCCTTAATTTAGACATTTTTTTAAAACAATAATCTCCTAGGTTTTGTCCCGGCTTAGTTTCGTAATTAGCAGCGTCCTTTAGTAACTTGGAAAATGGAACAGACTTACGGAAATAGAGGCTCATTGATGTTTTAATTTCAATCCAGCTTGAGTCATACTCCACGTTCTCGTCGTACCATTGACGAGCATTACCTCGTAATCGTCCGGAAATTATTCGAAGAATAGTATCATCGTCCCACTGATAACGTTCTGCCAAACTATCCACTTTACTCAACCAATTATCCACCATCACGTCATCCCGACTTGGGTCAAATTTTGGCACTAAAAGTTCGTCTCCCGCGCGAAAGACCGGCTTACGCCTTTTTAAATCATTTAATTCTTTTCTCAAACGTTTTATTGTCCGTTTTCTCCTCGAGCTATTATCGGAAGAGCTATAACTCGAATTCGAACTGTCACTATCACTTCCCGAAGACGAGGATGAACGTTCTTTCCGTTTATTACGCTTTTCACTTGTAACTGTTTTCGATTTAAATCTTCCCATGACGTACAATAATTTTAACTTGTCCGAGAAGAGAAAAAAAAAAACGATTGTAAGTGATTTTAGTAAAATCCCACCGCTGCTTTGTAAGGATCATCAAAAATAAAACCACGTAATGAAGCAGAATCGAGTTTAATCCTCTCCGTTCGACAACTACGTCTTCACTAACTCATCGTAAACCCCCAAAAACATCGCATAATAATACCCTAATTATCTCCTCACCGCAGCTTGCCCACCCTGTCCTTTTTGCCTGAGACGCCGATACATTTTACGATCGGCAAAAAAAACAAGGCGGCGCCTCTTTGTTACGGGGTCTTGTCGGATATGACGTAATAATATAAATATTCCAACATGATTGAGATTCATTTGAACTTGAATTATTGTTGTGTCTATATGTTCTGTTTTCTGTTTTAGTTAGTATAATATTCAGCTGTGTTCTGAAGATTTTATGAAAGTAGGTACTACTTACGAGTAATACATTAATTTGTTTGAATTAAATACCCGAGTTTAAATAGATATTTAATTCAATATTAAATTCAACACGAGCAAATCTACCTATCGATATCGTAACTCAATACTACACATCCATTCCTTTTCCGTGGTCTGTCTCTTCATTTTGCACCTACAACTCCACTGTGGTGTACTTATGTAAACATTGTTCCATGATTTCTATTTTAATGTTGGGGCCATAGTCATTCGGGCACTAACGTTTTATGTAACGTACGATCTTCACGTTTAGATTTTTGTTAACTTTTAAATGCATAAAAATTTTATTCTGTGTATGGCGTATTGCCTGAACCTGTCAAGATCACGAAAAACAAGGCAACGCCATCTTGCTTCATTATACATCCTATGCATTCTGGGGTAACAAATAAAACACAAAGTTGTTTAATAAGAAACAATTTATTCCGACACTGAATCATAACGTCAAACCGGAAATTCGCGCGTAAATATCTCTAAGATGGCGATCCTGCGTGTCACCCTCTTCATCGTCACTAACCATGGCGTATTCCGTGTCGTTTTCGCAAGTATCCTCGTAGTCGTCGACGAGTAGGCAATCTTCGTTACACGGGGATCGGACGTCGTCTCCGTCGGCCACTTCCCGGCGCAGATCCGCGCCGACGCGTATTTTATCCATTGGCACGTCGCAATACGGGCAACATATCGGGTCGAACTCCCGTTCCATCTCTTCATGGGCCATCGAGCCGCACAAAGAGCACCTAAATGCGGGGACCAAAAACAGGGGCATCATCGACAGGCAGCACCTGGAGTCTGCATGCGGCGGCAAACACGTCGGCCCCAACACCCTCTCGCCGCACAGGCGACACCTCATCATCTCCGGGTACTCGAGCTCGTTGGCCACGGCCATCACGCGGCACATTTCAGTCACGAAAGTCTCGCCGACCCCAGCCTTGACGAGGACGTCGCCCGCGACGACGGTTTTGAGGAAAAAGTTGTGCATGAACACGCTCCGCCTCTGAAACAAGCTCAGCATGTCCCAATCCGACTGCAGCAGCTTGCCAAGCCGCGTCACAGCCCACTTGATGTCGACGAGGTAGTGCAGCAACACGTAGGGCTTGATATCGTACGTGACCACTTTGGGGACGACGCCGTACGCGGTCTCGGAGATCCGCGCGACGTGCATCAGCGTCTTGAGCCGCGCCGGGCTCAGAGTGTCGTAGTTGAGGTCGGGATCGAGGCCGAGCCACGGGAACCGTTGCTCCTTTAGAGACGTCACTCTGAAAACGCGGCAGGCCGTGACACGACAACATTTTCCAAGGCTCTCTTCGGAAAATTGATACTCCCACAAGGCTCGTACTTAACACAATAGCCAACGGAAAACATGAATTTAATTCGATTGGTAGCGTTACTTTAAATATCGCGAAGTTGCCACATCGCTTTTGACATCCTCACAGTTGTATTACAAATTTCGGGTTTAGGTGAATTTTGTGCTGTTAAACTCGAAAATTTGCCGGCATTTTGGTATAAAATTATTGTTGGATTTTTCAAAACTGCAATATAGGCAATATCTACAATATCTAATTATTTATATTTAAAACAACTGAAAATGTTATATTTTCTTAATATTGTTTACATTTTAAATAAAAATTGACGTTTACAATATAAAATACGTCGGATAAAAAGATATGTAAACTACGGCAACGCTGCGTGGTTCGAGTTTGACGTTTATTTGTTATGAGCTGAAGAGTGAAAAAAACTGGGGTTAAGGGTCATCATCATTATATTAGGATTTTTGGAATAGATTTAATAGTAAAACGAGAAAAAGGGTGTAATGAAAAGCATTTTCACAAATACCGCTCAAATGTCAAATCGCTAAAGGAAAGTCACAGAACAGAGAACAAAAATGGCTGCGTCGACGCCAGCTGACAGCAAATATAAAATTTGTGCCAACCAAAAATAAACCATTTGAAAATCTTAAAGTTTTTCATTTGTATTTCAAATTGATATTGATTTAAAAATAATTTTTTGAGTGGTGTTCGTTTATTTGTTGATTACGTTTGTAGCGAAAAAGGAGGCAGCTAAGCTTCCGAAGCCTAAAATAAGTATTTTTTTGGGATGTTAAAAGACAACGCAACAAGGAATTTTTAACTTGTTTTCATGAAAGATGTAGCCAGAAATTATTCCAAATATAAACATCACCGGACTAATCGTTGTAACGACGATAAAGTGAGGTTATGTCAAAAATGATACAAATTTCTACTCGTTCTAAGAACAAAAATTCTTTTCTCTCTCTATCAGCCTTGTAGGAGTATTACTCAAATGTCTCGCTTGCCTCAGCGTTTCGAAGCAATCCCAAAGGTGACGCACCGTGTTTTGCGGGTTGTCTAACAGTAATCGTAACGGTTGGAGGTTAGTGTCGTGAAACAAATGAACGTTAACGAACTGTTTGCCGTTGGTGAGGTCCTTCTGGTGGTAGGGGTGCGACGCGACGCCCAAAAAAGCCCCATTCGGGGACGCGACGAGGCCGTGCGTGCGCAGCCGCTTGGCGTCGAGCTTGAGCGTCGTTGCGACCTCCTCGACGGCGACGTCGTGCAGTTTGACGGATATTTTGAGCGTTTTGAGCGTCCCCGTAAACGTCAGCACGTGGAGGACGTTCCGGGAACACGCGACGCCTGCAAACGCCGCTATTGGCGAGTGCATTGCGACAAAAAAAAAACTTGCCAGTTACATAATAGTGTTCGACATTGTGCGTCACCAAATCAAACAGGGCCCCCGTTTTGTCGAGCCCGAAGAAGAGCACGTGGCACTGCTTGACGACGACGATCAACGTGTGGTTTTCAAACGACGTGACCAGGATTTTGTCCACAGCCACGTCGGTTTCGGACCACAGTTCGACCTCGTCACTCGCGTTGAATTCCTCACCCTGCACACCCTCCACGCGGATAACCGAGACCCTCCCGCTCTTGTCGCCCACGCACAGGCCTCCGCCTTCAATAAAAAAATATGTAAGAGGACGCTGGGCTGCCCGCCCGAGACTAACCGAACGGCTTGGTCTGGTGCCAATAGACGGCGCTGACGGGGCCGAGTTTCATGGCGGCCCGCCACAAGAACAGACACCTCACGTCGAAATCCTCGGCCCAGATCCTCCAAAAAGTCACCGAGCCGTCGAAATGGCCGACAAAAAGCACCGAGCAGGTCCGGTCCTCAACCATAAAGGCATGCGACCAGCAAAACGCTAAAATTCACTGACATTAACCATATTCCTGGGCGGAATGATTCTGGCAGTTGTGGCCGGCAGCGTTAAGAAAAACAAATGCATTAATATAAATATAGGATGGAGTGGAAGTTCTATAATCCGTGGTACCTGAAGGAGCGACATGTTCCACCCGCCTCTTGAATTCTGTAAACTTAGCCTTCGCGTTGGGGATTTTGCTTCCGTTTTTGTAGGCGGGTTTCTCGGAGTCAGCGAGCCGCTCCGTAATGTTCAACGCCAACTTGTAGCGGGTCATCATGTTTTCGTCAACATAGGTCGAATAAACCTCCAAGCTGTGCAAGTTCGTCAGCACTGTGAGCAGGCAATCCTTTTTACGGACCAGCCCCGCGGGGGACCAATCCGCGCGGCACGGCACGGGCTCCATCGCCTGGGCGTTCCGCAAATTGGCCGAAAGGTCGACCTGGAGCACGGCCGCGTACAGGTCGTCTTTGGGGAGCTCGTACAGGAACTCGTTAACGTCCATGTCGACGTGGTCGCACGCGTTATACGCGGACGGTTTAACGAAACTTTTCGTAAAGCCGAACGACTGGGAATTGCTGCCGAGGTCCGGTTTCAGCGCCATTACGTAGACCCCACCGTCCGTCACCACCGAAAACCGATCGTCTTGGGAGTAGGAGCACGCGAAATTCGTCCTCGCGTGCCCCGTCAACTTGAACGCGTCCAACGGCTTGAAATCCGGATCGGTTGCCGGTATCATAGCGCGTATTTCGAGAGCTTTTGTCTCGCAGAAATAGCAAGGTTGGAAGCAGAACCTTCTTCTTTCCTTTTGCGTCGATATTCAGTGGAAACGCAAGCCCCACGAAGTCGCGCTACCCGTTCATAGATGGGGCGACAACGCAGTTAAAATAGTTGCCATGCGATTCGGTGATCTGTGGTTTTTTAAGGTTATGTCCGGATTCCGAAAATGAATTTTCTAGGGAGTTCTCTGCTCGCAACCACTAAAACGCTGATAAGTAACTGGCGGCGGCTCGTCAAGTGACCGCCTCATTGTCGCGTGAATATTTCCAGATTGCGTGCGGCAGGCGAGCAAGAAAACTAGCGGCAGCACGCGCAACACGATCCACAAGACGAGGCCGAAGCACAGAGGATGGAAGGCGCAGGACGGGCACGAAGTACCGGCCGGTAAAATCCTCGTGACGCAGAGAAACCTGAGGTTCCATCCCGGCCTCAATGTATTATGGAAAAAGCTCACAAAGAAACGTGGAGATTAATGCTATCGTTGTAGGTCGGTTTGGGACGGAACGGCACCCTTTTCGCCATCGTCCCGGGCAAAGTAGTGGTGACGTGCGAGAAGGTCGACCTCAATTGGGACCACACGTGGGTTCAGAGGTGCCACGGATTTAGGAAAGGCACCGACTTTTACAAGAAGTACTTTAATGTTCTACCCAAGCCGCAGCACCAGAATTTCAAGCTGATCGATCAAGTCTAGTGGGAATAAACACGCTTTATTAGAAACGTCCATTTTTATTTTCCACTTGTACAAATAAATTAAAAAATTAAAAAGGAAACAACGAGGTAACTGAACGTCTACTGACGGGGCCCCTGGCCGGGCCGGGTCGATTTGGCACTAATACGTAAAAGTGGCCCCGGGGGGGCGCCGCCTACGCTACACCTACGCACAAACAACGTCGAAACCTAAACTAGTAGCCTAAGCGAACCTAGCCTAAAAAAACAACTAACGGCAATGGCCAAGTCGCAATTTACGTTCTTTGATTTTTGTGTCGCCTCTATATTGGCGTTGCATTTCCCCGCAGCAGTATTAGCAAAAAAATGCATAATCTGGAGCCAAAAAAATTGAAAAGCAACCAAGATTTTTTTTCGATCCAGAAAAACTATAACAAGAGATGTAATTTTTTTCATTAGGACATAATTTTATTTATTTGAATTTCTTTTTCTATTTTTTTTTTAGAAGATTTTTGTAATCTTATTCCGTATTATTGTGTAATACAGTTTTTTTTTGGAGATATCAGTTTTTGGCAATTTTAAAATTAACGTGCTGGTGTACATTCAAAATTAACCTCAAAATCTTAAAAAAAAAGTCTTATTTGGTTACCGAAAACGGTTGGTTCGACTTTTACAGGATAGATAAAGTTCCAGGGACAATATCCATGTCCCTCCTTTGGCTCCCACTCCTCAAACTAAATATAAGCAGCTACGGGGTAGAATTCTAACAAGTTTCGGTTAAGTTCCGAGGAAGTCAACATTGGCGAAAAGTCAGCAAGTTTAGGAGGAATCCAGAAGGCTTGTAAGAGTAACGGGAAATTAATCTTAGAGAGAGGAGTTCACTCAAATGGTTTGAACATTTAATGATAATGGATACTCAAGATGGCCAATGGTGACATCAAGACAACTGGAGGTCGACATTATGCACATAAGTAAACTTTTACCCGTAATATAATTTTACCTGTGAATATGGTAAAAATAGTTCTTCGACCCGATGGAAAAATCCAGGCCTCCGCTGAAGAACGTAAGTGGCGATTTATCGAAACGTCAACTACCTACGTCTAAGACATGCGCATTCGAGTATTATTACGTCATGGCGGACCTTATTTAGAGCAAGAGCACCGCGTGGTCCCTCTCCAGGCGCCGTCTCGCCTTCGTCTGGATAAGACCGACGGGGTCGGACGGGAGGGGCAGCCCGGACGCCGGGCCGGCGCCCTCGTGGTAGAAAACTTCCGAAGGACCGCAACGGTACCCATAAACGGCGCAGTCCGGGGCCCTAAAACAAGTTTCTAACAGAAAAAAACCGTTTTTTATTTTTTCCGTCGTCTGTTCTCCGTAACGGACCTTTGGGAATTTTTTCAAGCCGGATTACAAGCCAGGAAGAAATATTTTAACCTTTTCTTTAAGTAAGGATAAGTCGCTCAAAAGAAATCTACTGGTAATTTATTGATCAATGTAGGAGCTTTATACGAAAAACATGCCGAGGTGAAAATAGCGACCGTTTTTTTCTTGTATTAACACCACTTCCTTGAAACAACTCTCTCAAAGATTTAAGCTTTCCAAGTAACAAAATCTGAAGCAAGAGTTTTGATTTTTTTTAGTCTGTCATTGTAATAACTCACACACAGATGATTTAAGGTTTTTTATTTACTTTTTTTTTGTGGCACGAATAATATCGACACTTATTCACATTACGCTTTACGTATAAATTGAAGAACTATAGAATAGAGAATTTAACCTCGTAAGATGGCCAAATGCTCCTAGCAGTCGTGCTCCACATAAGTAAAAGAAGAAGAACCTCGTGAGTGGATTTTTCGCTAGTATTGCACATGGCGCTTTAATCTCCGCTCGCTTCCGACAGAATCCCTTGTGTCCCAAAAACTTGAAATCGGTTTCCATTGTATGGATTTAGTGTTCTAAGTGTCTAGTGAATGTTATATAGTTTGTAGTCGTTGTCGGCCCCGCTGTTTTTTCCTGTCCACGCTTGTATAGAGGCGGGTGGGCCCGGATGGTCCGCGGGGGAGGCCGTTTTTTGCTATCGGTCAAACATTTTTTAATAATCACAATTGTTGTTTAATTAAGGCACCCTTCAGGTTATCTTTAGAAAATGTTGAACTAGAGTTGTAAGTGGCCGAATGATCTTAGCAATAGTGGCCAATAGAAGTAAAGAAGAAGAACCTCGTTAGTCTTGGTAGCTCCTTGACACGTCATTCAGAACAGTAAAACAGTGAGTCAAAACTTATTTAAGGAAGAAACAGACTCACGCAATTAATCCCAGTGCCTTCCTTTTATTTACTTTTTAATTCTCTATTGTCACTTGATTTAATATATTTTGGTGATATGAATTTAAGATTTTTGTTATAGTTTATAGTTGTTTGTGGTTCCTTCAATCTATTTACTACTGTTATTAATCGCCGCGGGTGACCCGGAACCTTCTCGTAGAGTAAGGAACGCGCGTGGGGGCGGCGTCGATTTCCGACGCCCGGTACGCTAAGACGTTCGCGACGACGCAGACGGTAGCGAAAAACGATTCGACGAGGCTCCGCCCCAAGTCGGCCCGGACAAACGCGATCCAGGTTAAATTCCACGCGACGCAATGCGCGCAACACACTATGTACGGCAACAGGCCGTGTTTCTTGTTGAAAAGTAAAGCAGAGCACGCGGGAACCAGAGATATCAAGTAAACTATCCGGAAACCGCGACCAATTTGAATCCAGCGGACGAAATCGCCGCCCCACGGCGCGGCGACGTTCGCGGCGACGACGCAAGCGCAAAGTGCAATACTGACGAAACACAAGGCGTTCAAACCCATTTACGACGAGCGAACACTTTTAAAAACTTTTGACAGCGTAGGACATTGACCGGAGATCGTGCCGTTGCCGGTTACCGTACGATCACAGAGCGTAGAAGTCAGTAATGCTCGGAAGGCGCAGATGTTTGGTTTAATGGTTACATGCTCATAGAAACAAGAAGAAAAAAGAAGGGTTATGTGTTCGTTTTTGCGTTTTAATTGGGTATTTGCCGGTGAATAAGCGAAAAATTAAAAGAAACGGTGTGAGATCAAAATATTACTTTTGAGATTGCCTTTTTTTGTAGGCTATGGTGTATGTGTGAGGGTATTGATTTAAATGCACCACACATCAAATATATTTCTTTTCAGAATTGACATGGTTACTGAAAAAAATAATTTCCCCACATATAGGCACATCTTGGTACCCAAATTTATTAAAATAAGAACTAATATATATATATATATATATATATATATATATATATATATATATATATATATATATATATATATATATATATATATATATATAGACATACCGATATGTCTAGTATTACTCAGAGGAGCCAGAGCGGAAGAAGAATTCATAAATAAATAAAAATGACCTATTATTATTATTATAATTGTGGCGGCCGATAATCAGGCGCAATAAGGTCGCTCGCGGCGTTGCCGCGCCGTCCGAATTTCCCTAACGCGACGGAAAAACGCTATATCTCCCTACCTCAGCAGAATCTCGGTGACGTCGTCCGCGTCGGCGAAGTCCCGATGCAGGGACACCAGGGGGGCGAGGTCCCCCGTGCCCCACGGCCCGCCCCTCTTCACCGTGTCCCACTTCGCGTCGAGACACAGGAAACTGTAAGGCTCGCTCTCGTGGGCGCTCGTCCCCGACGATTCCAGGCAAAAACTGAGCCGCTTCTCCAGTTGCCCCAGGTGCTCGGTGCACATCTCCCACTGCGAGAAACGGGAATAAACAATGGCCGCCGCCAGATAGATGACGCTTACGATCCTCAAGACGGCGTCCTCGTCCTTGCAGCACTCCTCCTTCATGAGTAGCGACGCCACCACGTCCTGCTGCCCGCAGACGAAGAGGACGCACCTGCGGGGCTCCGAGGCGTTTTCTAACCTCAAATTTTTCACCTCCTTGGTTCTATTGTGGACGAACGGGGTGGGAGGGGCGTCCTTGACGCCGCGCTGCTCTTCGAACGCGAGCACGCTCAGTTTGGACATCAGAGGCGTCAGCTGCACCCCCAGCGAGGGTTTCCTGCTGGAGCCGGCGTCGGCGACGCCGCTGATCGGTTTCAGCGGCAATACGAGGGACCGACGGCGTTCCTTCGGGATTTTGTCGGCGTCGCCGTCGTCGGGACACCCGGGCCGAGGTTTGGCGTCGCCGTCGGTGGGTTTGGGGGCGGCGACGGGCGGCGGTCGCGCAACGCTCAACAGGGCTTCGCCGTCTCGCTCGAGCAGACGCTCGTAGCGCTCCCTCGAAACGGCGATGCCGTCCGGCTTGAGTAGCGGCACCGTCGGATCGTGGATCGACGTGGACCGACGCCGCGCGCGGCGCTTCGGCGACGCCGACCACGTCTTCGCGTCGAAGCGCTTCGCGGGCGTGAAAAAGACGCCTTTTTGAAAATTGAACGAGGAAAAAGCATAACGGAGCATGTTGCTATGAGGACTGACAGTGGCAAGCAGACGCGGCAATAGGTATAATACGACCAAAAATATAGTACATTTATCGTTTTGACGTTTTAAGTAGTTTACGGTACCTTAACAGCAGACCGCGGTGCAATCCATCCCGACAGATGTTTATTCTGCATTAAGTAGGTCTCGGCTGAGAATAGTTGTGGAAACTTGAAATTTTTATTTGACACGTAAATGGACAGTTTTAAATTTGATTAAGCGTTGATGCTGCGGGCTATTTTCGAATAAGTAAAAGCGTTTATTTTGACAACAGGTGATATATATATATATATATATATATATATATATATATATATATATATATATATATATATATATATATATATATATATATATATATATATATATATCGTTCTTAAGAGTTTAATCTAAATTGCAATATGTTCGTATATATATTACGGAGGTATTTGACTGTGATCTTAGGTGAGGTTAGCGCCAAAATTTCCCGGCCTGACATAGATGCAGCTCCAGTATCACGATAATGGCCCCCAGCGACTATTAGTTGTTTGGATATTTGAAAAAGGGCTCACGTGGACGGCGGTTTAACGACTATGGGCGGTTTAACGACTATGTTGAGTTTTGCAGACAAACCAAAAGAATATTTTTTTAAAGGGATTGCGTTGTTAATAAAGAGATGTAATAAGTGTATTGACGTTAAGGGGGATTATATTGAAAAATAATAAAAAACTGTTACTCGAATTTGTTTCTTTTATATTCAGGCCGGGAAATTATGGCGCTGCCCTCGTATTTATGTACTAGACAGAAACACCGACTTTGCCGGTTTTTGAATTACTCGCACTTTTACGAGAGAGTGATGACAAAAATTCTGACTTGTTTTCCAGAAATTCAGGCTTGTTTTTTAGAAGTGTTGACTTAAGTCAGGAATTCTTATTTGTTCTTCAGGAATTCTGACTTGTTTGCCAGAACTTTTAATTAAAGTCAGAAGTTGTGAGTAAAATCAGAAATTCCGACTTGTCTTTCGCGCGGAAATTTAGAATTGCTCTTCAGAAATTCTGACCTATCGTATTAGAAATTCTGACTAATCAGAAATTGTGAGTAAAACCAAAATTCTGACTTGTTTTTCAGACATTCGGACTAAAGTGGGAATCTGACTTATTTTTAGAAATTTAGACTTGCTCTTCAGAAACTCTGACTTGCTCTTCAGTAAACTTAAGTCAGAAATTCTGACTTGTTTTTCAGGCATTTGACTAAAGTCGGAATCTGACTTATTTTTAGAAATTTAGACTTGCTCTTCAGAAACTCTGACTTGTTCTTCAGTAAACTTAAGTCAGAAATTCAGACTTGTTTTTCAGACATTCCGACCAAAGTCGGAATCTGACTTATTTTTAGAAATTTAGACTTGCTCTTCAGAAACTCTGACTTGCTCTTCAGTAAACTTAAGTCAGAAATTCTGACTTGTTTTTTAGACATTCCGACCAAAGTCGGAATCTGCCTTATTTTTAAAAATTTAGACTTGCTCTTCAGAAACTCTGACTTGCTCTTCAGTAAACTTAAGTTAGAAATTCTGACTTGTTTTTCAGACATTTGACTAAAGTCGGAATCTGATTTATTTTTAGAAATTTACACTTGCTTTTCAGGAATAATGACTTATTTTTTTACGAAATTCTGAGTAAACCAAGAAATTGTGTGTAAAATCAGACTTGTCTTTCAGGCATTCTGGCTAAGGTCGGAAAATCTTCTCAGACTTATCAAACTGAAACCTATAAGTTTTTATTACCTTTAAGCGCTCTCGTAATATTTATTCTTTTAAAATAAAGCTATCTAAGATGTATCAAGTGGCCAGAGATGCGCCTAAACCGGAAAGCTAGAAAGTGACGATGCTTACCCCCAGATCAACGTTCTTCACGATACCGTCGAGAACCTCTCTCAGGTGCAAAACGCTCGCGCTCCGACGCACGGGGGGCCCCGATTGCGTCGCGGCCGCGTCGTTTTCGGGGCCCCCGCGTTTCCCCTCCTTCTCGATCAACGTCAGCGGGTTCTGGTGCACGAACCGTCTCAGCTCGGTCATGGGCGTGCTCGCGACGCTGGTCCGACCGCAAACGGGGGTCGATTCGACGGGCGTCGCCCTCGAGTCCGCGCTAAAACTTCTCAAGTTCAAAAACTTGGGACGCTGCTTCTTCTGACTGGGCACGAACGCGATCTCGGCCGAACCCTCTTCGGGTACGGCGGTGAACAGTAACGATTGGTCGCGTTTCATGCCGACCGGCACCGAATCCGCGTGCGGCTGGAACCGAACTTTGCCGAAAACGTCCGGAATCGAACGAACGCTCACCGTTTTGACGCTCTTGTTGTTTAAATACTGGAAAACGCACTCGTCGCGCAGCGAAGTCTCGAGCATGTCGCAGAAGACGTCGTTGCTCACGTAAACCTGCAGGAGTTGCACCCCGAGGGGAAGATCGAAGGAGGCGCCGGCCGGTTCCGCGGGCGACTTGATCCGATACGGGTCGGCGATGACGACGCGTTTCGTGACGTCGATCGGCAATTGGGTGCCGACCACTCTGACAAATGTACCGTGCGTTCAATTTATCTCGATAACTTTTTTCTTTTTAGAGATATCAAGGTGACAATAAAAACCTTAATTGATGTTAATGTTAAAAACTAATATTTAAGGATAACAATTTAATTTCATTATATTTTGGTGTGCTGTATCTCCATTTTTACCTTTCCAGAAACTAATGTCAGAAATTAATTAATTATTTCCAGCGACCTTTCAGCACTTTCATATATTCTCGTTGTTCTTTAATAACACTTCAAATTTGTTTGCATTTTATAACCTCAAGGAATTAATCGCGAAAGCTTGCTTCAAATTACTTGTAGGGTTTGTTTTTTTATGAAAAAAACTGTACTTACTTGTTATGGTACAAGAGGGCGCCACCTAAAACGTGGGGGCACTGCTGGCACGCTTCGAGGAACGTCATCGCTTCGGTGAACACGCTGCTCGCGCTCTGAAACCGAGGCTCGTGTTTAACGCGGCTCGCGTCCCCCTTACACTTCGGGGTACCTTGGGGAGACACAGCAGGGGCACATGGCTAAATATATTACCCCCGAAGAACAACATGCGAAGATAAGTCTCGAACATGTGGTAGAGTTTGGCGGTGAGGGCCTCGTCTCGGTACAACGTGCCGAGCGTCTCGAAGTCTTTATTGAAAAAGTTGACCAGGGAGTAGAGTAGGGTGGCCCGGTGCTCGAGCAGCCAATCGGCCACGTTCCTGTCGGTGCCGACGGCCTGAAAACGGGACACCGTTACCGGACGCGACGCCAGCGCGGTGACCCCTTTACCAGAATGTAGCGCCCGTTTTCGACGACGTAAAACTTGCCGGTCTGCAGACCTACGACGCGGGGCGCGCCAAAGATCGACCTAGCGCAAGTGATCGTGCCGATTATCTGGCCGCAGAGCGCGGTTTTCTGCTGGTCCGAGACCCACGTCGGGTGAAAGTACAATATCGCGGACGATGGCTCGTCGTGCTCGGTCCTCGGCCTCTCCGTGTCGTAGACGAATATGATGGTCGTTTCCCTGGAAATTATTCGATCTTGTAGGTTTGGCGGACGACTGACGGTACCCCGCGACCTTACTTCGCCATTAAAGCGGCCGTTTCGAGTCGGTCTAGTCTTTCGAGTCGGTCTAGTCAGAAAACGGGCCCTATTCCGTTTTCATCTCGCGAAAAGTCAATATTTACGACGCCATAACCTCAAAAAGAAGCGTCTGACCGGCCGGCGAACTCTGCTCCCGATTTATTACGAACGCTGCCTTCGAGTGTCGAATCACTTTGGACGAGTTTTAAAAGGAAACGGTGTTCAAATTCGAAAGTTTCCCGTTATTACCCACTAAAAGAAACAGAATCGATCAATCAATTTTAAAAAGACCAAACTCTTTAATTACTAGCTTAATTTCCCTTCGGAAGCAAAGTTCACCGGTTCCCTAGATGCCACAGAAAAAGCGATAAATGGCCGCCTGTTGTTCATTGTTGCCAAGTTGCACTTTCTGTCTCTACCATTTTTAAATAGTACAAATTTGGATCTTCTTTATCAACTCAACAACAGAATAATAAGCTGGCGAAAATTTTGTTTAATCAACAGCGGGGTGAAAAACAGGATTCTGTTTAAGTGCCTTCGTCGTTTTCGCCGTCGGCCCGTAGATGGCGCGCCGTCAAAACCAAACATAACCCGACTTTCGGCGCTGGTTCCTACGAGGAGCAAAACACGTGCGTTAAATCGTCCGACCATGGAAAATCCGGGTACGACGCGTAACGCGGTGCCGCGGCGCCGTCCAGCTCGTTTTGATCGCGAGGGTTTGTTTCAGAGTTGACGGAGAAGAAGAAGAAAAAGAGCAAAATCGACAAACTCAGTCAGTTGCAGAGAGAAGGTAGCTTTCAACTGCAGTCGTCGGAAAAAATCGCCAAATTAGACACGTCTCAATGGCCCCTCCTCCTAAAGGTTAGTTCTTGGCACGTTAATAATCGCGGCTTTGAAACCCGCAACCGTAGCACTTCGACCGTCTGAATGTGAGGACGAACCATTACACCCCGATACCGAGCGGCTCATCGCCGCTGCGGCGTGAACTTTTGGAGTACATCAAGTCGGGCTACATCAACTTGGACAAACCGAGTAATCCGAGCAGCCACGAAGTGGTCGCTTGGATCAAGCGTATATTGGGGGTGCAAAAAACCGGACACTCGGGAACACTCGACCCCAAAACTACCGGTAAAACTCACTTAATCACGTAAAAAAACGATACCTAACCTCATCGTGTGCATCGAGCGGGCGACCCGATTGGTCAAATCGCAGCAGTCCGCCGGCAAAGAGTACGTCACCGTCTTCAAGCTGCACTCGCAGGTCGAGGGGGGCGTGAAAAAAATCACGCAGGGCCTCGAGAAGTTGAAGGGGGCGCTGTTTCAACGGCCCCCCTTGATTTCGGCGGTCAAAAGACAGCTCAGGGTCAGGACGGTGTACGACAGCACCCTGCTGGACTTTGACGACACCAGGAATACCGGTAGGGTGTGGGAGGGCGGGGCGGGTTGAAAAAAATAAACAGCTTTACAAAATAGGAAGCAGTAGTAGTGAAAAAGCTAAATATACCTTATGAATTGGAATTTGCGTTAAGCGAAATGTTAAAAAATTTGTTTCAATTTGTCTAATTTAGCCCTAGTGGCGTCACAGGGGAATCTTAGCAAATATTGTTTTATAAAAATGCTTTTTTTTAAGTTTTTTATTTGATTAAGCATTTGAGAATACAATTTCTTTTTTTTTGTTTTTTTTTTTTGAATAAAAACAATTTTATCGCCTTGGAAAACAAAAAAAAACATTTCTCGCCCGGGGTTAAGCACTTTCCTTAGTTAGTGTAATTTCTCTATGAAGTTTTTATTTTATTTTTAAGATTTTTTTAATTTATGGCGACCCCTTGATTTTTCATTTTCCTGTACTTTTTGTCTATAGCGTTGTTTTGCGATTTCTTAAAATAGTGAGTTTTTCAAGCGGGAGCGTGATTTTTATGACATATTTTCCAGTTTTTTGCAAACATATTTACCTAATTCGCAATAAAAAACTTAATTGTTGATGTTTGAAACGGACTGACTTTTTTAAAAACCTTATATAATATATATTTTTCATTGTGCAAAAAAAAATAGAAACCGCTTTTTTTTTTCTCACAAAAACCAAGAATGATGCAAAAAAATTTCAATAGCCAAGATCTTGTGTTTTAACTGCTTTTTGTTACACCCTGTATACATTCTCATATATGGTTAGATACAAATAAAGTTTTGAATATTAAAAGATAATCATAACATCAGGGATAAGGACGGTATATTAATAATCTTTCCTTCTAAAAAAAATGTGATAATCATTTGATATCTTGATCTTCATAAAAGCATCAAGCTTGCTAAATAAATTCACATAGGAGGCCTTGAAAAAATTTTTTTTTAGCACTGTCAAATTTCATGTTTTGAATTTTATAAATGTTAGTCAGTGTTGCTGATTTTCTTATAAGCCAATTATCAAAGAATTTGCTTCAGTTTGTCTAACTAGGCCCTAATATATTACAATTATTAATCCCAGTGGCGTCCCAGGGGCATCTTAGTGAATATTGTTGGCTAATTATTGGAATATTATGGCTAAACGAGCCTCGTATACATCAATGCCAATTTTTAGGAACGTTTATAAAAACTTTTGTTCAAATTTTTTTTTTATAGAAATACGCTCTAAAATATGTTCATCTATTTTAACATTTTGTTGTAAAAAAGATGTAAGGAAGCCAAGCAACATTCACCACGTTTTTCGGTTATTTTCCTTTTTAAATAAAACAGGCTGGACGTAATTTCGGGTGTGTAAAACGTCCGGTAGAGGGCGAAACAACTAATACGGGGTGGAGATATAGTTTTGGTTAGTTTGAGTAGAATTTGCTTGATGTCATTTTTAATTTTCCTTTACTTTTTGTCAATAGCGTTTTGCTTACAAAATTAAAAAACTGAATTCCTCATATGAAGACTCTTTTGAAATCTTTATAAAATAAAAGAACAAATAGGAACCACTTATTTTTTCCTAAAAAACTAAGAATGACACGAAAAAATTTCAATAGACAAGGAGCTTTTATTTTAACTACTTTTTGTTGCACCTTGTATATTATACTAGATATTAATAAATTGAATTGATAAATTAAACCGAATTTTGCGATATAAAATTCTTTTGAATTAATCAACAAAATTAAAGATATCAAAATTCCTTATAACGCAACACTGTTGCCTTTTGATGTACAAAACTTATTTTCCAGTATTCCACCTATGGATATGATGATAGATTTAATAGATTTCACCCTCACTCGGAAACAGGTTAATCCATTGGTGAACAAGATTTATTAGATTGCTTAATAGTGTCTCTAGACCAAAATTATTTTGAATTTAATATTTATATCTATTTATATATATCTCTAAGGAAGGTTAGTCCTTTGTAAGCCGGCATTTTTAAGGATAATTTGGAAAATATACAATATAATTTTTAAATTACATTAACTCATTACATAATCGTATAAAATTCTTATAAAATATTATATTATTCATTATATTATTTATTTTTGGTAGCATTTTTCTTTGTGTCTAGGAACAAAATATTATGCGTACCATTCAGGGATAACGTCCTGTATAATAACAATCGTTTCCTTTGAGTACTAGTTAACAAAATGTTAATAAGTTCGATCTAAAAAACAAAACGCGGACGTAGTTCTACCATCTGCGCGACGTTGCCGATGTTCGCGTCGCTTTCAGGCGTGTTTTGGGTCAAATGCGAGGCGGGGTCGTACATTAGGACGATGTGCGTCCACCTGGGGCTCGTGCTCGGCGTCGGCGGGCAAATGTTGGAGCTCCGCCGCGTGAGGTCGGGCAACGTCAGCGAGATGGACGACCCGGCAACGTTGCACGACGTGCTCGACGCCAAGTGGCTCCACGACAACCACAAAGACGAGACTTACCTGCGGCGGGTCGTCAAACCCCTGGAGGGCCTCCTGGTGAAACACAAACGGATCATCATGAAAGACAGTTCGGTGAACGCGATTTGCTACGGGGCGAAGGTGCTCGTGCCTGGCATCCTACGCTACGAAGACAACATCGAGCTCAACGAGGAGATCGTCATCGTGACGACCAAGGGCGAGGCGATCGCGTTGGCCGTCGCCCTGATGACGACGGCGACAATAGCGAGCTGTGACCACGGCGTCGTCGCCAAACTCAAACGCGTCATCATGGAACGCGACACCTATCCGAGGAAGTGGGGCTTGGGCCAGCGGGCCAGTCAGAAAAAGATGCTCATCGCCAAGGGCCAGCTGGACAAGTACGGCAGGCCCAACGAGAACACGCCCAAGGAGTGGCTCAACAGCTACGTCGACCTGTCCCTGTAAGCTGCCTTTTTTTTTTCCTCGCTTTGCATAGTTAACGTCCTCTTTCAGCAAACAGGAAATCAAAACGGAGACGGCGGACGACGACCACAGCAAAAAGGTAGGGTTAGGCGAGTGGCCACAAGAAGAAGACGACGCGCTTTTGTTTTTCAGAGAAAGCTGAGCAGCGGCGTAGCCGCGGACGACACGTCGATGGAGGTCGCGGCCGACACTTCGACGGAGGCCGCGGTCGCCGAGAAGAAGCAGAAAAAAAAGAAGAGAAAGAAGGAGGACCGGGACACCGAGACGGAGACGGTGTCGAGCCAGGATACCGAGGAGGGCGAGGTAAGTAGCGGGGGGGCGTGGCCGATTTTTGTCAAGTGCGTTCTCGTCGTCGCAGGTCGCGAAGGAAAAGAAGAAGAAAAAGAAGAAATCGAAGGACAGGGACGCGCCGGAAGCGGAAGACGGTTAAGCACGGCGCCCTTTATTTCACTTTTTTTATTGCCTTTATTTTTTATGTATATGAGTATAAATTTCGAGAATATATTATGACAACAATTGAGTAAAGTAAGTTACAAAAATATGTCGTCTTTTGTTTATTCATAAAAAAAAACAACTTATTTACAGCGGTAAAAATGAATTAGTACGCGTTAAACGGATCTCCCACGGGGGGGTGGCGTGCTTTTCGTCGTCGCAGGTCGCGAAGGAAAAGAAGAAGAAATCCGAGGACACTATTTTTTAAATTGTATTTAATTTTTATGTACATGACTATAATTTTCGATTTACAGCTGAGTAAAGTAAGTTGCAAAAATATATCGTCTCTCGTGTACTCATAAATAACACAACTTATACCGGGTGACACAGGAAAGTGGTAAGGATTAATATAGCCTGAATGTCAAATTTTTTGACAATATGTAGTCACTGGTTGCACTTCCGGTTTGAGCGGAGACGGCAGTAACTTTCGAATTTTAAATAGCGCAACCTATATAGGAAGATACGTTTTCACTTTTTTTTGTTTTTTAAATTTTTATTTAGGAGGCTGTGACCATCATAAATACTATTTACCGGGTCACCTGATCATGTGAAAATTGTAAATGACACTTTACTTGTCTAATGCCAAATAGCGCTTAGTTACCTAGTTTTTTTTCAAATAGCACCTTAGTGGGAACAAAAACTTTTTAAAATCGCTATTTTTTTACGAAATTTTCCAAATCTGTTAAAAAATAACGTCACACAAAACAAAGGAAAAACCAGATAAGTAAATACATTTTTATAAAAAAAACTATTCACTATTAATTGTCAAGTCGGTAAGCGTAAAAATGCAGAAGAAACTACTCGAGAAGTTCGTTACCTAACAGTCAATTACAATTTCGAAGTCTTCTTACAAAATTAGCGTCATAAAGATGTCGACGATACTTAAAAGAATGGCATAATTCTACTGCCACTTCTTTTAGCAACGTAGATTGATTCACGTTGACATATTTGTTGACGGATTGTGTTTATAAACTAAATCTTTAAGTGTACCCCATAGAAAAAAATTTAGGTTAGTTAAGTCGTTGCACCTTTGTAGGCCAGGCGTAACTATCATTCAAGTAGCCTTCTAGCACCTGTTTTATTTAAACATCGTCATAGCCACCTTACACTAACTGAACTTATATGGTAACTGCATATTATTTGTGATAAATAAATGTTTGAAAGGAAATATTTCAAAAGGTAAAAATATTGCAGTTTTTATGCTAAATATCACAAGATTATAAAAATAGGTAGTTTCCATTAAAAAAAAAGTTTTTTGGCACTTTTTTTCATTTCATTTCATTTTTTTCATCTTATTTTTCGCATATCCTGTATTATTACGTATCGAAATTTCTTATGAAATCCGTTATTCGAGTCTAACTTACTCAAGTAAAACAAAAATGCTTCCGGATGAAAAAATTGGCAGATATTTTACATTTTCCACATAAAAAATTAAAAATGTTAAAAACGGTTAGACTTAGGTATAGGATATTATACACAAAATATGTCTAGAATTTTGTATACAATTCAAAAATGAAGTAATATACGTGATACATACATACATATACATTAAAATAAACTGAAGGTTTGTAATACCCCAATTAACTTTTGGCTACATTCCCTATAGTTTCCGAGATGAAGTAGTGTCCTAAGATAACATCCCCTTTACATGAGTATAATGTTTGTGAACTATATTACGATAGAAAATTGAGTAAAGTACTCACCAAAAAAACGTATTTACAGCGGTAAAAATAAATTAGTAGGCGTTATCCCCTCTCCAACCCGGGGGGAGTGGTGTCCCCTCGCGCGGCGTTAGCCGGCGAGCCCCGCCCCCGTGTGCGCCTTCTCCGCATCAATAAACACCTGGACGTCGTCGCCGTCGCGCTTCCTCCTGGGGCTGAACTCCTGCAGGATCCGCATCAGGCCCGAGTGCTCGACGCGCGGCTCCGCCCTCTTCTCGACCTCCGGCGACGGCGGCGGCGTGAGGCACACGTCCTCGGGCGTGGCGATGGGGCTCCGGCCGTCGCGCGCCTCCCGCTGGATCTTCTTGATCAGGCTCTCGGTTTTTCTTTGTCTGGGCTCGGGTTTGGCGACGGAGACGGCGTCGTCGCGGACCACCAGGTCCTCGATGCCGGCCAGCACGTCCGCGTCCGTTTTGGCAGGCGCCGTTTTCCGCGGGCGCGGCAAGCTCGCCTCCTTGGGGTTATAATGCTCGATGAGCCCCAGGTCCCAGTCCTCTAGACCCGCGAAAGAGTCGTCGCTTTCGACGTCGTCGGGCGCCTTGTGCGTCTTCAGCTTCTTCAGCTGCTGCGGTATGAGCGAGCCGAAGCTGCGGCACCGGTTGAAGTAGGCGTCCAACTTGCCGCCCGACGTCTTCTTCGACGACTGCAGCGACAATCTCGACGAGTTGAGGTTAGGTTTCGTCGAATCGGTTTTGTCCGTGGTCGCTACCGAGAGCTTCAGGTCGTCGTAGTTGGGGAGGGAGACGACCGAGAGGTTTTTCTTCCGCTTATCTTCCGCGTTATCGAGCAGCTTTTTCTTGTCCCCGTGGTTGTGCTGGTGGTGGTGGTCCCTGTTGTGGTTCTTCTCGTCCTGTTCGCACACGGGACACGTGTAGACAATTTTCTTCTTGACGAAGAGCTCCTCTTCGACGGGTTTGCGGACCTGGAGGGCCTGGAGGCCGGTCTTCGCGGCCGATTCGATTTTCTCTTTGAGATTGCGCCGGATTAGGTTCTTCCTGGGCGGCGGCGTAGGGGTGCCGCCCGTGTCGTCGTCGAAGATGAGCGCTAGCTGCGCGTTCTTGAGGTGGACGGCGTCGTCGTCGTCGCGCGTCACCTCCAGCTGCGCGTCCGTCCAATCGGTGGACCTGGACAGCGGTTTCGGGCGCTCGTCGCCGCGTTTGTCGCTCAGCTGCGAGTCGGATTTCCATGCGGCCGGTCGTAACTGTAACGCAACGTTTTTGAGACGACCTGAATAACAAATCGATTTTATTGCATTCAAACTACTAACCGGCGGACTAGCGACATCTATCAAAGGGTAGCGGCACTATTACTAAATATTTTTAGAAGTGACATAAAAATGTTTTTCCTTTAACGAAAATGGAAATTCGCCTATAAATAGGTCATCCGCACGCGGCGGCGTACATGTTTAAATTCAGTGATCCAATAAAAATTATCGAATAATTCGACAGTTTTCAACTAATCGATAGGCGACACAGTATTAAGTTATTTTGTTACTTAGCGAATTAATATGAAATGAACGAATGAATTTAATCTCGATAGTAAATCCCGTACACGATGTTACTCATGTTATGGATGGATATACGCAGATTAAACAATAACAAGTCAAAATCAAGTTTTTAAATAATTACTTAAGTACTTTCCGGCAAAGGTGTGGTGTTATAAAAAAGGAATTAGAAATAAACTGAAAAGATCATTGCTGCGATATTCGATAATAAGAGATCGACTGAATTAGTAAATATCCGATAGTCCGAGTCATTCGATAGTGCCCATTTCTATTTAAATTGACGCACCAGCTAATTTTGACATTAAAAATACAAACGAGTGGGCGGGCGACATCTATCAGGATTCAGCGGCGTTATTTAAGAGAAAATTGTTGTAAATTCGCGTCCATTGTTCATAAGCTGATTTTGACTGAGTAAATAACAAATTAAATGCTTTTTTTTTCAACGAACTAAGAGAAAATTGTTGAAAATTCACGCCTATTGTCCGTGACGGCAACACGTCATGTTTAAATTCGCACACCAGCTGATTTTGACAATAAAACTACAAATGAGTGAGCGGGCGACATCTGTACTAAATAAAAACAACAATTAAATGGTTCTTTTTCAGCGATTTAAGAGAAAATTGTTGCAAATTCATGTCCATTGCCCGTGAGGTCAACACGGCATGATTAAATTCGCCCACCAGCTGATTTTGACATCCATCAGAATTTTTCGTTATTACAAAATGACAAATTAAATTTTTTTCAACGATTTAAGAGAAAGTTGTTGAAAATTCACGCCTATTGTCCGTGGGGACATCTACACTGAATAGAAACAATTAAATGTTTTTTTTCATCGATTTAAGAGAAAATTGTGGCAAATTCACGCCCGTTGTGCGTGGGGGCCATGTTTAAATTCGCGAGCCAGCTGATTTCAGCGCGACGCGCACGAGTCTTACGGATAAGGTGACATCATTCTGCGATTGCTAATGGTAAAGGTTGCGGCACCCATAACGAGACGACCTTGTCCCGACGAAAAGCCCGTATTTGCCGCGCGTAATCTCGTTTTTCATTCGAAGGGAAAACATCGCGCGTCGCGAGTCGGGTGTTTTTTTTCCTAATCATTCGTCGTCGCGATAAATTCCAGAGCAAATATTTGGCCAGAAGGAATGCTAATATTTGAACGGGGTCGTGAGTTATACAAAAGTTGCGATTTTTAAATACCAAAGACGAATAATATTGGCGACTGGCCAACTGACGCACAGACGACGGAAGTTGGTCGGTTTGGATCGCTTCCGCGCCGTTTTATACCGCGCACGGGAGAAATAACCGATAAGCGAACGAACGGGGGCTTCGCCCTCGCGAACCAGTTATCCTCCGTTCCGTTTCGCCGCCGTCCGTAACTGTAACGTGTAATTTTTTCCACCGGGAGGCGCGCACCTGCCGCTTGTGTAATTACGCGCTTCGGATGGACTTACGCGCAGTCTGCCGATGATCCTGTCGAATTTTCCGGCACGGGGCGCGGGTTTCGTCGTCACGGCGTCCCCCGCGTCAGATTTTTTCTTGCAAAGTCGGTTGCCCATCGCACGCGACTAACTTTCGGTGGTCCGTGACTCACATCGTTCGTTGCCCGACCGATCGCCGCTGCGGACTGGCGAGAACAACAAACGCGAAGGCTTCGAACGGAGGCGCGTTAATTTTCTAACGATGCCGGGCCAATCGGGGGGCGGTGCCGCCGATCCGAATCCAAATGGCCGATCGTTCAAAAATGAACCGCACGATTTGCGGACCAAAGAATAAAAACTGATCTATGGCAGGCAATACAAGCAAAGCATGTAAGAAGAAATGACACTGCACCAAAATTTAGTAATAGTAAAGTCTGTTCGTAGCTATAAGAAAGTGAGTAACTGATACGAATTAAGGAAAGACCCGGGCAAGCTGTAAACAATATTTATTTATTTAGGTATGTATTTATGTTTAAATCTAAAATAAAATTACAAATTATTTTTATTACCTACTTAAATTACTTAAAATTATTAACATAATATATCAGTATCACTATCGCTATCATCGCCTGTTCTAATTATTATTTGTTCTATATTATTTGCAATATGGATATACGATTCTTCTGTTTTTTCTATATGTTTAACAGAATTTGCTCAACTTTGTGGAGGGATGTTAAAAACTTCGGTTTCTATAGGTTTGAGGTCATTGTTATGACGAATGGCAGATTTCAATTGGTGCCAAACATGTTCAATGGGATTAAATATACAGTGGTATGCCCTAGATTTTTTGCATAATTATCAAAGACGTTTTCCTTTTGTAGGTTCAAGCTTGGTAGAACCTCAATTAATTGCTTTTTGGTATAATCTTCGTGAAAATAAATGTCGTTATTATACATGTAGTTTTGGATTGTTGATTTTGTGTCACATGAGGAAGGGGTTTTAGTCAACTGTCTACTGTGATAACTTGCATTGTCCATTACAATTACGCTATTAGGAGGAATGTTCGGAACTAGTTTGTTTTTAAACCAATTTTCAAATAAATCAGCGGTGATGTCTTCATGATAATCCAGAGAAGAATCTTTAATATTTTTCTCAGAATAGTTATTTTTTTACCTCGTTTGATGGCGCAGACAGAAAAAGTTCATTTCGAATCCAATCCAATCAGCTGAGTCAACCCAACCCTTTTCCGGGGTATCATAAGTGTCGAACCAGGTTTCATCCAAGTAAATAATTAGCCTTTGTTGTTCTTTGTAAATCCAAATTTTTTCTAGATATTCCAGTGGCCATTTCCGAATTCTAATTCAATTTTTTTAAATCTAAAACCCATTTGTTGAATAAGGTAGTTCTGCCACATTTAACACCGGTTTCATCTCTTTCAAGCCTTCTAATTAAGATATCTAATGTAGACACGATTTGTTCCTCGTATAACTGGTAAATTTAACGCCGTATTATATCTTGATAACTTTCATCTACCCTCGAGAAAATGTCAGCATCGCTTCTTTTTTTCCTCGCTGAAACAATTTTCCATACAGTTGATGTTGGAATTTTCGTCAATGTGACCGTTTCTTCTAAAGATGCTTGCTTGCGGGTACCACGTACACTGAGAGTCAAATAAATATTGTTTATAACTTCCTTAGTCTCAATAGTGTTTTCTACATTTGGGCGGGAACATCTCCTGAGATACACTAGATTCGCACATATTTTGCATAATTCGTACACGATTCAACACACGTTGTATTACACACGAAATAAGAATGATTACTAATAAACCTAAACTAAGTAGTATACCAAACCAAAGAATATTAAACACAGGTAGGTATAAAATTATTTTACCTGAATTTAAATTCCGAAACTATAGGTATGGTATGGTAATGACCACCCTTGGATAATCCCATTCAAAAGCAATTGCTCACTTTCTTATATCTATGAACAGAATACGAACAACTTAAAACAATTACATACATGGCAGAACCCAGTGGAAAAGTTTCAAAACATTTGTCAAAATGTGGTTTAAAAATAGCTTTCGAAACAAAATGTCCTAAAATTTATATTGGACAAACAGGTAGATCGTTCAAGAAACGCATTAAGCAACATAAAAGAGCGTTTAAAAACAATAGTCTTGAATCTAATTATGCTACACACTTAAACACAGAAAGGCACATTTTTTACGACAATTTTGATATTTTACATATAACCACAAAAAGTTGAAATGTTTTAGATTAGATTCAAATACCTCTCCATTATTAAACTTAAATTCCCACAACATTAAGTAAGGTTTTATTGTCATATTTCGCCACTCACCCAAACAAAAAACACCAATAAAAGTTAGCATAAACACATTGTCGCATTTACTTTAAACCGCATAAATGCAATTTATAAGAAATTAACGCGCATTCATCAAAAATAAGCAAACTAAACGATCGCGATTATTCTCAAACAACGCGGTTTAAATATGGCGCCGTAGGTCGGAAAACTAGCCGCGTTCCGATTGGTCGGCACCGTTAGAAAATCACCAAGTGCTCTCGCGACCTTTGACGAAGCGTGGGATTATAACTAGAACGTCGAGTTGTTTTCATCTCGTCGAACTGCGACCGTATTGTTTCGTGCCGGTAGTGCGCAACGTGTTTTCCGCGGCGACTTTTCGACGAGTCGAAAGTGAAAACGACGAAAACCGAAAGCTCCGCCATATTCGAAACACTGGCTGACTCATCCTTTGTTTACCCGACGGACGACCGGTTTTCTGATCCCCGAGGCGTCGATCAAGTGATCGATCCGTCACGTTGCGCCGAAACACGCCCGAATCCGCGTGAAACTCTTCGAAAACTAATCAGAAACAACTCGCAATGGGTTAAACGGCGAACGCGACATCTATCGGCCGCTAGTCGCTTCAAAAAATGCACTTAACGCGCATTAACGATGCGTCGGAGTAAAAACGGCCTACGCTGATTTCATAGCGACGATGGACCACAGAATGACAATTTCGAGGACCTTACCTTGTTTCCGAGCCTCCTGATGACGTCCATGGCGTTGCCGGAACGCGTCGAAATTAACCCTCGCGAGGATCAATGGCGACTAAGCCTGGAGGATTTGAGCAAACGCGACCGGACGGTGTCGACCGAAATAACTGTGATTTAACGAGTTTCGGCCTCGGGCCGGACGCGCGCGCGTACCGGGCGTCCCAATACAATTTTCGTCTCTACCGCGTCACAGAACACGTAACACTAACCAAAAACGTCTTACCTTGGTTTTCTCTGTTCCTAGAGTATCCTTTGCCTTGAAATTTTATTAAAAAATCAAACACTTACCCAATATAATAAGTTATCTTTTATAAGAAACTAATAACCATTGTTAATTAGCGTTATTAACATTAAAGCTTATCGCCGCGTTTAAAAGGTTATGTGCCTGAGTCGACACGGGTTTATCTCATTCGTCGTGAATATCGTTGACAAACAACCGGCCTAATGGGTTTCCAACTGCGGCGAGATAAACCGGCCAAAAATGCAGGTAAACAACCCCCGGGTAGGAAATGACCGCTTAACTGGGCGCCCATAAAATCGATTTCCATGGGTGTCGGGTCCGGCATTTCGGCAGCAGCGTTCGCGTCATGTGCCGTTTCGTGTTTCTCGCGTTGTGTTTGGGGGCGGTTTGCTCGGTCCACGTGGGCACGCGGGTGCGCCGGGGCATCTTCGGGGGCCAGACGAGCACCGTCTACAAGGTGGTCGAGAAAAAGCATTACGTGCCGTACTCGTGCGTCTACGTCGACCCGAACTTGCCCAACTGCCGCAACCTGAGGTTCCTGTGGGGCCCAGCGGACGTCAGGAACGCGTAAGTGCCGTCCGTCGCACTGTGATAGAAAATGCAAATCTGAAGTTCCAAAATTCAAATTTCTTAACGACTCAAATTTCTTTTTTAGCCATTCTTTAGAGATACCTAATTAACAATAACACAATAATCTTAGTCGCCCTAGACGAGAAACAAAAGCTACACGCTCTGTTTTGTTTACAGTATTAATTGCTCTGTGAAATAATGTGTTGTGACTTTTAGGACCTTCAAAAAATACTGCACATTTCTGGAGGTATGTAGCGTATGTTTTACATATATTTATGATATTTAGTGAAAAAGAGTTTTTATGCCGCTCAGTTAAGTTTACATTGAAAATTAAAGTCTAAATGCGGTAGTATTGTTGTATAGCAGAGTAGAACTTTTTTGCGACTATTTGCGACTGCTAGATATTAACACCATCTTCTTGCCTACTTTCTTTTCTTTCAAAAAAATCAAAAAACTTTTGCCACCACGCGCCCCTTTCCCCTTTTACATCAATTTGTATTTTTACAGACAAATCCGCGACGATTCGGCGTATCGACTTATTCGAAGTTTTAAAATTACACCCTAGAAAACGTGACAGCCAACAATTATTTTTTGATTATACTATACATATCATTGGGGGTGAGAATCTTTTAGCCCAAGATAAGAATTTGGTTCTCAAGATTATTGATAATTTTCCAAAAAACTGCATGAAAAGTGTAAAAAATCGAAACGTTAACAAAATTCAAGCGTATACATGAAAAATGGCTTCTGGAAGAAATTTTAAAATCGGGACCAAGACCACCATTAAGAACCAATAATCCGGTAAATGTGGGTCGTCCGAAATTATCATTCGCTGAAGGAAGTCGACGGACTAAACTAAAATCAGAAGAGGAACTTTGCTTTACCACTGAAATGAAGTTACGGGCAGCAGGAAAACTTGGTAGATACAAAAAATGTACCTACCTACCTTATATACACAAAATAATAATTCTAGCATCACGTTTCGTATCAGTATTGCTAGTTTGTCATATTGTAATTATAATTATTACAAAAAAATAAATATATAAACCAACTTTTGCAACAACTTTTATGTACATTTTGAGAGCCAATTAATATCTACCTTAATTTATATAGCCGGAATCCTAGAATTGCATTTTCTATCACGTCGCGACGTCCTCGCGATTTATTGTTCGCGTTATTTGCCGTTTCAGCTTCAGTTTCGTCTCGCCCGACGTGATCAAACCCACCGAACCGCTAGCCGAGAAGAACGCTACCGCGATTCTCAAGCAGGATCTTACGCGCAGGTAAAACTGACCGAATTGTTTTCTGTGGACGCGACGCGACGTTTTCAGGATGGATATCGTCGACGGTAACGCGACCCGCGCGCCATCTCTCGGCTGGGGGGAGTATCTGGGCTTGTACGGGCCGCCGGTGACTGTGACGGAAATCCGGGTGACGCACACGACCGTCCTCGACCCGAGGATCGCCATCACGTTCGCCGTGAAAGGTTGCAAACCGAGAGAGTTGCCGCTGAACATGGAAAAGTGCCCGGAGGCGACCCGGGTGCCGAACCTCGTCGAGATTTTGCCCACCAGCACCGTGGCGCACCGCGTCGAGCCCACCAAACTGCCCGATTTGGTGCCCGCGGACTCGGCCGACCAGCTGACGGGAGCGGAAACCGCCCTCGAAGGCGGCGACGTCGGCGGCCCCACCCAACACTTGTAACGCGAAAGATTTCCGCTTTAGGATTAGCTTGTACCGCAATAAAATGACGTATCGATTACGCTTTTGCCGTTTGGATTTAAAAGCGAGCGCGGAGGCGACATCTATCGCCGGGTAGCCTGATCAAGAAAAACCATGTTTTTATTTTATTATTTCTCATCACGGTGTTCTAATTTGGTTGTACCAGTTTTAAATATATGTACTCCTTCGTTGCTCTGAATTTTTTTAGGGTCAAGGCATTTTTTGAGGTTTAATTCGTGGATTTTTGAAAAAAGATGAGGTGGTTTAATTTGCACCTAGTGCTTCAAACGCTGCAATTACTCTGCATAGTATTGACCAGTGATGGTCTTGCCCTATTCAAGGTAATCAATGTATATAATTTCTCTGGCATCCCCAAAAACAGTAGCCTTTTTTGGAGTTGGTTCCCCATTTGCCGTTTTAACTGTCCCTTATTTTCATGAGTGTAGTGATGGACCCAAGTCTCTATTTTTCGATTTAGTTTTTGGTCGCCTTTTTATTCTGGTCCATTAATAAACGTCATCACTTCCTGCATTTTGGATGAAAAATGCCCATCTATCTGGAAAAAAGCTATCGTAAAACCTATTGCCAAGGTGGCAGGCCCTAAAGAACTGAAAGATTTAGGGCCTGTAAGCATACTCTCAGCAATTTCTAAAATATTGGGACGCAAATTACTGTAAAGTGCGTTTAATTTATCTTGATAGCATTTTGATTGGCTGACATATAAACCTACATCACATTTTTTAAATGGAGCACCATATTATACATGTGTTTATAGGTGCCCTGACTGACAAATAAAAATATGTATTTGTACTCCCGTCTCTTTCAAAACAGATATTTGCAAGGCTGGCAAAGAAATTTGCAGAAAACGGCAACGTATTAAATGCTAAAAAGGTATACGGGAATCGTAATGTTTTAAATGAAGAAAATAAGGCACACATATTGGGATTCTATGAAGTGCATCTAGTTTTCTCTATTACTAGAGTATATGAAGAGATAGGTAATTCTCGGGGATCAATCCACTCAGTTTTGAAAGAATATGAAATGCATTTGAATTTCGTAAAACTCAAAAACTAAGCGCAGAACAATGTCAAAGAAGGATGCAGATTTGTTTGGATTTTTGAAATACACATAATGAGAATAATACCTTTTTGAAAAACGTTTTATGGACTGATGAAAGTTCGTTCACTACAAGAAAGGGTTGTAATAGACAAAATACGCCATATTGGTCTTTAAATAATCCCAGACAAATACACGAAATAAAAATTCAGGGGTATAGTCTGTTCATAGATATAAGAAAGTGACCAATTGCTTTTGAATGGATGCAACAAGATTATTACCTAAAGTTTCGGAATTTAAATTCAGGTAAAATTGTGGTCCGTAATACAAAATAATTTTATACTTACCTGTGTTTAATATTCTTTGGTGTGGTATACTACTTAGTTTAAGTTTATTAGTAATCATCCTTATTTCGTGTGTAATACAGCGTGTGTTGAATCGTGTGCGAATTATGCAAAATATGTGCGAGTCTAGTGTATCTCAGGAGATGCTCCCGCCCAAATGTAGTAAACACTATTCTATTCTATTCTAAGGAAGTTCTAAACAATGTTTATTTGACTCTCATTGAACGTGGTGAAAGCAAGCAAGAAAGTTGGGCAAATACTGTTAAACATATAGAAAAAGCAGAACAATCGTATATCCATGTTGCAAATAATATAGAACAAATAATAATTAGAACAGGCGATGATAGCGATAAATTCAAGTAATTTTATTTTAGATTTAAACATAAATACATACATAAATAAATTAATATTGTTTAGTATCTTTCATATCAAAACCCCAAATAATTAAATTCTAAGCAAAGTACGGACCTGTCCGGCCATATTTCATTCTTACAGTTTGCCCGGATCTTTCCTTAATTCGTATCAGTTGGTCACTTTCTTATATCTATGAACAGACTTTATCTCTAATACTGCTTCTATTATACCTACTTAAAAAAAATATTTTTAAATTAATTTTGATTTATATCTCAGAGGGGAAATGCGATGTTTGTTTTTTAACATTCTTTCATCCCAGCTAAAAATATTTATACCATTATATTTGAAATTTTCGAGAATATCATAAAAATAGCTGTTTTTGATATGAAGCGCCTCCTACCGACTCGTGAAAACATTAATATCGTGATATTGACACGCCAATAGAAACTCCTATAAATACTCTTTAAAACTAAACTACGTTCGTCGAAATTGCAATAGCCAAAAAAAAAGTTATTCAACTTTTTTTATATAAATATTTTATTCTAAGTTGTAGGACTAACGGTTCCTGAGATATGGCCGTGCGTCCTTTTTAATGGGCCACCCGGTACATACAGGCTCGGTAGGAATGGCACTCCAAAAGTAGACCTAGTGTCGCCACCTCTCGGTCGGTTTCTCAAAGGCCGTTACAATAAAAACGTCGTTCAAATTAAAGCTGGTTTTATTTAAATCAAAAGCCTCAACCCTTTAACTGTGCTGCGAGTCTAAGTCGCGACATCTATCGGTCGGAGGCCGAACGCGCGCGCCTCAACCGAAATAAAATCCTTCCTCGCTGGCGTCCGCTGCCTTGCCCGCCAATTTCGACTTCCTCTTCTTCTTAGGGCACACCTGGAAACCCTCCGGCACGCAATTGTCCGCCGTGAGGGTGGCGACCGCCCTCTTATTGCTCACGACCTTCGTGATAGTCACCGTCGCCGTCTCGTAGGCGCGCCTCCTGGTGTACCCGGGCAGGATCGTCTCGAGCTGGTCGAGCCGGTCCTCTACTAGGATCTCGTCGAGTTTCCTCCGGTCTGTTAGCGTGGGCGTCTTCCTCGACGCCGGGGACTCGTCGTCGTCGAAGGACCCGACGACTAAGTTGTCCAGGTCTCGACCGCGCTTCGCGGCGCACGGCGCCTTCTTCTTGGCGTACCTGATGCACACGGGGTTCCTCAGTACGTACTTCGTCTCTAGCTTGAGGACCTTCGTCGTCGTCGTGGGGCTGGGTTTGATCTTCTGCACGTTGTCCGGGACGGCGACGCGGTCGATGTAGGGTAGGTCCAGGTGGGGCAGCAGCTCGAGGTAGTTCCCCGGGTTGTAAAGCTTCGCGCATTGGCGGTAGAGGCCGACGCCGTGCGTCGAGACGCCGCGGCACGCGGCCAGCACCAAAGACGCGAGCAACATCGAAGCGGGACTGAGTGTACGTCCCCTGTCGAGCCGTATTATAGTTTAGACGGAGGCGGAACTAATCGATCCGTAATGGCCTATCGTTAAGACGAAATCGTACCGTTGTGTGTGATCGACACGACCGCCGTTTCCGCCAATTTGGTACCCGGTGACCGACTTCTTCGCGCAATTGGGTATCGATCTTTGCTGGCGACATCTATCGGAAATTTGATGAGTTTTACACTCTCACGTCGAAAAAGCATGCTCCGCGGGGTACGTTCTCAAATTATTTAGGATTTTACGGGGCGCGTCGCAAAAGTACGGCGTCAAAAAATTCCTCACTTGAACTAAAATTCTTTTTGACGGAATATACAAAAACATATAAATTATTAATGCGAAAGAAACTTTTATTCCAACACAAAAAAAAACTTGGCAATAAAGATGAAGGTCCATAATCTATTATTGCAATCTTATCGATGTGGTATTGCTGTAAAAAAAAACCGTGCGCTTTTTGGGAACAGAATCTTTTTAGATGTTTGTTCGGGAATCTGTTTCACTAAACACACATTTCTATCGCATTCTAGACTCGAATGTCCACGAATAGGACAAACAATGACGCAAATAAATCAGCGGTGGTGTCTTCATGGCAATCCAGAGAAGAATCTTTAGAGCCAGAATGAAGAATAGTTATTCTTTTGTCTCTTTTTGATGGCGCGTTTGTTTTGCACTTATCAGTTGAGTCAACCCAACCCCTTTCCGGGGTATGATAAGTGTTTCATCCAAGTAAATAATTGGCCTTTGTTGTTCTCTGTAAATCCAAATTTTTTATAGATATTCCAGTCGCCATTTTCGAATTCTAAAAGATTCAACGATTCAACACACGCTGTATTACACACGAAATAAGAATAATTACTAATAAACTTAAACTAAATAGTATATCAAACCAAAGAATATTATAAATTACGGACCACAATTTTACCTGAATTTAAATTCCGAAACTTTAGGTAATAATCTTGTTGCATTGTATGTTAATGACCATCCTTGGATAATCCCATTCAAAAGCAATTGGTCACTTTCTTATATCTATGAACAGACCATACCCAAAGCAATATTGCACTTGGCGTTGAATATTTCTCTATATTTTTTTCATAAGAAACTAATCTATCAGGATATTTTTTTTTGTACATAGAGTACATCTTCTTAATATCGAGCTCAACACATAAACCTTTGTTGTTTTAGCCAAGCCATAGTGAGACTTTCTACTCTTCCATGACCGAATCTGTTAGTCTTCTAGAACGTCGGTTAGGTCTGAAGAACCCTTTGATTTCAAAGGCTAAAAAAGCTTTATAGCACACTGGGATGTCACAAAGTTCGTTGTTTTATTAACAATTTCACCCCCTAAGAATACGAAAATGAATGAAAATCAGCTTAATCTTCAGATTTCGTGGGACGGGATTGTTCATCATAATTTTGTAGTTGATTAAACTTAGGCAAGGTCGGGCTTAAGCCGGCTGCAGTAAGATTTTGGAAACATTTAAGTTTTGAACATTTGCAGTCTCGTCCAGTTTGATGACTGCTTACGCGTAACTTTTTAGTTACATCCTGCATTCGACAGTAGCATTTTCTTTTCCTAGTTTTTGCAACACCAGAAAACTTAATCAATAATTACACCAATAAACTTCAACGTCAATAAAAACCAGATTGCTTTCGAAATATCGTCACTGGATCAAGGAGCTTCGCGGTTTCGTGTAGTACAGGGAAGCATTGTTTGTAATTTAATTGTGCATGCACACAGTATAAAATGTCCTTCACTTCTCCTCGAACTTCAAAATTACAGCAAAACATCAACAAAATATCTCGCGCCCCGTATAATTGACGAAACCTGAAACTCTCTCTCGACATAGTTTAAGACATTGCTCAAATAAAATTATCCCATCTTTAACGGTTTTTCATTTATCGCCAATAATTTACCCACAAAAACGGAAATTTTTAGGATCTTTCAGATTTTTTGACACACCCGGTATATGAATCAAACAATGTTCAAAGTAGAGGTTATAGCCCTGGTTCGAGAATGACACTGTTTGAATCAATTAGCAATATTTTTTACGATTTTTGATATGCGGCTAATAATTTACTCTGCAAAAAAAAAATTTTCTAGGCCTTTTAGATTTTTGCCTATAATTTGAAAACCCTGTATATAATCGAAAAAATGACTGAAATAAATGTTATTGCACTGGATCTTCTGCGTATGGTGGTTAAAGAATTTTTCCGATAGGGTGAACGATTACGGAGCAAAACATATTTTTCTGGAAACTAAAATTACCAAAAAAAAAACTGAAATATTTTTAAATAATACTTGGTAAAATTTGATTGCGCCCAATTTCCACCGTTAAAATTTCCACCCTGTATATTTTTGAAAAATTATTAAGAATAAAAGTTTATGGAGCCGTATCTTCTGCGATTTTTTATTTTTTTTTAGACTACTTCCCGACCCCTCCAGCTCCCCCTTTTTCAATAGGTTCCGTCACGGGACAAAGCTGCATATATGTGCCAAGTATGAAGTCGTTTGCTTCAAATTTCGCAGACTTATCGTGATTCCAGAAAACAGTCGAAAATCGCGAAAAAAAGGTGGATACCCGAGTCAGATCAGGACCATTTCTTATAAGCTTATTTGCCTCATGGAGGGTTAAAAAGGGGGCAAGTTTTAATTTTGCAGCTCCAACCGTTCGGAAGTTATTCAGGAAACCCCAAAAGACGAGAACGGAGAACGGACAAACGAAAAAATTGTTTTTTTCGACGGTGATCATTCCTGTACCAACGGGGATCCCATGGGACCTACCATTACCGAGATATAAAATTTTTATACCAGCGTAGATACATTCGAAAATTCGATTTCATCGATTTTCGAAAGTAACCAGGAATTTTAATGACCGTGATTACCAGGGAGCATGGAATTTAATAAATAGCACGGACTGCCACCTTTTTTACCTCTGGTACCTTAATCTTTTTTGCCCACTACTATGTATTAGTAGTCTATAGCCGATATATTACACGGAATAACTGTTAGTCTTACTTGTGTACTCTGTACTCTTCAAATGTTTTCACTATAACCTTTTTTTTGTGGAAATAAGAAGTCGCGACGCGCCCTGCATGAGTCTTTATAGCTCCGGTATATACGATGCGGAGCTACGAGCCGGCCGCTTATCTCTGGCTTATTAAGTCGCAGTCTGTAAATAGAGCGGCATCGTATGATTGGACCTCTTCTCCGAGGCGTCCTCCGAGAAATTGAAATGCCCCGGGCTCGTGCGCCAGACGCGTTTTTTAAATTATCCTGGGAATCGACGGCACTTTTACGACGGAGAGGAAAATATACCATGCATGGATATGGAGGCCCCGTCTAATGTCGACAATACGGGAACTCAGGAGACAATCGTGAAAGAAATTTATTATTATTATTATTACAAAGAATAAAGTGCAGAGGAGAACCTATTATGCACATTGATAGTAGCATAAGAATGTTATACATATAATAAATATTTAGTTATTGCTGTGAAGCAATACGGTGTCCAAGCGACGTTTAAATACAGACACGTTCGGCGCACACGCAACATCTGGGGGTAAACTGTTCCAATTATCGAAAGTTCTGTTAAAGTCTGTTCATAGATATAAGAAAGAGACTAACTGATACGAACTAAGGAAAAACCCGGGCAAGCTGTAAGAATGAAATATGGCCGAACAGGTCCGTACTTTGCCTAAAACTTAATTATTTGGGGTTTTGTTAGGAAAGATACTAAACAATATTTATTTACTTATCTATGTATTTATGTTTAAATCTAAAATAAAATTACAAATTATTTCTATTACCTACTTAAATTCGGATATGGATTGTTCTGCTTTTTCTATATGTTTAACAGAATTTGCCCAACTTTGTGGAGGGATGTTCAAAACTTCAGTTTCTACAAGTTTGAGGACATTGGAGTTAACACGGGGAAAAACATTGTTATGACGAATGGCAGATTTCAGTTCATGTTCAATGGGATTAAATTTTACAGTGGTAAGGTGGAAGCCTTAAAACTGTATGCCCTAGATTTTTTGCATAATTATCACTTTTGCAGGTTCGAGCATTGTGGAACCTCAATTAATTGCTAAATAAATGTCGTTATTATTATGGGTGTTTCTTTTCGAAGTATAGAACTTTAAGGTGGCATTACTGTTCAAGATGGCGACCGATTTAACAGCTGTCACGCCTGAACAACGCTTGCAAATGGGCCCAGAACGAGATTGCCGTTGTTCCCGATTTTCATAAGCGAATTTTGTTTAGCGATGAAGCGCACTTCTGGTTGAATGGCTACGTCAACAAACAAAACTGCCGCATTTGGAGCGAAGCTAATCCTCAAGTGTATGTCGAAACACCGTTACATCCAGAAAAACTGATTGTTTGGTGCGTTTTACTTCTTCAAAAACGATGATGGCCAGAACGTTACAGTCAGTGGTGGTAGCTATAGAGCTATGATTACTAACTCTTTCATTCCTGAATTGAATAACCATTATGTCCAGGAGATATGGTTTCCACAAGACGGCGCAACATGTCACACAGCTCGTGCCACAATCGATTTATTGAAAGACGCGTTTGGTGACTGCCTAATTTCACGTTTTGGAACTGTGAATTGGCCTCCAAGATCTTGTGATTTAACACCGCTAGACTACTTCCTGTGGGGCGATGTAAAGTCATTGGTCCATGCGGATAAGCCACAAACGCTTGACCATTTGGAAGACAACATTCGCCGTGTTATTGCCGATATACGGCCACAAATGTTGGAAAAAGTCATCGAAAATTGGACGTCCAGATTGGACTACATCCGCACCAGCCGTGGCGGTCATATGCCAGAAATCATATTTAAAATGTAGTGCCACAAGATTATTTTTCGAGAATTAAAAAAAAAAACAAAAACATACTTACGTTCTTTTGGAAAATTTATAGAATTTATAATAGTGAATAAAAAAAATTCCACATAAACTGAAACTTACTTTTCTCGACTGTGAAAATTTGAAAATTGTGAATTGAAATAAAAACCTTGGTGTTATATTTGATTATAGACTTAGATTCGTGGAATATATACCTTTGTTGGTCCAAAAGTCTTATCTTGACTGGCTAAAAATTGACAGTAATTTGAAGTACTTTTTGGAGTGTATGATTTTCTAAATTATTAGCGCATCCAATTCGTCCTACTTACGAGCTAAATTACAGTTTCGTAATGTTCAATCAGTGACTTTAGGGCACCCCTACAGGCTCTCACTGCCGCGATATCCTTTATCCTTTATCCTTTATCTTGGTTTATTATAACGCTGTTGTAATTTTTAATAATATCAGTAAAATCACATTCAATTAAATTCTTTAAAAAATATTTCAGGTTGAAAATGCTAACTTCTCAAATAATTCCATTTTTAATATTTTTCTTTTCATTTTTACTTTTAATAACTTTTTATTGTTGCATATTACTGCTACATTTATCTATTATACTATATTTAGTTATAACATTTTAAACATTTTAGAGGTTAAGTGGAGTAGCTTTTGCTAGACTTCGCCTCTTCTCTACTGTATAATTGTATATACAAAAATAAAGGCAATTTATTATTATTATTAGTATAAATATTTATAGAATCCGTGAAATCCGAATCCGGTAATACACTTGTGAAATATGTGAAATCATATGGTAGTGTGAAATCTGGTGTACCAACTTTGGATGGTGATTTGCCCCTCGGCTGAAGCAGACTCGAGCGGATAACTTTTTTATTTTTAAAATGGCCCCGGTCCGCCCCCTAAAAAAGACGAGCTCGCTCTGGAGGCGCGTCATCCGCAATCCGGGCAAAAATCGCCCGGATTAACCGCTCCAGGCCATAACCGTTAGCAATCCGGGAATCTGAGCGACTACGAAGGGTCGTCTCCCCCTCCCCACCCGTCCATCGGAAACCCAAGTGCCCGTGGAGGACGAGTCGTCCTAATCTGGCGGGGACTAATACCCCTCCCCGCCGCTACCCGCACGCTAATGGACGGGAAGGACGTAAAGACGGCCGCGACGATTGTCCGTGACGGTCGTCGTCTCTTAAATCGCGACCGGGGGCGATTTCGCAATGGCGGATCGTTCCCGGCGGTCGATTTGCTTTCGTTTGACACCCCACACGAAGTACTTCGGATTCCCGGCCCCAGCCGCGCCGCCCCCCGAGTGTCAAAAAGCGCGCCAAGCCGAGGTATTAAAAAGTAGGACGCCGTTTTAATTGGGTCGACGGGGACGCCGATTCCCATACAATCCACGCGGCGGACTCCTAATTTCCGAAGTCGTCGCAAAAATTTTTACTCCCCCACCCCCCGCAGTCCCGCTGCCCCAACCGACGAAAATTCCATGTTTTTAGATTGCCTGTTTTTCCGATTGGTACGCTAATAACGGCGGCGTCTTTTTCGCGTCAAATTAGCGCCGGGGGCGGGGGAGGCGGCGGCCGGGGGACGCGTCGAACGCCCTCGCGCCAACTACTTTTTCTCGCAGTTCGCTTTTCCACAGTGATAAATAAATATTAAAAACCAGTAGTGGATAAGTTAACTAATCCATTCAGCCCTCATTTACATAAGCTCCATACTTAGCTATATAATTTGAAAATAACAACACTCTCTCCTTCCAAGACATTCTGTCTCGTTCGTTTATGGAAAACCGAGTTATACTGATCGACCTCTGACCTCGTTAACACGTCACCATCCAGCCCAAAAATATTCCGCGAATAATTCCTTGGCATTTAGAACATTAGTGTCATCAATGTCAGTGTCATCTTTCTACCCGTAGGGTGTAAGGGCAACATTTCCGCATGCAATTTAGCTATCGATAAAAAGTTTCCAGTCTTTTCTATTTTTATTATTTAGTTTTTCTGATAACCAAGGTATATATGGTAGTGATGTATATTGGGTTGTTCGGAAAGTCATTTCGTTTTTTTTTGGGGAACATGAAAGACAGTTTTCGTATAATGAATAAATATTTTATTAAATTATATATTGGCCATTCTGATCCAACACCTTTTGCCATCTTTCTGGCAGTAACATAATTCCCCTCTCATAAAAGTTTTGGTCCTTACTGGCAAAAAACTGGTTCAGGTGGTTTTTGACATCTTCATTTGAGGTAAAGGTTTTGCCATCCAAAAAAATTTTGCAGGGACCGGAACAAATAGTAGTCGGAAGGCGCCAAATCTGGAGAATATGGTGGATGTTGCAGTACGTCCCATTCAAGCTGTAAAAGTTTTTGGCGAGTGACCAAACTTGTGTGAGGTCTCGCATTATCCTGGTGGAACACTACACCCTTCCTGTTGATTAATTCGGGCCTCTTCTCTTTAAGTGAATCATTCAATTTGTCCAGTCGATGACAATAGACTTCTGAATTAATCGTTGTATTGTCCGGCAAAAGCTCAAAAAAAAACGATTCCTTTGACATCCCACCAAACGGAGAGCATCACCTTTTTTTGGTGAATGATGGCTTTTGACACGCTTTGAGTCGGTTCATCTTTTCTGCTCCATGACCTCTTGCATTTAATATTGTTGTATACAACCCATATTTCGTCCCCAGTAATAATCCGCTTCAAAAATGGATCATTTTCTTGACGTTTGAGGAGCGAATCACACACGTCAACGCGACGACACAAATTTCGCTCCGTAAGGACATGGGGCACCCACACATCGAGCTTTGAGGTTAAGCCCATGCCGTTCAAATGGTCTAATTCGACAAATTTAATCTCTCACCGATCTCTCGTGTGGTTATTCGCCGAGTTGCATCAACTAATGCCTTTATCGCATCTTTGTCAGCTTCGACCGGCCTTCCAGACCGTGGTGCATCTTCGACATCAAAATTGCCGGATCGAAATTTTGCAAACCAGTTCTGGCACTGGCGTACTGTTAACACGCCTTCTCCATACACATCCGTCAATTTTTTTCTCGCTTGGACAGCATTTTTACCTTTTCTGAAGTAAAAAAGTAAAATATGACGAAAATGCTGCTTATTGCTCTCCATATTTAAAAGGGCACCAACCAAAAACTACTGCGTAGAATTAATAGAACTTTTTCGCACACAAGCCTTGCAATATCAGCTCTCAAGACATATAATGGTTATGCGGCTTAAGTGTGAAGTTGGTTTCGGAAAAACGTAATTAAGTCCTCTGACGGGAAAAAACGAAATGACTTTCCGAACAACCTTATATTTGCTTTGAGGATTTTGATGTTGGTTTCTGTTTACGTTATTATAAAATTTGTTGGTACGTTGACTAAATATATTATTAATTAAGTTTTTGGGATAATTGTTTTCTAGAAGTGAGCGTTTTGCTTTTTCAATTGGAATTCTGGAACGGATAACATTATTGCTCTGTCTGGCAGACCTATTATGACGGATTTTTTTTGGGCTAGGGGATGGTTTTGTTTTCTTGGTATAAGTGGAAGAGATACAACATCCCTGTCGCAGGCCTTTATTTACCAAAAATTCTTGAGAAGTTTCTTTTTCAATTTTTACTAAGCTTTTCGTGTTATGATAGAACTGTTTCACTGCGTTTATATACATCACTGGTACTGCGGTCAAATACAATACAAACTTTTTATTTTTTTGAGCATTTCCAAAACTGTCTACCATAATGTTAACCGCGTGATAATGGTCTGCCATTATTATTATTCGATAATAATAATATAATATTATGATTTAAAAACGGCAGCCGTGGTCAAATATATTTAAAATTCGCCAAAAATCAATGCATGTCTCACCTCCACCGCTTTGGGCTTAGTGGGTTCCCACCTCATGTATAGTAGGTATAGGGGCCTCAGTGTACAAAAACCCAGGTCTGGTCAAATACATGCAGGTAGCCGCCCACTGGCTCTTAGACTAAGAAGTTTGATGAAAAAGAAGACCACAGCACTTGGGCCACAGCAAGCTGCATCCTGGACAGAGCGCTCAGCTTTATATCAAGCCTAACGACTAAATCACAGGTTAGTACATTCGCACAATATGGTTTTCCAATCTGGATTGGTGTTTGTTAAGTAATCAATGGCTTGTGACCACGCGTACCTTTTTCTTGGACGTAATATTAAATCACCAAACCGAAAAGTAACATAACTTTGCCCACAAAATATAGTGATAAGACCATTCAGTAAAGTCCAACAGTACCATAGCAACAGATTATCATCAAGAGCTGAAGTAATTTCGCTTGCAACGTCGTAAAAATTGATATACTTTCATTATAGTAAAATCCTTTTACGACCAATCCATAGAAATTCACGAATTTTTGATCGTTCGGAACATTAAGGAAAACATATCGTTGATATTCGGAGGAGTTTCGTTTGTATTTGTTTCGGAGACCCCGCGGCCTCCGCCGCTGCATCTGAGGTTCCAGTCGATCAAACTAATGAGACTCGCGGTATCGACGACAAGCATTAAGGATCGACGCGTGTAGATGGCGACACTCACGCAATGCGGTAGCGGCAGAGTGCCATCAATCATGTTAATATCCCGTGGGGCGGGGGGGGGGGGACGGAGGCCGCCCGCCCCCGATCTCGGCCGTTAGTCAGGGGCGTCCGCGGCCCGAATTAAAACTCGTAACGCTCGGGACGTAAAAATAATGCCGGGAAACGGGCGAAACGTCGGGCCGTAAAAAGTCGACAACAAAAATTAAACCGGAAAAGGAGGAAGGGGGGCGGGGGTGGTTTTATCGCCCGGTTTCGCGTTTCCCGGAGATGAATGAGGGAGAAAAAAATTAACGATCGAGTTGTTAAAGTTATCACGCGGCTGTGGTACTTTTTTCCGGGTCGGGGGCAGAGCGGGAGAGGGAGGGGCGAGGTCTACGATAATAGGAAATAAACTCGGGACACAAAAATTGTGGTTTTGAATTTTTGTAACGGAATGTTCAATTTATGTCAAAAAATAAGGTAAAATGCACTCAGCACAATTTTAAAAACTGGTGTTAAAATATAGTAGTGATTCAGATTACAAAAATATACGACTCAGGCTTTGTTTCCTCTTAATGGGTTTAATCCTTTAGTCATTTCTCCGCACAACTCATCTTTCGGGGAAATTTGACCGGTGAATCATCGAAGAGTCACTTTTGACTCTCATGACTCTTCGAATTTTGAAAAATTTTACTAAAAAAGATGTCGAAGTAAATATATTCGTTAAACAGATTTTGAAATGCTATTTTATCTATCCAAGGGTCCAATTACCTGCTAAGGACTGATTCATCGAATTTTAAAAATACTCACTTGGTTTATCTCCTGTCTCCTATAAGTGGTCCAGATTTTGCTAAGTGGATTTCTTTTCATCAAAGGACTGCGCAATTGCAAATCATATAATATCTGAAAAAGTTGAGCAACCAGGACTACGACATTTCATTTTATATTCTCACAATGCACTGATGTAAGTAACTTATCTAACGAAAAAAATAAATGCCACAGATTCTGACTCGACATATTATCTATCTATCTTCCTTATGATTCATATTTTCGGTGTTCTACTGCCGTGACTCTTCGAATGTCGACAAATTTTCTCAAAGAATATGCAGCATCAAATTTTCAGAGTTTTGACTCTCAAATTTTTTCAAATTTTAAACAATCCTTACTTGCTCCTTTTGCTCATAAAATTGCAGAAGCAATTTTTTTTTATTCAAGCATTTTATCCATTCACAGATTCTGACTCGACATGAGACATCACGAGCATAATCGTTGCGACCCACAAATGCTATTTTTTCCTTTAGACTCATATTTTCAGAATTTTGATTCTTTTGACTATTCGAATTTTGCAAAATTTCCTCACAAAAGATAACATGGCAAACACTTTAACAGATATTAAAATGGCATTTTATTTTTTTTAGACATTCCGTTTCCTGCGAAAGACTTATCATTTCGGAGTTGACTCTCGTGACTCTTCGAATTTTACCAAATTTCGCAAAAACAAGATCTCGAAGCCGTCCTGAAGTCACATTATTTCTATCAACAAACGCTATTTTTTTCTTTAGACTCATATTTTCGGAGTATGACTCTTCGAATTTTGCCAAATTTCCCCAAAAAAGATAACGAAGCAAATATAACGTTTTAACAGATACTAAAGTGATATTTTATCTTTCTCAGAGTCAGTTTTTTCTTTTTTTCGGTGTTTCGACTCTCGTGACTCATCGATTTTTGCCAAATTTCCCTAAAGAAGGTATCGACGCAAGTATATCGCTCAAATCACGTTTTATCTATCAGTGGCCGCTATTTCCTTCTTCAGACTCATATTCTCGGTGTTTTGACTCTCGTGACTCTTCGAATTGTTTCAAATGTTCTCAAAAAAATGCGAATGTAGATGCAAAGTATCTCTTTAAGAGATACTCAAATAGAAACTGCAACGTGTTGCTCCAAAAGAGCCATATTTTTTTATCATGACTCTTCGAATTTCGATAGATCTCGCGAAAGGAGATGTCGCGACAAGCTCACCGTTTTAACACGCACTCAAAGGGCATTTTATCTATCCTTGGGCGTTATTTCCCCCTAGAAATTCACATATTGATAGTTTCGACTCCCGCGTGACTCTTCGAATCTTGCCGATACGTTCCGCGCGGGCCCCGAACGAAACAAACGAAAAAAAAAGGCCCGAAGAAATCGCGTCCGTACGCCCGCGGGGAGCGCATCCCTCAGCGTCGGGGCGCGCCGCCGCCGTCAGATAGACCGCGGAGCCGCCGTCCCGTCCCTTCAGTCGTTTCCCGTCGGCCGTCGCGGGGCGGCGCATCGCCTCATCCTCAAGCATTCATGCCTCTTTCGTGCCGTCGAAGAAATTTCCGTCGTCGGGCTTCAGCCGCCGCCCCAGGTGAGTTCTTCTTATGTAGACCCTCGATGACAGCGGCTCAGTTTAGAAATTGGTCGTGGAGAGATTCGCGCGCCACCTCGCGGGGTACCTATAGGTTAGGTTTCCTTGCGATCGCGTTAAACGGCAGAAAAAACGGCACCCGGGGGCGGGTCGCCCCCGAATCCCGACCCCGATTCCAGTCCCGATCGATCCCGGAAACGGCTGGCGGCCTTTTATTAAAATATTCCCGACGAGAACGATTTACCGACGTGTCTGGTATAGCCGTCGATTCGACGCCCCCTCTCGGTCCAATTCGTCTCTATTACGATTTGCAGGTTCCTCTGCATTCCTTATCGTGGATTTAAGGTAAAAACGAAATTTTTGACGTTTTCGGAACCTTTAGGTACCTGGTATCTATCAACGGCCCCAAAACCCTGATTTAACGGTCCCCATAAAAATGAAATACTGAAACTAAACGGAACTTACTTGCAGTTTAGGCGGTGAGTTAAGAAGTTGGTAATGGTAACGTGTTTAAGGGACCCTTTAAAGTCGATGGGTTAATTTAAGGAATCGTAACAAAAATTTCTAGTTCAATGTTGAATATTTAAGGGTCCCAATAAATTTAACGAGAGTTAGTACCCAAGTCTTTGTTGCCTGACTGTTAAACACTCTTAAGGTTCCTAAGTATGAGCACTTCGATTTATAGGTTCCTTCTGCAAAGTAAAAATTTTCTAATAAATTCAGCAATTTGTATTCCTTTCTATAACGATTTGATAGGAAGTTTAAAGGTTCCTACGAAATTTCAGTACTCGTAACTTCGGGCGGTTTTAGTACTTGTCGCTTGGTAATGTCGCAGTCTATTGATTTAACTGTCCCTAATAAATTTAAAGCCGTGACTAAAATTGGGACCGATTTAATATTCTGCCAGATTAAATCTAGATTTAAGAGAGTAGATGTATCAGGTCCCCTCCTGCAGTGTGCAGATTGAATGGCCCCTAATATAAAGGTATCTGAGTCGATAGCATATACATGCAAATTTAAGGGTAGATTTAAGGGTCCTTAATAAATTTCACATCGTGGCCAGAGTCGGAACCTATTAAATGGTCCCTAAGTATTTGTCCTCAGGCGGTTTTGGTACTTGATTGATATTGATTTAATACTCTCCCAGATTATCGGGTCGGGAGTCGATAGCAATTAAATCTAGATTTAAGAGAGTAGATGTATCAGGTTCCCTCCTGCAGTGTGTAGATTGAATGGCCCTTAATAAATTTGATATAGTTATAAGATTTAGGACCGACTTAATGGTCTCTAAGTCGATAGCATCTACATGCAGATTTAAGGGTCTCCGCGTAGCTTTTCTGTAGAGTGTAGATTTAAGGGTCCTTAATAAATTTCACAACGTGGCGAGGGTCGGAACGAATTTAATCGTCCCCAAATTTTTGTATTCCTATTCGTCGGTGCATCCTACGTAGATCATCGGGTAGAGAGATGATTGTATGTAGATTTAAGGGTCCCTACATAGTTTAAAGAGTCTTATTTAGAGGAGCCTTTGATTCTGGATAATTCTAGATTCTAGATATTTCTCGACGAAGATTTAGGATTTGTAATTATGAGAGTCCTTTCTATCCAGATTAACAGAGTGCGCGTCGCGGCGCTTTTTTGGGTCGATCGATGGGCGCGGCCGCCGCACCGTAACGGCCATTATAATAATAAATTAGAGAAAATTCCGGTTTTCCGGTTATCCGATCCGAAATTTGCCCCCCCCCCCTCGCCACCCACCACTTTCATATAAATACGCGTCCCGTTATTTACGGGATAAATTATCCCGGCCGAGGCCGTAAATTTTCGGATTCAATTTGAATTTGTTAAATGGGCGCGAGCGCCATATTTAACCGGCGCCCCCCTACCGACGGATTCGGGATTCGCTAAAAAAAAAAAAACAAACGCCGCGGCGCCTCTTTGACTGTCGAGCGTCACGCGATATCTTTGAGCGGCGTCGGATCATCCGCCGCCGCCCCCTTTACGCGCGTCCCCTTAAAATAACGCCTAATAGGTGATAAAATAGTACGTAAACCTAACACGCGAAAGCTTTCCGTCCTAAAAGGATTTTCTCCGCCGAGAGAGAGAGGGTCGGGGGGTGGAGGGGTTCGGAAATTTCGGCGGAAAACACTTGAGAAAACTTGAAAAAAAAAATTTAATCCCTCTAACCCCAAGTTACCACCGGGAGGATCCAATTACGACCCGGGTTAGAGGGTGGGGTGAGGAATCCAGTTTCCCCCCACTCTCCAAAATAAAAAATGGGAAACGCACTATGACGGTCTTGCCGGCCGCCCCCCAGATGCCGCTAATTCCATGATGACGCGAAATTTAGGACCGATGTTGAATATCCCGTTTTGACGGCGTCGGGTCGCGTCCCGGGCTTCGTCGCCGCCTCCTCCCCCCCCCCCCCCCCGACCGCAATTTACGCTAATTAAGTCGCCCCCCGCGACGCCACGACGCGAGACAGGCGGGCTTAGAGGCGAACATTAGTTCCGTCGCCCGAAACTTTAAATGCGACCCTAATGGGGCGGTAGCCGAACGACGTTACATCCGAAGCGGACCAGACGAGTCTTGATAAAACCTCGAAAAACGGTAATGATTATTAGCGGGAAATTCGCACGGAATGTCCTTAGACTATTTTAAGGGTAGTGACCCGCTTGGGGACTTAACTTACTTTACTTACATTACATCGTCTAGTCTTTGCGGGAGGTAGGATAATAGACCTCGGCTTAGATATCATCTTGGTAAGTCGTTAACATGATTGGTTAACTTGCTTTACTAACATTAGTAGTATGGTGTAGCTTCAACTTACTTTGAAATCGACCTAGGCTGGGATGTTTATATTTATGGTGTAACTTCAACTTACTTTGAAATTGGTAGAATATAACTAGGCTGGGAGGCCCATTTGGTAAATCGTTAACGCTTACTTTACTTACATTACATCGTCTCTGTAAGAGGATCTATGGTGTAACTTCAACTTACTTTGAAAGAGGTAGAATATACCTAGGCTGGGATGTCCATTTGGTAAATCGTTAACGCTTACTTTACTTACATTACATTGTCTCTGTAAGAGGATCTATGGTGTAACTTCAACTTACTTGGAAAGAGGTAGATTATACTTAGGCTGGGATGTCCACATGGTAAATAGTTAACTTACTCTACTTACATTACATCGTTTAGTATTACCTTCTGTAAGAGGATGTATGGTGTAACTACAACTTACTTTGAAAGGGGTAGAATACACCTAGGCTGGGAGGCTCATTTGGTAAATCGTTAACGCTTACTTTACTTACATTACATCGTCTCTGTAAGAGGATCTATGGTGTAACTTCAACTTACTTTGAAAGAGGTAGAATATACCTAGGCTGGGATGTCCATTTGGTAAATCGTTAACGCTTACTTTACTTACATTACATTGTCTCTGTAAGAGGATCTATGGTGTAACTTCAACTTACTTGGAAAGAGGTAGATTATACTTAGGCTGGGATGTCCACATGGTAAATAGTTAACTTACTCTACTTACATTACATCGTTTAGTATTACCTTCTGTAAGAGGATGTATGGTGTAACTACAACTTACTTTGAAAGGGGTAGAATACACCTAGGCTGGGAGGCTCATTTGGTAAATCGTTAACGCTTACTTTACTTACATTACATCGTTTCTGTAAGAGGATCTATGGTGTAACTTCAACTTACTTTGAAATTGGTAGAATATAACTAGGCTGGGAGGCTCATTTGGTAAATCGTTAACGCTTACTTTACTTACATTACATCGTTTCTGTAAGAGGATCTATGGTGTAACTTCAACTTACTTTGAAATTGGTAGAATATAACTAGGCTGGGAGGCCCATTTGGTAAATCTTTAACGCTTACTTTACTTACATTACATCTTTTCTGTAAGAGGATCTATGGTGTAACTTCAACTTACTTTGAAAGGGGTAGAATAGACCTAGGCTGGGATGTCTATTTGGTAAATCGTTAACATGAGCACGTCCTAACCTTTAATTTGGTTTTGTTTGTACTTATGAGACATGGATGTTTGAAAATGGTAGAATTGATTTTGGCAAGATATTAATATAGGAACTGCAAAATCCACTAAAGTTAATGTGAACGGTATGTAAAATTTCTGTGGGAAACTTAAATTACAAATGTCACTTTAATTACCGACTAGTAATTATAACGTATAGCACGTAGTTTTTAAATTGTATGATATATTGTATAAAATTTTTCTGTGTATTAGTTTTTTCTAAAAGCCGATAAAGGTTGTCATAACATAACTAACTAACTTACAGCAACAACCAGTCGTGGATATGATCCAAAGTTTCCTCCATTGCTGTCAATAAACAATTAATATTACCATAAAACAACTGGCAACACTGTTGGGCATCTATCTAGTCCTCAATTACCTAAACCAATTATAATGCATACACGCCAAGTTATAGAAAGCTATAGAAAGATATAATAGGCATTGACGCAGCTTTTTTCCCGATGCTGTTGAAGCCAACTAACATTATAACAAAGAAATAATACAGATTAAAACGCTTCATATTCGCCTTAAATAAAATAATTGAGGTTTACCTTATGTAAGCGAACGGTATGGAAAAATGCCAGGATGCAAAGAAAAGAAAGAGGAAAGGAAGGAGACAGGAAGAAGGAAAAAAAAATGTCGGGCCAATTATCAACCTGTCAAAAATTTGCATTTGAATGCATTAAATGCATACACCTCTGGGGCCGAAAAATATGAAATACGTATATCAATCGAGAGCTTTGTAAATAGCAACACAGCAGCCCGTGGAAGTTTCTTCGAAGAATTAACTGGGATAATTCGTTTCTAAACGCGGCGAGCGCGATGCCACCCGTCCAACTACCGCAGCGACACCTGGATTCCGAGGTAATTCGACTAAGAGCTTCGCCGTCGAAGCGCCCCGCGACGATGGGAAATCTACGGTTTCCAACGGCCCGCGGGCTTTTTGCACGGAGCA